TCTCTTTTGAAGTCACCGCTGCCATGGGTCCGGCTCGCACCGCTCACGCCGCGGTCGACGAGCTCATCTCTTTTGAAGTCACCGCTGCCATGGGTTCGGCTTGCACCGCTCACGCCGCGGTCGATTAGTCCTGGACACATCAGTACAAATGCCGAAACATAGGTGACAAACAAAACGCACCTGCAGGAGGATCGATGGGCGCAGCCATGACTCCGGCAGCCATGAAGGCAATGAGCAGTGAGATGATCTTCATTTCGTTTATGAGATGGAATGCCCTTGAAGAATGGGCTGGTCAAGACGATGGACTGAAGTCTTCTTTGTAGGCTGAAAAAAATGATCGGACGACGTATCCGACCGAGCTTGTCGATTTCAGGTTGCAGAGTGCTGAAGCAGGTTGTCGAAGCTGATCAGAAGCAATACGACCACAGGACGATGATGCTACTATATACTTTGAGACACGAGATACCCAAAGTCAAGGCACTGACGACTCCCACACCCACCTGGCTCGACGCGCGCGACACAATTGAACATGCCCATCACAAGGTCGAAACCGAAGAGAACTCCAGGTTCTATTAGCAAAGCGGCAGTAGGCAAGAGCAGACATGGGAGAGGATACGCCGCAAGTTTCATCGACGGCAAGGTAGAGATGATCTGGGGAACATCATTGGAGTATGGTCAGCCACTGCCGTCGGGACGAGTGATACCACCGTGTTCCACACACCTTGTTGCTAAGCATGGCGCGAGTTGCAACAATATAGAAGTCCCAGGGTGGCACAAGGAGACACGGCACGACCCGAGAGAACAAAGAAGACAGGGCTGTCACAGGGTGACTGCTCAACCACGAGCGGTTGGACATACTCGACGACCATCACTGAGGTATGGCTTCAAACACACGCGCACAAACACCATGAGGCGTGGACCCGTCGAGAGGGTCTTCTCAACAAATGCCTGTAGTGGCGGCTCTGGGAAATTGGATCTGGACATCCGGCCAGGGTTCGACAAGGGACTGACCACACCATACGACTCTCTACTGGGGAAACTCGGCAAACACTGCAAGACTTGTTGGGAAGATGTGCCAGACAGCCAAACAAAGGGGCAAAAGAGACTTGAGCATTTTCATTCGGATGTCGCCCATCTGACGCGACACATTGACGGATGAATGGAAGATGTTTGAGTGCAAGACGCGTGCAGTCGAATCATTCGGTGTTGAACCGTATGCATGAAACAGGGTGAAGGCGAACCAATCAGAATGCAGAAGGCTGAGCCCCTCCATGTCCTTGGCGCGTGCTCAGGGCATCAAGTGTTTGGAGCTTCACAGGCCTCGCGAAAGGCTACTGCTTAAGCGCCCAATAGGCGACCGTCTCAGTATCGGAGTCTCAGCTGTCCACCCATCCATCCATTTACCAGTCGGATTCAACAGTGCGGTACATGATTCGCAATACAGATCGTGGCAGGCAGGGATCACCGAATTCGCAGAAGAAGACAGGGAGAAGAAACACAATCGACAGTACTCACTCATCATCAGTCTGCGCGCTGTCACTAAATCTAACCTTCAGGAGATGAATGACCGCTTTGACGGCCGCATCCTGGAAATTCGGTGGAGCCTGTCCTACTGGTCAGCCCGGTCATCACGCTTATCACAGGGGAGAAGAGAAATTGCCCGTGGCGAGCTGGGAGGAGTGTGACAAGGCTGATCCAGCACTTCAAAATCCCCAACGTTTGAAAACCGGGATGCTGGTGCATAGGCAGTCGCAGGTTGCAGGATGCAGGAAAGGCGTCCGTTGAGCACAAGCAAAGGCGCTTGCTGTGGTCGGGAAATATGCCAGCCGGCGTTGCCATAGACGGGTGGATTCTCTGCTTGTCTTGGTCGGAACTTGAGCGACACAATACACAAGAATAGTCGCAATCGGGTGGGTGGGTTCTTCTGGGGATTGGTCTTGCAACAAGAAAAGAAACCTCAGCAGAGCAAAACATTGTAATCACTGTTCTTGGAGTCTCGCTGCGCTGGCACTGATTCCTGACGTTGACCCGATGAAGGCGACTTACGGGCACCCGCTCCTTGCACTGGCGCGATAACAACCCCTGCATATCTGGAGAAGGGAAAACAAGCCTCATATGGGGCGGGAGAGAGTTGCGGCGCGGGCTGGCTCTCAGGGTCCGTTGGGTAGATATCGCCTCTTCTTTGGGAAGGACATATGTATATGCCGACAACATGTGGCAGTGAGCAGGAGGAGAACATATTAGCGCGCACGCAAAATGCAGGTCTCTTTGTTGCTAATGTACGCAAACACTTGACATGAGATCTTTGCACGATGGCTTGGTGAAACACCGAAACATGAACTATTTGATCGTCCCAAAAAGCCGTGCCACAACATCGTCGGCGACTGTTGAGGTAATCCGCCTTTTTCCTTTTGGTTGGTTCGCCAACCAGTTCCACCCTTCCGTTTTAGCGGCAGAGGAAAGCATAGGATAGGGAGGGCGTAGATCTATTGATGACGAGGCACTGGGCCTGCTTCTTTTGTGACAGGTTTGAGAAGAATGTCCAGGACTGCGGAGACCAAGGACGTTCTAGTAAGCTTGAGCAGGTATTAGGCGTCTTGTTGGCATGGCAGACCGCATCCCATAAGGATCACATAGACATCGGCTTCTGAACCCAGAATATTCCGGCATTGCCAAACCCGTATTCCACACGATGGTGGTGCAGTCTGAGAGGGGCGACGATGCCATCCCTTGATTTTGGAAGACCGTAACCTCTGGCGAACCATTGAGCTGTGTCTTTGGTGAAGCCTCGCCGTAGGGGTGCTTGAATCAGCTTTCTGGTCGTGTCTAGTCTGATACCAGCGACGGCAGTGACACCCATAAGAAGTGAACAGGGTGTGACGCCAATTTCTCTGCCTGTGCCCTGGGAGCTTCTTTACTGAGGAAGGCGACTGTTAGCGAGACATACTGGGGAAATATGGGCCTCGCTGTCGGTGCTTTGGTTCCTGTTCCCCAAAACCTCACTCCACAGGTTCAGTCTTCTCTTGGACTCCCTCTCTCTCCCGTCTCCTCTTCTCCTGTCTCGCCATCGGGTGTTCGTCATCTTGCGGGATTTCACCAGGTTTGAGTCCAAGAGCTCTTCGTAATCGTTCACTCTCTTGTTCCTTTGCCTCGGCCAGTTCGTGCACCTGGTAGCTCTTGAGGCCCTTTCCATCCACCCGCCTGGCACTGCCACCTCTTGATCTCCCGCCGTCCCGGTTCTTCTCCCGTTCCATCTCTTTGGTCAGCTGTTCTCTCAGCTTCTCGCACTCTTCGTCGATCTGCTCCTCCTCGAGCTCGTCATCCTCGAGCTTCTCCCTCAGTTCCAGAACTTTCACCTCAATGGCTCGGAGACGGTCATGGTTCAAGATTTCCTGGTCGGGCTTCCGGGTCTTGGGCGCTTGTTGCCGGGCGGAGTCCAGGCTGTAGGGGGCGCCGACCCCGACAGCGCGAGGTTTTAGGAGAGAGAGGTTGCGCTGGACATAGCCTGAAGTCCCTGAGCCGCGTGGGGTGGAGAGGCCAACATTGGACGACATGTTTGGGTGGTTCACCTTCTGGATTCCTGTTCAAGCACGGGGTGATTGTTAGTGGAGGAACGGCCTTGCGCAGTGGCCTGGTGAAGGCGAGAGAACCTTTTGCGTTATCGATAAGGACCACGTGACGTGACTATTTTGCTCGTGAGATAATTTCTCCGCTTCTACTGCTTGCCACTCTCATACCTCCCTCCAGTACGAGGTACTTGGTCGGTTGCCCAGCTAGAAGCATAGGGCCCGCATCCCAGGCACCGCCCGTGCCCTCGCCCTCGGGCTCGCCAGGGACCCGCTTCTAAGGGAGGGGGTGCCACCCTCTGATTGCCTGGAAACCTCGCCATGGTGATTCCTCGCCTAGCCCCCCCCCCGGAAAATGAATCCGTATCTCCTTCGAATATCGCGCCGGGTCAACCACTCACCACTCAGCACTATCTATTGCCCATCCACTCTACTTGGACTACTAAGTTCCTTTTCATTGTGTGATGCCCACGGTAGGTCCTCCGTACCGCTGCCCCTTTTCTTCCTCTTCTCCATCACTTCTTCAACAGACTTCGTTTCTCGTCTTTGGCCGCGCGGAGCCTTCTTCCTCCAGCCCTCCTCTGCGGAATTTGAACCAATGCTGCGCTTTGACATCGAGTCAACCTTGCTACTTCCATACTTGATCTGTCTCGAGCCCATTTGTATTGTCCTTATTCTCTTTCTGTTCTTGATTCTCCAAAGACGCAACTTGTTTCTGCGACTTCACAGACATCGCCCCCGAATGCTAACCTTGGCCCCATCCCCCTCCTCAGTATCACTCTTATTCGTTTAGTCTCTTGTCCGGGCCACGGTGCCAGGCGGAAGATGTCGACCGCCCCAAGCAACCCGTTACGGTAGGCTGCCTCTCGAAGCCTCATCGTTCTCCGTCAACAAGATCATTCCCTGCCCTGTTTTTGTCCTGTCCGGCCCTCCTATATATGGAGGCCATATTACCTGGCCAAGCAAGCATGCCGTCAACGTCGTGACCCTGTCCTTGCCACCCTGGCAGTTCATCAGATCTGTACTGTTCCCGAGGTAGACCGTCGAGGTGGTGCTGACTGGCCGCAGGCTGCATGGGCGGGCCCTGAGCCTGAGTACCAGGTCGACCCCCAGCCCCAAAGCTCATGACACTTATATCTGGGTATTGCGAGTCGTCCATCATACCCGAGTCTCCATCTTGCAGCATTGTGGGATCAATCCTACTGTCCATCCTCCCTTGGAATAGGTGATCAAGACCATCCGGAAGCCCATCCGGAAGCCCGTCAGGAAGCCCGTCAGACATCCCCTCTTTACCATCTACTTCCATTCCTGACGCTGGTCTTCCTCTTCGACCTACGCCATCAGCCGCCGCTTCTACGGTGGTTGACAGTGGTGGCATGGCAGAAGAGGTAGTTTTGATGCGCGACAAATCCGATGGCTGGAAATCCGGCGGACGATATGATTGTGGACGATGAGGATGAGACTGCACGTCCAAGACCGAATCTGACCGGCTCGCTGCCACGCGTGTATCGTCTACCGGTGGAGGACTCAGTCCTAGTCCTCGAAGAATCGCGTCAGTCGATACTCGACCGCCACTCTCGTCTGGAATCACTCCTGGGAATCCGCGACCTTCCCGACATGCCCAGTAGAGTCTCTGGAGCGCCTCGTCGATCACATCCTGCATACCCCAGTACCTGAGGAAATCAGATGTCAGACTCAGAGCGCAAAAGCGGACGCACACACACTGAAAGCGAAGTCCTTCGCCGCAAGACCGTCGAAAGTCGATACGGTGATCGGCGTCACTCACCAGTCTCTTGCCTCCCTTCGTCTCCGTGCGCTATACTCACACATGCTCTCACTCGCTATACATGCTGAGCAAGGAGTATTGCCATCGCACTGCAATGGGAGTTAGCCTTCTGACGGTGCTTTCTGCTGGCTCCTCGACAAAAAGACTGCCCGCGAGGGGTCAATTCACCTTGCTCTTCTTGATCTTGCAGCGATCACAGGCTCTCCCTATCCTGACCCGTGATTTGGGGGCCTCGCCACTTCCTGATTTGGGTGAAGGCTTAAGATCTTGCGCTTCTTTGCGGTTCGGCATCCTGATGTCGCGGTGGTTGCCGCACTAGGTCAAAATGACAGGGTTTTCAGATGGCAGGCTTGACTGTCTTGTCGACCAAAACGCACAGGTTACCCTTGCCGTTCCCGACAGCGAGATACCGCAGTTAGACGGCTACGTTATCGGAAATGTCAAGGTATAGTTCTAAGCGATAACTGACGGCCACAGTACTGCGGAAAGCCGCTCATCCTTCCCACCCGACTTTCCACACTATTTCAGCCACAGTTTCAGCCACAGTTTGTTCGATTGTTCTTCGAACAGATAATTGCCTTGGTCACAAAAGACCGATCGTCTCAGCAAACGTTTGGAAAATACGTTCAAATGTCGAGGGAAGTGGCATGGACGAGAGTTGGCGACGAAACCCTTCTTGGCCAAGAGTCGGGTTGTGAGGTTGGAAAAGAGGGAACGGGCAAGCTGCTGCACGATGTGCACCTGGCCAGCATCGCCCTGCTAAGATCCAACTGTCCAATCGGCTCAAGACACAATTGGCGTCCTCATCATGGAATCATCAACGAGTACTCGGTGCCCGCCACGGTTCTTCTTCCATCGCCTTCTCCTTCCCTACGACCCTGTCTGACCCTGCTCAGTCTCCACAGTCCGCCCGAAAAATCATCTACAAGAACTGCGCATGGAGGCAAAAGCTGGGTTCTAGTCCATTGCTAGAATTGCCTGAACTTCAATCCGCCATCGAGATCCCACGTCATGTTCTCCAATTAATCTGCGAGGAGAAACAACTCCTGGAATCCCAATTTGTTCCCACCGCCATGGCCCATGCTCATTGAAGCTAGCGTTAGCATAGAGGCCGGAGTTATGAGGGACACTTCATGGGCAACATGCCACTGTCTGCGATTTGGCATGGCGGCGTGGAACCTGTGCTTACTACCACATTGGCATCGCCGACAGTCAAGACACAGTGTTATGTGCGAGTGGCGAACCTCCAGGCGCGATCCACTTGAGCTATAGATCTGGGCGGCAGTGGTCACTGGACGGTGAGCATGTGAGCCTGTCGATAGAGTCGGTCTTAGAACGATCACGCTGGACAGCACAGTCCACTACAGGTCGCATTCAACCACAAGTGTGGCGAGTTTGTCGCCTTGACACTACCACAATGCATGGACGAGCCCAGAAATTGGGCTCGAGCTGGCCCCTGGCTTAGGTATCGGTCTTGCCAGAGCTTGCCCGGAAGTTTTCTCCTGGTGGCATTTTCCGCGGCTGGGAAATCACAAATGTGCTCCACTATCCAGCCTCTCCTTGTCTAATCCGGGACAGAGACCCGTCCTTCCAGGAGACTTAAGCCTTGGGCCTGTTTGGTGGTTGGTGCCCTGCCGTTACGGGGTATTGTTTTAACGATGGGCGAGAGAATGGTACCAGGACATTTCCAGTTATATTGACAGTTTCCAGGGCGAGCACTTCCAGTATCGGCCACATCTCAAAGCTCCAGCACGGTATCGTGCCATGTCAGATCATCGCCAAATGCAAAATCTTTGCTTTCTCTCCTACGATCTTCGAATAGGCCTCAAGACACTGGCTTCTTACCCTCAAGCCCTTACAGATCCCTCCTTTTGCAACTTTCTCTCGCGAAGACCTTCCCCGAGCCCCCGGGCATTGCAGACAACCTACAGTGGTCTCCCTTTTCCCAAGATCAAAACGGTGTACCCCCGGCTTTCGATGCCTGGGAGCGCAGCCTCATCTCGTGTCATGTCGTGACCGCTTTGAAAGCCAAAAGCGTTGGTCGATGGAGTCAGACCCGGAAAAAGCACAGCTTTATCTGTTATTGATTTGTGAAGCAACCAGGTCAATAGTTGCGTTGCTACTCGAGCCCTACGGGATGCCTTGCTACATTCATATTTTCTTTCAAACATTAAGTCCTGAGCACCTTGATTGGCGACATGTGCGACTGCGAAACTTGAGCACCAAGCACAAAGGTACCACATCCTCTTTGAGGCTAGAAGAACCCAGGCCTGCAGGATAGTCCAGGCCGTCAGGTAGGGGGACTTGCTGTCTGTTGTGCTGGCAATTCTGGCTTGGACCGCGAGGCAGCCGACTTTAGCCGTACCAAAATACCTGCAGAAGGATGTAACGAGAAAATAAAGAGAAAAAAAAACAAAAGACAAAAAGACAAAAAGACAAAACCAGGTTACTGCCAATTTATTTCATCGACAATCCTTTTGTTCGTGGCGTGAAACTGGCTGCCATTCATGGTGTACTGTTCTAAGTCACCGAGAACTACATGGACTTAGCCCTCACCTTCACAACATTTCTTTCTGAATGCACTGATGCAGCAAGCAGTTTCGAGATCCCAGCCGAGTCGACCATCTTCCTATTTGCCACTACCTCTCCTGATTCCTTTCCTCGAATTCGTGCCGCGTCCACAATTCACACACTTTGCGAGGTGGCTGAACGTCTAGACCAGGCTACGGTTACTATCCAACACCAAGAGTGGCGGAGTTATAGAGGTATTCGATCCTAAGATACATGCGGAGGTACATGGTTCTCGATGCCTCCACATGGAAAGGAAAGAAAGGCTGGCTAGGTTGCGCCGACTTGTTCGTGTTACAACAAACTTCATTTTGACGACCGTCTCGCACTGATCGCAATTGCACACGACGATGCAAATGCTGCACCATACAACAGAGAAGACAAACATTTCGGGCGTATCGTCCATGAATATCCATCGCCCATTGTTCCCCCTTCGGTCGAGTCGAAATCGTTCAACACTCGCGTCGAAGTACATCAGGGCCTAAATTTAAAAAAAACAAAAATAAAAAAACAAAAACAAAAACAAAAGGGAGACTGGGAAGCAGGGAATATAACGAATGCCAACTTCAAGAGAGAAACGACATGGTAATGGTATATAAGATGGGATGCGGGAAAAGAATACAGGGCTGACTGCAGGAGGAGAAAGCACACAGCCCTACCGCTCCCTCACATGTTCAAAGGGAACAAAAGGGACGGTTATACCAAAGACGATGGCACCGGTGGCGAGCAGTAGCCGTCAGGGAGGAATGTTCCTGCTTCGCCAAATAACCTGCCTGCGCCTCTCCCTTTCTTCCTAACCCTCCGTCCGACCCTACTCATTCAATCATTAAGTAGCTGCTCCCACCCTTGCGTCGAGCAGGTCATTGCGACGTGCTCCTTGCGCAGTCCATCAGCCTATGCATGGGTGAACCCCCCCCCCCCCCCCCCCCCAAAAAACAATCCAGGAACTAAAACGAGAGCAGAAGCTGAAACACAGGGCCGTCGACTTCGGGGGACTGAAACCAATTGGGACCCCTGTGTGGCGAATATTCTATTATCACGACCCACGAAATCATGGACTCCCTTACGGATTGTAGCCAGGGGATGGAAGAATGACGGAAAGAGGAACGGAAGGAGAAAATATAAAAGGAATCATCCCTCACACGCTCCTCCTCTTTTGCATCTCTCGTCAATTGTAGTCCATAAGTTACTCGAGGGCGGACCACACAGGTCTGTCTACCCTGCCTGATACCTGACAGATCTGGCTATATATTTGAACATCGTCTCCGAACCCTGCCAAAAATGCACACCTCACCAAGCCAGACTCTTGAGCAACAACCAAGGTCTAGGCCTCTTAACTATCCCACATGCCTTCGCCCAGCTCCAATAGTGCATCTTGCAACCCTTTCCTCGCCCTGATGGCCCCCTCCCGGTCCTCGCCCTTCAGTTTCGCGCTGAAGCACAACTCGACCAGCGTGCGCAGTTCATCGTAGGTGTATCCCACATCCTTCTTTTGGGACTTGCAGTCCCGGACGTACTGTAGGATCGAATCGGGCCCGGTTAGGAAGAGGTCGAAATATCGACTGGAGGAAACAAGGAGTCCATCGTCGTCTTCACCGCCTTCCGAGTCGTCGGCGCCTGAAATGCCTAGGCCAGCTTGGTCCTTGCTGCCGCTGGTCCAGCTCCGTCGCTTGTCCGTTGTGTTCGCCAGAATGGCTCTCAAATTCTGTTGCACCACCATTGTATCAATCCGAACCCGCTCTGCCCCATTGGTGTTCATCACTCCAATCACATCTGCGGTGGCAACGAGATAGCGATCTACGAGCTGCGATAGACCCTTGAGGATGAAATTCCTCTCCCGCGTGCCGAGGAACGACGCAATGTTCGAGTCGAAGGCGATGAGGTCATTGTTGAGTTCGAGGATCAAGGGGGACGCTGAAGATGGCGGAGAAGATAGGACGTATGGGTAAAGTCCTGAATCAAGAGGCGGAGCACCCGCAGAGTCTCGGTTATCGGGCGAGGTGGTCGGGCTATTATTATTGTCGGGCCCGCGCAACGTGCGGGACAATTGGTGAATGATACCACACCGGACGTCGATGTGTAGCGTCAACAGGCATGTCTGTGCCAGGGAACGGAAAGAGGACACAACCGTATCAAAAGGAATGGCAGTTTCGGACGTGAGAGGCAAGAAGACTGGGACCGTGGCGCCAGGATGAGAAGGTGATTTACTGGAACCGCCACTGCGCAGACTGGTAATCAATGTCCACCGCCGGACACTCCTGTTCTGCGAACCACTTCTTGCATGTGAGAGGCCAGTATGTGTACTACTCTCGACATGCCGAATTTGCGCCAGAGCGGCGCCTAACCATTGCATGCTGTTGTAGAGCAGAGAAAGTTGATGGACTGATTTGGGGTCGGAGATAATGTCGTAGGCTGACAGCGGGTTTGTCTTGGTCGCAGAAAGGAGAGTCTGCACCTCTTTAGTGATCAGGCTGGACCGAGACACGCCCTTGTTGGTCGACTTGTCGTAGTTTAACAGCTCTAGCGCGGCGTCATGGACCTCACCAGACGCTGCAAGCGAGGCCGCCGTTTTGGTTGACAAGGTGTTGGTGCCATTTTGGGCCGGATCTGAAGACGCCACGCGACTCACCAAAGCCTTATAGAAGCCATAACACTTGTCGTAATACGTGACTAGCTGGTCGATAATGAGTTGAGTGAATATTTGGTCTTGGGGAATCGAGCTCAGCATCTCCGAAAAGGCGCGGATCAGCGCCATGAAAGACACTGTTCCCTTGAAAATCGGATGTGGCGAGTGCTTGGACCATTGCGAGTCATCGGAGAATGCTTCGAGATCAATCATGGCTTGCGCACAAAGCTCGGTCACCGCTTCTTCAAGCTGGGGATGGAAAACATTGATGAGGAAGTCGTCGAGGAATGTGGTCAACGTGCTCATGGGGATGTGTGCCGTTGAAGGCACAATATCTTTCAGGCGCTGCAGGAATGTCAAGGACGGAGGTAACAAGATGGTCATGTTGAAGACCCCGGGCTCAATCAACAACTTGTGAGCCGCCACAGAGCTATCCTCTCCAGTGCGATCTGTAACCATATCAGACCCATCTCTTGCCCGGGATTTGCTGACGAGACCTGGTACTGAGCTCTTGAGGATCTCGTTGAGCTCATCCTCCTCGGCTCTCATCGACTCTGATTTCTGGTCCATTTCTGAAAGCCGAAACATTTTCTTGTTCTTGTCCCGCTGAGGTCGAGCGAAGATGTCAGTGCTGGCCGTGCCAGACAATCCAGATCGTAAGGCCATATGGTCGCCGTCTGTAGCCAAATAGTCGTGCAATATCGACCGCATCTCCATCTGATACAGCTTCCAGAGTTCTTTGAAGCCGGTGGTATACTTGTCAGGCTTGGCTGCCTTCTCTCTCGTTGCAATCCCTCCAATCACTTCGTGGAGCACCCGATGACTCTCAGCGATGGCCTCGAATTTGGAGTACAAGGTCCACAGGAAGTCGGACAACACTTGTGCCCTCGCGTCGTTCATTTGCAGCGTGTATGTCTTTCGATTTGCTTTGTTGAATTGAGCTCTCAGATGACTCGGATATTTGGCATCTATGTCGTGGTTAGTTTTCTCAGCAACCTTGTATAACTCGATTGGCATTCTCTGCTCGATTCTCGACACTGCCTCCCCAAGTTGGCCCAGCTTGTTGAGTGACTCAATGATCATGTGTATATAGTAGAAAGTGTCGGTTTCGGGGTTCTTCGTGGGGTCTTCCGCCATGGGCGTTGTGAGGTCGACATTGTTCAAGTAGTGGTTGAATGGCCGATCCCAAGCATTGACGCCCACCGCCATCATGTTGTCCTTTGGGTCTCGATCTTCTCCATTGGCTTTCTTCCCTTTCCACCTGTCTTTGCAATAAGGACTTCTGAGGTAGAGATGATCGTGCAACTCTTCAATGAGGATATCCAACAAGGTACTCTCTTGGTTGGTGAAATAGCTTCGAAGATCGGAGATGGCGCCGATCCCATCGAACTCGCTTTTCGTAATGTTTTTGAGACTGTCCATCAAAATGTCGACGGCCCCGAGGAATTTTTTCTCGCTGATTTTCTCCTCCAGCTTCCCCGGGATGAGCTTGAAAGACTCGATTTTGCTCAACGTCACGAGCATGTCGTCGAGCTCACCACTCTGTTCGGCGAGCGTCCGCAGTTCCGGCCGAGTGGTCAGCATGCCGTCCTTTACGTTCATCAAGCCGAGCTTCAGATGTCTCACGCGGCTTTGGCTGTCCCGAATGGCGTTCTGGATTTTGTGATAGGTGCCGACTGCGCTGTTGAAGTCAGCATAATGCTCGTTGACCACAGTCTTCAGACTCTTCTGCAGGTCAACGTGTGTGTTGGCGAAGTCCCCCTCTTTATCGGCGAGGCCCAATGAGCTGGGATCCATGAGCCTGAGCGCCATCTTCACAGGCACACAATCGTCACCCTCCATCTCTTTCCAATTTGACTGTATGTGACGCAAAATCTCGTCCATGCTCTTTGCCGGACGTCGCGGAGAGTAATGTCGGTTGGCAGCGTCCGGAGTGGCGTAGTTCTGAGGGGCTTTGTAACCATTCGTGGGCGTTTGTTGGCCCAGACCGGATTGACTCGGTTTCGAAGGGATGTTGGACGGGGGAGGCATCTGTCCTCGCATCTCCCTGCCATCTCGACTCCTGCTCTCATTGTACGCTCTCTGGCTCTCGTTGTAGGCTCTCTCCCTTTCTCGGAACGAGGGCGTGGGCTGCCTCTGTTCGTAATCTTGGGGGTCCCTTGCTCTTCCATGGTCATATTCGTTTCTCGACGGAGCCGCGGTCTCCCCATATCTTGCACGCGGCATTCCCCCATAGCCTCCAGCAATGCTCCCTCCTCCCGCGCCTGACAGCGTTGAGGGTAGTGGGCTTGGAGAATCTCGATCGCGCTGGTCATACGGGTTTGATCTGCGCCTGCGCTCCTGAGGGCCGAAACTGTTGACAGATGGAGAGGAACCGTTATTCTGCTGATTCAGATACGGGTCCGCGTAGCGACTGCCGGAGACAGAGTTGGCGGCATTCGTAGGGGCATAGGGATTAGAGTCGTTGGACTGGCGAAGTCCCCCATACCCGCCGTTGACGGCATAAGGGTTGTTACCGCTCATACTGGCGGAAATTGCAGAAGCCGGTGCAGCGGAGTGGCATCTTTGGTGAGATGCAAAGGAAAAGAGGCGTTGGCCAGCACAGGCTCAAGCCAAAACAATGTCGACCAGGAGCTGAGGCTAGTGGGAGTGAGATGAATCGCGACTTGTATGGGAGTTGGAGACCCCGGTCAACGCTTCTTGTTCCTCCAATCGGGCCACATCCATCCGTCTATATAAGTATAATGCTTGTCACTACTACACCCCAAGTACTCGTGGACCTCCATCCTCCTTACGGCCTAGATGGATCTTTCGTTGGATTTCAACGGCTTGATACTCACTATCGCAAGACTCTACTCCCCGTCTACTCAGGGTGCCTAAGATCAAGCGATATATCCAAATCCGCTTCCCCTACAGGCAATCCAGAAGTCCTTCACAACATCAATCGTTTTCCTGGCGCCTCGTAGGGCCTCAACCTGTGCCACAAACCGGTTGCGTTGTTCTAGCGTTGTAGCGTTGATGGCCTTATCGCTCATGACACCAGATTCCTGCTTGATCGCTTCTCTGAGCACCGCTTTGCTCAACATGAATTGTTTCTGCACGAATCTCTTGAGGGTTTCGGTCAGGCTGTCGATCTCCGAACGCGCACATTCTCCTCCTAGAAGACGGAGCACAAGTGAGAGGATTCGCGGCCCAAACGTTAGGAGCATGCCCTTGAGCCGTGCATTCGCTTCGCTGTCCAAACCGCTCTCCGGCCCACTTACCTCTGCAAAGGCTGCAAAGTATCCTGCTGCTGAACGGCGCGGAAGTGTGTCAGAGTCTGCCATGACAATCAAGCCCATCTCCACGGATACAGCGGCTGTGTTTTGGCTGTCTTGCATATCAAACCACATTGCAGCCCATTTGCTGAGCAAGCGGTTCAGAAAATCCAGTGAACTAGACTGAAAATTATTATCTGGGAGTTGCTTTGTTTCCTGGTACTTGGACAGAACGTGCTGCTGATTGGAAATGACTGCATACACGAGGCCGCTGACACTGGCATGAAGATTCTGCGGACTCACAGAAGCCAGGAAACTCGAGGCACAAGCCATTGTATTGTCGATGCTTGGGTTGTCGAGATTGATAAACTGTGTAACCAACTCAAGCCCGATCGAGTCTGTAAACTTAAAGGGCGACGGATGCTCTTCGGTGAACCCCGATTTGATGAAGTCGCAGCAGGCGTCAACAAATACATTGTCGACATAGGATCCGACTTTTTGCATGGTAGCGTGGTACATGGCGAGTACATTCTGCTGGACAGAGGCACCGTGACCGCTTGTCCAAAAGTCCGAAGAACCTGTGCTTGAGGCTTCCAAGTCCACCGGTACATCGGCTGGCGAGCGCAGGCCTTTGCCAATCGAGGCAAGAGTCTGCATGATGTCGATGCAGCCACGCAAGATGTCGGCTTTGTCGACATTGTTGCCGTCCAGGGTTGTCAGTGCATGACCAATGGGGGCAAGAAGACGTGACAGCGGCTCGACTTTGGCTTCTTCGGCCGGTAATGCTTGAATAATGGCCGCGACAGCGGCGTATATCCGATGTCGCTCGGTCTCACCGATGTCTCCTATTGAAGCCAAAGAGTCCATGAACTGAGGTAGTCCTTCTTTCAGCATCCGTCTGTGAGAATCGCATAGATTGTATATTGCCCGTGAGGCGGCAGACGTCGATGCTTGCAGGTGCAGCGACGAGAAGAGGAAGTTCAGGATTGCGACCAGTCTGTCCGGATGCCGGTGAAGGTATGTCACGTTTTCAGCGATGAATCGAATAGCAGTGCGCAACGCTTGATCTGGAACATTGTCGGCGGTCTGAAGGAAATAGCTCCATGCTGGGCTGCCCAGGATCGTAGTGATGAGGACATCGTATGTATCTGGGCTGGATGACATGGTGTCGGCGAATGCAATAAGACTGAAGGTGCCGGCTTCAAAGGTGCTCCAGTCCGGGGATGTACCTTGTCCAAGAATGCTCTTGACTATTTCCTCAATCAACGCATTCCCAAGGACTAGAAAGGCCGACTGGAAAAAGTCTTGTACGTCGTACCGAAAATCTTGAAATTTCGCTCGATCATCAGCGTCCCAAGATTGGGTCTCGCTGGACATCTCGTCAGGGGGAATTCTGATCTTAAGGAGACAAGCCTCGCATGCATTGGCCGTTAAACCCTTGAGAAAACCTTGGGCCGGATCATTCATGTCTTCCCAGTCAGCATAGCCCTCGACAATTTCACTAATCTTCTCCAAGACAATCTGGCACACAGGATCCTCAATGACGGCCACCCCGTCGCAAGAGAGAAGTCGTTGTAAAGTCCGGACCACCTCGTTATACCGATGGTTGTGCAGGAAATCGGGTTTGGTGATGTCTATGTGGCTCATGATGGACTCGAGCAGGTCGACATAGAGAACGCCGTCGGAAACGAAGTCGCCCTGAAGAAGGAGATCCACCATTTCCCTTACCTTGGGAGAATTAGCAATGCTAGCGGGGAAGTTTGGCAGAGCCTCCCGAAGGAGTTTTGCTGAAGAGTTCTCCAAGGAGATGAGCATTTGAAGCACTGTGCCTGTGTAGAATTCTTCTTCAAGATAGTTGACTGTCGTCGCGATGCAGTCTCTGGCGATGCCTTCACTCCGTCGCGCTTGGGTGCTCTCTGCGTATTTGCTCATGCTGGCCCAATAGGGGATCGCTTTCATGACCAGCTGAAGCATGTCTTCAGACTGGGATCGTGCTTGCTCCAGCGTTGCTTCTGCCTGCTGTTGGCCAATTCCACGCTTTACACAATACCTCAAGAGGAGCCATACGTCCAGAGAGTTAGCAGCCACGTGGTTATTGAGTCGTCCTTCGTCGAGAGAGCTGGCAGAGCGACTGCTCAAATCCTCCGCCATAATTGTAGCGATCAGGAGCATGCCCTTAAGCTCATTGTTGGAGCAGTCGTTGCAGGCTTCCAACAATTGATCCATGTCCGGTAAATCCTCTTCAGAGACATAGTTCCTGCTGAGGAAAGAGGCCAATACCTGTCTGAAAGGGAGGTTCCAGCCTGAATCCGGCCTCGCAAAAAAGGTGACAAGAGTCGAACCGAGCTTTTGGAGAACGAAATTTGAATCTGGTAGATTCACTAAACGTATATAATTGCCCACTAGCGCTCCAAGCAGAGATTTTCTCATGTACTCGTCCTTGCCCAGGCCATCATGGTCCCTAACATGGCTTCAGCGGCTTTGGTGACACGAAAATGGACAGCGTCTCGGACACTTACCAGTCGGCATTGATCTTGATGGTCAGGGTCAGAGCACCATAGAATCTTATGGTGGCTTCTCCATGATGGAGGAGGTCCAGGGCTAGTTGCCATGCTGACTTCTCGCGCTGGAGCCGTTGGATTTGTTTCTGAATCTCGTTGATGCGCTCCGGCGACGATTGATTGGCAGGCTGATAAAGTTCACCTATTAACTGCTCCATGATCTCTGTGAGACGGGCATCAAACAGTACATCCTGCTCCAACCGGAGGAGAAAATTTCCAAATGTCCAAGGCGGTCTTTGGGCGCAGGAAAGTAGGATGTAGTCTATGCCGGAGTCTTCAAAGATCGAGGCGAAAGGGTGATCGCTGATCCAGGCTTTGCTCAGAGGTCTGCAGTGGGTCATACGATTGCCATATAGCCTAAGCAAAAACGACCGGCTTCAGGGAATTTAAAGAAGCGGGCATTGCACGGCGTATTAGGATTGATAGCCTCTCAAATGCCCACTAGATCAACACCAAGTTTGGCCAGGAGGTAAGTAATTTGAAGGTGACATCTGAAAACTCTTGTCAGAGGGATGAAGAGGCTATCGCGAGGCTACAGCCTCGCCGGCAAATGACAAAGTCGGTACGCTTGCCCCTTTGGGCCTTGGTCAATGCGTGCGGCGAACGACGAATCAAGCAGAACAACGGCACATAGGCTGGGTTGAGATAGCTGTGTGTGTGTTTTATTTCTTTCTTTGATAGTGTCTCGTTTTCAATGCGTTGGTCGTTCCTTCGTCTCCCGTCTTTGCTGCGTCCCACGTCGCCTCGCCCGCAAATACCTGCTGCCACGCTGTCCCCCTCACAATCGATTCGGTCTTTCTCCTTCTCGAGGTCGCTACGAAGCGTCGATATGGAAAAGGTGGACACCACAAAGCGTCTGTCGCAGTTGCGCGATCTGATGCGCGAGCACAAACTCGACGTCTATATTGTACCATCGGAGGACAGTCACCAGTCCGAATACATTGCCCCTTGCGATGCAAGGAGGGCATATATCTCTGGCTTCACTGGGTCCGCAGGCACCGCTGTGATTACCCTCGAGAAGGCAGCTCTGTCGACCGATGGTCGCTACTTCAACCAGGCTTCTAAACAGTTGGATGAAAACTGGCTGTTGTTGAAGCAAGGCATGGAAGATGTCCCCACATGGCAGGAATGGTGCGAACCACATGTGCGTTGACATGTGCATGACTGAGCTGAGATTAGGACTACAGAGCAGGCAGAAGGCGGCAAAACTGTCGGCGTCGATCCCACCGTGATTACAGCCACCGATGCCCGGAAACTCAGCGAAACATTGAAGAAGAAGTCACATGCAACTCTGGTCGGGGTTTCGGACAACCTCGTTGATAAAATCTGGAATGACAGGCCACCAAGGCCGGCAGAGAAGGTGATTGTCCTCTCTGACAAGTATGCCGGAAAGCCTTATCAACAGAAACTTGATGACCTCCGCAAGGAGTTGAAGAAGAAGAAGGCTGTGGGGATGATTGTGTCGATGCTTGACGAGGTCGCTTGGCTTTTCAACCTCCGTGGCAGTGACATCCCGTACAACCCTGTCTTCTTCTCATATGCAGCGGTCACGCCGAACTCGGCTACGCTGTATATTGACTCGGCCAAGATAGGGACGGAAGTGCGAGAACACCTCGAAGGGACTGTCGAAATCAAACCTTACGATGACCTCTTTACTGATCTCACGAGCATCGCCGAAACGGCAGCGAGTGAGTTTCAAGCTAATGGAGTCACTAAATCCCATTCTAATAAACTTCTACTCTCAAACAAATCGTCTTGGGCACTCTATCTTGGCTTGGGCGGCGAAGACAAGGTCGAGGAGTCTCGAAGTCCTATTGCTGACGCGAAGGCCATCAAGAATCCCACCGAACTTGAGGGAATGCGACAATGTCACATCCGCGATGGTGCCGCGCTGATTGAATATTTTGCCTGGCTAGAGGATGAGCTACACACTGGATCATGGATTGATGAAGTCCAGGCAGCAGATAAGCTCGAGGCAATTAGGTCGAAGGGTGAGCATTTTGTGGGGTTATCCTTTGACACCATCTCAGCAACAGGGCCAAACGCGGCAGTGATACACTACTCACCCGAGAGGGGCAATTGCTCGACAGTCGATGTCAATGCCGTGTATTTGTGTGATTCCGGGGCTCAATATCTCGACGGGACCACTGACACCACGCGGACATTGCATTTCGGGACTCCGAAGGATATGGAAATCAAGGGGTATACCTTGGTGCTTAAAGGTGTCATAGCGCTGGACCGGGCTGTCTTTCCCAAAGGCACAACGGGATTCGCCATCGACGCGTTCGCTCGCCAACATCTCTGGCGCGAGGGGCTCGACTATCGCCACGGCACGGGTCACGGCGTGGGTTCCTTCCTCAACGTCCACGAAGGTCCCATCGGCATCGGCACCCGCGCTGCATACTCGGAAGTCTCTCTGAGCATCGGCAACGTCATCTCCGACGAACCAGGCTACTACGAGGACGGCAGCTTCGGGATCCGCATCGAGAACATGATCATGGCTCGCGAGGCTAAGACGAACCACAAGTTTGGCGATAAGCCCTGGATCGGGTTCGAGCACGTAACCATGGTGCCCATGTGTCGGAAATTGATCGACCCAAGTCTGCTGGATCCGGAGGAGAAGCAGTGGTTGAACGAGTATCACCGGGAGGTATGGGAGAAGACCAGTGGGTTTTTTGAGAAGGATGAGAGAACCACACGGTGGCTAAAGAGGGAGACTGCTCCGTTCTGATGCCGGAGCATTTGCATCGAACGCAGTGGACTGGCAATGGAAAATGAGGTTGACCTGTCCCACCTCGATGACCTAGCAGCCTGATGCTGTGTTGTATTTGTATTCACTGAGCACATGGTCCAGCGAATGTGATTGGGACAATAACAGAGCCAATGGTCTTGAACTAGAAGAGGCGGTATGAATAGGATAATAGCGTCCAAGGCTACCTATCACGAGGCAGGGAGGGGAAGACAGAGTCTAGCCACTCCGTCGAGGCTAGTATATGGCAACCATCTGGCTTGCTCACTTCCAGATTCCTCCGACGTTAAGTAGTCTTAACTCCCGGCCCCTCAACAAGGATGCCGGCCCGCGGTTTCTCATCCGTCGCAAGGCTAATCGGTGTAGGTTGACTTTTCGTGATACTCAACAACCCCCTGCACACACGACTGCTCCGGCACAAGTGGTAGCCGCGGCAGTGGCGCACACAGCAGCTGCCCTTTCATCCCTCCTCCTGGCATCCCTCTCAGCCTTCCTTTTCGCCTCCGCTGTCTTCTGTGGGTCAGGTATATACCCTGGCTTGTACGTGACTTGTAGACGGTGACGTGGATGGAATGATTCCTCGCAATTACACCTGACACGGCGCTCGAGGAGAACGTAGCGGCGCTGATCGTGGGCATCGGGTGGGTGCAAAGCCTGAGGCAAGGAGTCGTTGGAGGTCGCCGGCTTTGGAGAATGCGGTGGCTGAACTGTCTCAGCTTCGCAGGTGGTTGGAGGCGCTTGTCCAGACTTTGGCAAGGCGCCCCTGATTGTCCAGTCTTGCCTGTGAGGGCGCTGCCGCAGGTAGTTTTGCACGTCGCGGATCAATTCGGAACGACATAGAGACGGAGGCTCGAGTGCCATCAGGCCAGAGGGTACGTTTTTGAAGACCCCAGTAGACTTATCGGCTGGGTAAATTTTGCCTACAATCTTGTACCGTAGGGTCACATCAGATTGTATGTGGTCCTTCTGGGACGTGGCGTGGCGCGCTCTCCTTTTGAACAATCGTCGTATCGAGGAGAAAGAGAGCCAGCTTTTAGGAGAGTCGGGTGGCGAGGTACTCTTGGTGCGAGAGGACAAGGTCCGGGAGTCATCAAGGAGCTCACAAATCAGAAGCTTCTGCTGCCTGCTGATGAATTTGCATTTCGCGCGCTGAAGGTTGTAGCGATCGGGGTGCCAATACTCCCTATATAGGTCTTGCGGAGTAATACCTAGAGTTCTTCTGATTGATTTATGAGGCATAGTATTGATGTTGCTCGCAGTCAAGAGCAAGCATCAAGGAAAGAAGGACAACCACAAAAGAGAGTGAGCTGCAAGAGAAGGTGGCGGTGCCGTACAGGAGAAGAAGGAGCTGCCACGACGTAGACGACAAGCCTCGCATTCCATTCTTGTCAAATCCATTGCTCTGGTAGTGTCTGGGATTGGCAGTCTCTTGCACAGGGACGCATTTGCGTATACCATGTCCTACCTTTCGAGGGGATAGGTATTAAGAGGGGATCAAATTGAGAAAGGCGGGTAATGGCAGAGCCATCTTCTGTTAGGAATTGATACCAAACAAGATCCACGTCGGAATGGATCTCACCAAGTCTACCTCTAGCAGCGTGCAGGGGCACCGGCTGACCGGTATGAGGAACGGGGTGAAAAGGCCAGGAGTCTCTTCCAAATGTGCTTGGTTGTCGAATTGAGATATTGGTGGCAGCGTCATGCCGCGAGCGAATGGTTCGCCGTACTTGATCATACACATTTCTACGGCAGCGCATTCTACTGCGATTATGCAAGGAAGGCGTGTCACGTGCTGGTCGAACAAATACAAACCTCCATACGCTGTAGGACACCCCGTACCTAGCAATAAATTTACTCTCTATATTATTTCACAACCTCTCCACTGCCACCTATCGGCAAGGCTGACCAAGGGAGACATTCACAGGCTCACTATGGCACAGAGTACCGATGCCACCACCCTGAATGTCGCCTACCTGGGCCCCGAAGCCTCGTTTTCCCACCAAGCGGCCATTGAAGTCTTCCAACCTTCATCGAGGTCTGGGCATGTCGTCTCTTTACACCCGCTCCCCTCCTTCTCCGCCATATTCTGGGCGATACAATCCCAGGAAGCACCTGAACAGACCATATCCTATGATTTTGCTGTTGTCCCTATAGAAAACAGCACCAACGGGTCGGTTGTCCAGGTCTTTGACTTGCTGGCTCGGTGCGGCCACTCCCCAACTCTCTACCCTGACCTGGAGGTCTGTGCCGAGTATTATCTTCCCGTGCATCACTGCTTGTTTGTCTCACCGCTTTCCGGACCACCCTCTGGACAGTCAGACGAACGCAAAGAGGGGTTGCTGCGCGCAATCCGGACGCTGTACACCCATCCACAAGTCTGGGGTCAGTGTAACCGTTATTTGTCCAAACATTTCCCTCCCAACCTTGCGGAGCGAATCGACGTGGGAAGCACCTCTGCTGCTGCTCAGCTGGTTGCCCGTGAATCCCGAGCCCAGACCCAGAACAGCAAGTCCAAGCCAACCGAGGGGATCAGTGCTTCGATCAGTCCAAAGCTCGCTGGTGAGAAGCATAAGCTACTTTGCCTGGCCGAAAACATTGAGGACGAGCCAGGGTTGAACACGACAAGATTCCTCGTCGTGCGCAACCGGAGGCACCAGATACAGTCGGAAGATCTTCACGCGTCGTTATTTCTGCACCGTAACCATGTCGACGATTTGAGATACAAATCCCTCATATCGTTCACCATTCCACACTCTCAACCAGGCAGTCTGGCCGATGCATTGGCCGTCTTCAAAAATTACGGTTTCAACCTGACGAGCATCGACACCCGGCCCAGCAGGACGCGGAACTGGCAATATGTTTTCTTTGTGGAGTGTGAGGAGGCCACCCCCAGTCAACTCAATCGTACAGCTGCGGACGTCGATACGGCTAGTGACGCGGATCAACACGAGGACAACAGAAGCAAAACCAATCTCATGAACATGCTCGGAGAGCTGGGCAAGTTCACCGAGACTTTGAGATATCTGGGGAGATTTGTGGACCGATTGCCTAGAGACCAGCAAGGAGACGAAGTAAAGGGCTGATGGAGATGATGCAAACCTGATCTGGCTGAAGTGAATTGCCCTCAAAACATTGTGAGCAGGTCTGTGGAAGGAGTGACTATCTAAATCTGACTGCACGGAACAAAGACTGTGTCGCCCAGAACTGTTATTTGCTGCTAAGTGCCTCGAGCTTCACGGATATTGCCCTGTGCTCCGCACAATGAGCACAGGCGACTCGCCGACCTCTCACACAGCGAAATTGAAGCCTAAGAGCGATCTTCAGGTAAGGACTAAACAAAAGTTGAGCTTGATGTGCAAGGAATGACTGGCTCAGTCAAATAATGAATCAGTATCGTAGTGTGTTGGAGCTCCTTTATCGGCAGTTGATCAAAGGACTTCTTGGATCTCTGGTCCGTTTCCGCACTCTCCTTTCCGGGAGAGTGAAGAAAAACCCTCGCTTGTCTGTCGGTGTACGCGGCTATCTGAAACGCTGAATGTGATCTCGGGCTTACATCAGATCCGATCCCGCTATATGTCTGCAACTCAGTCGGGCTTTCGACCGGTGCTTGGTATCCAAGAGGACTGCGGGAACCGTTGGGCCTGAATGCCGTCGTCATCTCAGACCATGACCATGTTGCGCAGGCTGGAACGTCCTGTTATCGGTTCTGGGTCAGAAAGATGCCACGAAGTCCTCGGATGGTTCTCAGAAAATGCCTTACCGTGGCGTAGGTCAAGTGTCTGCCTTGCTGGCGGCTTCATTGCTCGCTCAGCGCGCGCGAAGGCACCGTCTTTGGTGCCCAACCTGTTCAGTCGTGTAAATTGTGGATTGCCATTATTGTGCGCACTTTCCAAATGCGTCCCTACTCGCTGGTGCTGATGGGACTCGGGCGCGTCACTAGGACGCTCAGGAGAGCGCGGAGCTGCCGTCAAGCTGCCGTCAACAAAGGTGGGTCGTTGTTGTTGAACAAGGCCTGGAGATGGATGCTCCTCGCGCTCTACAGCGAGGTCGTTGAATTGTCAATCATCATAGAATTCGTCTTCGTCGTCAGCGTCAATCAACTGTTCAAAGTTGACCTTGTAGCGCAAAATGGCGCCAATACCACCAAACCCCTTCACAAATTGATTGCCCTCGCTGGAGCGGTCCGAAACGAATTCCAGGGTGGCGCCAAAGTCCTTGTATTTCTCGGCAAGCCATTCAAGGAACGAACCTTGGTCCACAACTTCCATTTCTTGGCCGGTCTCTTTGTCCATGAATTGTTCTCGATTCGCTTCTTGGGCTTTGGTGGTGTGCAGAATCCTCTCCGAGCCGTCCGAGGCTTTCAGAACCCAGCGAGTGACGTCCAGGTTCTCGTAAACGATCAGTGTTTCGGCCGCACCAAGTTCCAGAGCCTTCAAGGTGTCTTCGACACCGTAGCAGACGCGACCGCTGTCTTGACTGATTTCCTCGAAGTACTTGCCAATCAGTTTCTTCTCTTGAATGAATTTGACATTGCCAAGGGTCTCGGAGGCCAGATCGATAGCTTGATTGAACCCGTTTTCACCACCATAGGAAACGTCGACCACCTTGATGACCTTTGATTGAAGTCGCGCATCGAACATGTCGGACTGGTTCAAGTCGTTTTTGAAATCTGCGGAACCAGCAAGGACAATGCCGGCAACATTGACCTTGTCGTTTGTGATGAAGTTTTGAACAGCCAGCTCTGCGACTTTTCGCACGTAGTTGTGACGCTTTTCCTCTCTGAGACGGGCGAAACGTAGGGCAGATTGACCACCTCGACCGTGCTTCTTGGGAAGATCGACGGAAAATTTATGAACGACTTCTCTGGTGTTTCCACTCAAGGTCCCAAAGAGAGCGCCGTTGCCGTCCATGACGATGAAGCCAAATTTCTGATCAGACTCGAGAAGTTCGCTTAGTGCCTCAGTGTGGAATTTGTTGTCGCAGAGGTAGAGAGAAGTATTGATGGGCTTGAAGGGCTCAAAATCTATGTTGATCTTTCTTTCTTTCCCCTCCGAGGTGATGATTTCACCGCAGTACACCACCAAGCCATTTGGGGGAACCTTGTTATACAGCTTGAGACGCTGCTGGGTCGAAGTGATGGCGGAAAGCACGGAAAGACGGTTGACCCGAGACTTGATGTTGGAGGCAGTCCCGAATTCTTCAGCCAACATCTTCGCGGCGCGGGAGACTTGATCCTTTGGTGCTGCGGACGGAGTCAGCAATGAGCTAGAAGATGTAGGGTTCTGAGAGGTGTCACTTACGGATAATGAGAGAAATCATGGAGGTTCCATTGCCTCTGGCCGCCTCGAGGCGTTTGATGAGTTTCTTGACCTTCCAGATCTCGATGTTCTTTTCCGCCTCGTTTTGTTGAGGTGCGCTCATTTTTGCGGACGGAAGCCGAGCAGAGACGGCCTGCTGGTGATGGAAGAGGGTGCAGAATCGTAGGAAGTAAGGAAAATGGAGAAAATGGCGAAGGAGTGTTTGAAATCACAGTCTATGCCGAGTGAGAAAATCAAGGTGGCGTCGAAATAAGTCAATACTTTTTGAGACGTTTGGTCGAGTGGGAGTGGCAGTGGGTGGTGGGTGGTGGGCTGGCTAGGCCGTGCTGTGCTGGCAGTCATTTAGGCACTCCTGCCCACCACTGTATTGGGTAAAGGTGCCCCCCCCCCCCCCCGGCGTGCAAGTGAATGTGTGGCTCGGTGGTTTTCTCCAGGCGCTGCGAGTCATGCCCAGCTCGCCAGTCAGAAGACAGTCACGTGCATTCTTCCTCGCCCGTTATCAAGCACAAAAATTCCCCGCCGCCACCAAACTGCGCTTCCACTCCACTTTGCCCACTGGCTATCAGAAACAGCTTCCTTGGAATTCGCCGCTGCTGGTTATCGTCGGTTAACAATGAATGTTTCCATGATCTACCACTAGCTCATGATTTGGAGTAGATTTCTATCCTTCCAGTATCCCAGGAAATTTTCCCTTTCCTTTTGGTTCAACATTCCTTGACTCGAGAATTGTTTGTACTACTATCTTCCTGAGCCGGGGAGATCTTGTGGATTGTCTATTTGTTTACTGTGTATCTCATGAGCTTCATCAGACATGCTTTGACCTGACAGATTGTGAATCCAGACCATTAACGTCATCTCTGCACCTCTGAATCCTCCCTCTGCTCTGTTCTGCTCGCAATGAGCGCAAAATCCAGACAGGCTCCCACGAGTTGGGACGCCTACGAGCGTGGTCGTGCATCTTCCTTCGGTTCCCTCGAGTCTGTGCCCGAAGACGAGCAGCATAACAATCTCTCCTCATCCACTCCAGCGACGCACTATATTCCTCCATTGCATGCGGAAGACCAAGAGCACGGACGCTTACGGCGGAGATCTTCTTTTGGCAAGAGAATTGACCATTTTATGCAGATGGGAGGGCCCAATAGTATCGATAACTTTGCAAGGTCGTTCCAAAGAGCTGCGGGATTTCGTGAGATTACGCCGGTGCGGAGGAACTCGGTCAGCTTTTCTGAGACCGATCAAGAAGCAGCTCCGGCCAGTCCTGAACAGAGCACAGCAGCTCCCAACAGGTCCCTTCTGAGACAACAGCTTCAAAACTACGATTTCGGAGCCGACAATGACTCCGCCCTGCAGGATGAGCGAGCTCCAGGCAATGAGGAGCCGACAGAAGAGTCATCTCTTTTGCCTGTTGAAAGCCGGCAAACCTTCAAGTCCACGACAGGCTCTCTCGCTCCAGGCTCTCTGCTACCACATGAGTTGGGCACAAGCTATGGAAGTATTTCCTCCAAGTTGACGGCGACTGCTCGGCACCGAGCATCTATCCTCATTATGGAACAGGAGGAAGCCAGCAGGCGAGCATTGCAGGAGCCGGAGGCATTAAAGGAAGAACCTCATCGACATGTTGAACGGGAGGTTCTCCCCGACGGTGAGGTCATGGAGCGGATAGTAGGCGAGTCAACCGTTCCTATGACTGTCTTCAACTCCACGAATGTGTTGATTGGAGTTGGCATCCTGGCCCTGCCCTTGGGTATTAGATACTCTGGATGGGTGCTTGGTCTCTCCTTCTTGACTCTCGCCGCCATCGGCACCTCATACACGGCTAGATTGTTGGCCAAATGTTTGGATTCGAACACCGGGTCAACAACGTACGGAGACATCGCTTATCTGGCATTTGATTCTTGGGGCAGGCATTTTGTTGAAGCCTTGTTCATCTTGGAGCTGACTGCTGCCAATGTCGCTCTGATCATTCTGTTCGCCGACAGTATGAACTCTCTGATACCTGATGTTTCCGTGATCGAGTGGAAGGTCATTATTGCTCTCGGCCTGATTCCGTTGAACTTTGTCCCTTTCAAAACCCTGAGTGTCACCAGTGTCATCGGCATCTTCTGCTGCCTGGGCATCATCATTATTGTCTTTGCAGATGGCCTCATCAAGCCTCGGGCCCCTGGTTCTCTGAGAGATGTGGCCAAAACTTGGGCATTTCCCGAAGACTGGAGAACCGTTCCGCTCAGTCTAGGTCTATTTATGGCTCCATGGGGTGGCCATAGCGTGTTCCCGGCTATTTACAAGGACATGCGACATCCTCATAAATACGGGCGCGCTTTGAAGTACACCTACTTCTTCACTTACGGTCTTGATCTGTCTATGGCTGTGCTAGGATACCTCATGTTCGGCGACAAGGTGCGCGATGAAGTGACATCCAATATTCTCCGCTCGACCGCCTACCCTCACGTCCTATCCGTCATCATTGTCGTTCTGATCGCCATCATCCCTGTCACTAAGATCCCGCTCTCAAACCGGCCTGTGATGGACACGCTCAACAAAAAGTTCTACATCGACCTCCGCCAGATGGATCCCAAGGCCCGCGCATACAGTGAACGATCGCTCAAACACCGTGCTGCGCGAGGGCTCATCGGTATATTGGCCAACATCATCCAACTCGGCATCGCCATCGGGTTTCCCGACTTTGACAGTATTATGGCCCTCATGGGCTCGGCATTGTGTTTTACCATTTGCATCATCCTGCCCGTCAGCTTTTATCTAGTGATTTTCAGCTCCGAGGGCAAGGAGATTGGTTTGATGGAGAAAATCCTGGATTGGGTTTTGTTGGTGGTTTGCATCTCCCTGGCTGTGTTGGGGACTGTATTTGCTATTTTGCCCAAGAACAAGATTGGGGCTTCGGTTTGACAATACACGGACCCGATAAGAAAATTGGATGTTGTAAAAGATGGAAGAGAAACTTCACAGGCTGCCTGGACAGATGGCCAAGCCATGGGAGGAATGTTGCCAGCCAGATAATTGATAATGATACGCTTTGTATATATCGCCGAGGGCACATCCTCCGCTCTCAGACTACAATTTCCAACAGCGCATTGATCCCCCACCTTTGCTTTTGTTTATAAAGCACGTCTCCAGATTGCTTCGAAATCCAGTTAGCTGGGTAGTAAGGAGCCGTTGCTATGGGGGGCCCTGCTGTCGTTCGAAGATAGCGAAGGCATGGGCTTCAGGAGCGCAACGGCGTCTCGCAGCCACCTAGATCCATCATTTTCCAAAATCAAAAGTCAAGCGAGACAACCCTATATCCATCCCTCCAGCGGGCCAAAACCTTGATTGCATGCTCGGGTGGGAGAAATTCCACCAATTCCCACGCTTACGATCTCTTCGGTGTCATCCCTCACTTTTGCTTCGAGACTATGAATCCGCCGGGGTTCTGGCGCAAGAACTCGACCTCGTCGGGAGTGCTCTCCCTCCCCAACGCATGGTTCCGACTGGGGAACCTGCCGAAGCGCAAGATAACGTCGCGGTGCGCCTTTGCGAACTCGCACGAATTCCGCGCGAAAGAGGCGGCCTCCTCGACGGCCACGGCCGCGCGGGGCGGCGCCGACGCGAAAGAGGCGGAGTCGCCCAGGCACCGCGCGGCGAGGTTCTCGAGCAAGGAGATACCCGCGACCTGGTGGACAAGGGTCTCGGCGTGCATCAGCGGCATGTAGAAGAACAGGGCCATCAGCGGCGTCAGGTCCGGCGAGCGGTCGAACTCCCGCGCGACCGACGCTACGGACAGGTCTAAGGCCTTTGCGTCCGAGGAGAACGACAGCGCCGAGCCCCGGTACAGGTTCCGCGGGAACTGATCGAGGAGAATGATCAGGGCGAGCGAGCCGAGCGGCGTTGACGCCCACGAGTCCAGCGAGTCGTTGCGGGCCTGCTCGACCAGCGACGAGAACTGCGCGCGGATCTCGGAGTCGACGAGCTCCGGTTGGGGCGGTCGGAACCACTTCTCCGTCGGGTTGCTGGGCGACGACGAGGACGGCGGTGGGAACCAGTAGTCGAGCACGCGGGCGATGTCGCTCTGGTGTTCCATGGAGATCTGTGCGGTTGTCTTCTGCGGCGAAGAGGTTGCGTTGGTGGAATAGAACAAGGGCGAGACGACCCCCTGTAACGCGGATTGCAGCTGAAGGACCTTTATCGGCCAAGGCGAACGACGGCGACAGCTTAGCACATGTACATGTCTCCGTGAAACAGCAAATGGGCGAACATAGGAATCTTGCGGTGGATGTGGATGATGATGATGGTGCCTTCGTAGAAGCAGAGGCAGAGGAGCTGGGTGACGGCGTACCCTTGCAAAGGCCTGATCAAGTGCGGCCCTCATTTGGTGGTTCGCCTTGTGTGTAGGTATGGCTTTCAGCAGATCCTGTCTCTTGCCTTGGGGGAAGAAGTATATCGGACGCTCTCAAAGTGCTGAGAGGATGTCGGATGGGCAGACTTCTACCACCTCCGGGATTTCCAAGCACTTTGCAATGCTTGAGCCTGAGCCCTGGTCTGGCTTTACCTGGATGAAGTCGTACCTGGACGGTTCAGACACCGAGACACGTTGGAGATCGGCACGTCGCGCATCCGGTGTCCGAGTCTTTCATGCGCGTCATCAGGCTCTGGAGGATGGACAAGGCTGACCAATCAAGTTCAGAGTATTCATCACGCCGCGCAGTGACAAGGCTGAGGGCGTGCAACGCAAGGCTGTCTCATATTTAGGTAGGAGACATCTGAGGAACGTCTCTTTTGTGGTGGTGATGGAGTGGATAAAGGTCAGATGATTGTAAGGCTCCGGAGCAACGGGCAGGCAAGTATAGCAGTCTCCCATATTGAGACCATAGTGGTTTTGGAATCCTATCCAAAGTGCATCAATCTGCGGTAATGACTGTAGGAGAACCCGATAGAATTTATATCCCCAAGCGCCAAAACCGAATAGAGACAATGAGCGAAACTCTACGCGGTCGCTGTGCTATCAACGCAAAACCTTCCAACAATTCTATCCCCAAGCAAGCCGGGTCGCACACCTTTGCCCAGCATCTAGGTACCTATACACATCACACCATGTTCGCACTCACAGGTTGACGTCGTGAAGCCAAACTTGTTGCTCGACTCGATGGGAGAACCGACTAGCAGCCAAGATCTCGACCATCTGCTGCTCACTGACAATCATCTCTTGCTTGGGTAGAAACCACCGCAGCCCCTCGCTGCATGGCGGCGTCGTCAGGCTACCCTTGTAGGTCCAGAATTCCTCGACGCCGCCAACCTCGTCGATGGCAAGGCGCGTATTGACGGGCAAGCCTTCGAGCTGCGCTGTGTCATTGTAATGGATCATTGGGCCCAGTTGCCTGATAAATGCGGATTCCTTGTCACCCACGGCCACTCGAATGCCAACAACGGCGGCTTCGTGCTCCTCCTCGGTGACATGAACAAGGTGGATTTCCGCGCGGCTCCGCTTGCCGGCGACAAGGTGCTCGGATGGGGCGTGGATGTGCCATCCAATCATGAAGACCTCCTGGTCGTCAAATTTCATGCTGGGGAGTCCGGTGACCTCTCCCTCCGGGTGATGAGGTGTCCAAGCCGGTGCGAACTCCCAGTTGAAGAAGTTGCCTGGAATAGTAACGTTCTCTAGGTACCCGTCAAAGGCAGGTTTGTGATGTTGAGATAGTTCTGTTTCAGCAATGTTGATAGGCGATTGATGTGTGCCAGATTGGCATAGGGAGTACTCTGCAAGAGCTTTAGCAAGGCTGACAAAGTGCAGGGGTGAAGACATGGTTACCAGGTCTGATAGTTGCCCAGTCTGCAGAAAGAGCGTAGTTCCAGTCCTTTGGGACCCGGCCCTTGTCGACTCGCACTTGTCTTCGGCCAAGATGTGGACGTGAGTGGTAATTATCATGCTTCGGACAGCTCCAGGCTGTTGAGATAAGAGCGGAAAGGAAGAAAATGGAAGAAATCATAGCCAACGACAACATGCTAAAACAAAGAAACGACTTGAAACAATCAGTCGCGAAAATGAATGAAAGGAAATGCAAGACGGTGGTAGCGGCGCTGATAAAGGAAAGACGATACGAATGTGAGGGAGTGTGAAGGGTTGATGAGTCGCTCAATGTGGGGGAAAGTATTTTCTTTTATGTAGCCATCAACGCCAGCGTTGGTGTGGGCACTGGTGCGAGGATTGCCAGAAGCCCGGCTTTCCACAGCCTACTCCTTGAAGGCACACGGAGGCGCCAAGTAATGGCTCGTTCCAGCAGCGTACTCGATACTGATTCATCTCTGCTGAAACGCCTGGCAAGATACTGGACGACGTCGCGCTTGGTAGAGACGCAAGCCTTTTAGTGAAAGCAACAACAAGGGCGACTCAGCCGCTGGGCGTGAGCAAGGCGTGCTGCACCGCACATCTCCCAGGCCCGACACGGCGTCTTGGGATTTCCAAAGCCAGCGGTGACGAAGTGCTTCGGCAAAGAGGTCCCCCGTTGATGAGATAAGATCAGCAATGGCAATGCATGACAAGCACAGCAAGCCATAGCGAAGATCGTGAAAGCATGCAACGGCAATCTCGGCGCCAAGCTATATCTGACAGCCAAGTTCGACCCGGAACACTCCGCTGGGCCAAAGGAAGCAAAGCGCCACTCTCCAAAATGATCTCCGGGCCACTCGTTGCATTTCAGGGGAGCAACGCGTGGCCGCTGGCCGTTGGCGGACAGTCCGCAGCTGGCGGAAACAGGACGACCAAGAAAGTCCAAGAAAGGGCCGAGAGGTGAATGCTAAAATGAGCTCAACCCCCGTAAGAGAAGTCGGAGGGCCTAGACTCTCGACATGGCGGCATATGGCGCTTCCTGTTGCCCAGCTACTTTCTCAGTCTGATTTCAGCCCACACCTGAGCAAGGCCGAGGACTCCCTGAAGCAGAAGACGCTGGGCGGGTAAACCTTCAACAGGTCCCGCGGAGGATTCATTCTCAATCTCAGTAACTGGCTTCTGGTTGGTTCGACCGTCATAAGCAGGGGGCTCAACACAGGTCCAAAAGAATAGAGAGCAAACGGTGGGTTTCCAAGTTCCGAGTAATCGTCCTCGTAGATTGCAAGTTGGTCAATGTCGAAAGGACTCTTGCCGATCGCTCGATAGCCCTGCTGATGGAATGACTACTCGTAGAATTGACTGATCTGTTGGGTAAAGGCGTAGCCACTAGCGAGACGCTTTGCCGGTTCCATAGGACTAGTGACAATGGCAACAGCGCCAGGTCCATACTTAAGGGGCGTTCCACGATGGGGCACCTCCATACTCGTACCTAGTAGTACTCCGTATGTGCTGCTTTGGCGGTTCGCTGCGAGCATTACATATTCCTCGGGACATTCACTCCTCTCTTCCAAACCTGTACTTCTTTTTGTTGGAGAGCTTCGGTCCTTCGTGAGAACGTGGGGGGAGGATTGAGGAGCTCACGGTGTGGCAAGCATTGTATTCAAGGACGTACTCGTGTCGGCTTTGTGCATGAGAGGTTTGTTCGCGTTCTGGGTGCGCATTTTGTTTTTCTCGTGACCGGCGCCTTCAAGAACGTCGGGCGAGTAGCGAGCACCGTGTCGGAAATTGCCTTACTATCCAGCAATCTTCAAATTCGATGGACGAGAGGGATATACGCCTTCATTGTCAGTGCGCAGCTGCGAGCATGGCTCCCAAGCCAGGTGGACAAATTCGCGGGAAATTTTGATCGCGTATGCAGAGCCGGTAATAGAAGAAGCGGGATTATTACGGCCACTCTTAAGGTGTAACATAACTTGGTCAATCAAAATGCATGACGAGCTTCATAGCCGAGCAACTTATCATATCGCTGATTGTTTTGCAAGCGTCTCTAGACTGGCGGTCTTAGGTGCAAGTCTGAAGGTAACATGTACGCAAGGCTTTCTGTGCCCAGGTCCCCTTAAGCATTCATAGTCCTCACTCATACTGCCAATGTAGCATTGCAAGTTAAGCCAGTAATATTCTTTGCGTTCACGCAAGTCGCGTTGGCAGTCGCATTGGTGGCCGAATCAGTCAAATGCACGTCCTTGAAATCGATATTTGAACACGGTGCTGCTGCTGAACAGTTCAAGGCGACTCCGACCTTGCTGCTCACAGTTCCAGACACGTCAGAGAACAGCAGATTCTCGAACTCGAGAGTACTGGTATCGCAGTAGTGGGCCTGATCAGGTACTTTGAAGTAGCATTTGTTGATGTAGACTGCTTGGCTCGTGTTGTGAGTTGTCAGTCCTGCGAAAGTGACATTGGAAACTTTCCCCGTGCCGCCGCCGCCACCTTGTGGAGGTTCTCCTTCTTCTTTGCCTACCCAAGATTTGAAGTAAGCTCCGCCAGATACTGCAGCTCCCCCGGTGCGTGGATTGATGTCTTGCGAGACCGAGATGTTTGTGGCCGTCACATTGAAAATGTAGTCTGGAGAGTCAACATATTGGCCGATCGACCCAAACGCAATCCCTCCCCCAACGCAAGTCATGTTGTTGATCACCATGTTAGTTGTGTTGCCTTTTGGAGCCAGACAATCATCTCCGCCGTGAAATTGCCAATCCCTCACCAGAAGGTGGTCAACTCGCAATGAATCGAGACCGTCGATGTTGGTTTCGTAGTTGGAAGAATTTCCGTAGGGATCTGTATTCGTACCATTGATATACACCTTGCTGATTTCCACGTTGTAGGAATCTTGAATCCAGAAACTCCAGAACATTGGCTGGCGTATGGAAAAGTTGGTTACAATCACATTGGAGGAATTGAAGATTGAAATCACAATAGGGCGGCCAAACTGGTTGCTATGCCCAGCGGCGTGAGTCATCCATGCCTGTCCATTGCCATTGACACCGCCCTGCATCCAGCCTCCTCCATCAATCTCAAAGTTGTTGCCCTCAACGATCCACCCCGTGGACTGGTTCTGAAACTCAACGCGGAAGGAATTGTCAATCCAATAAGTCAGGTCTGGTGTAAAAGAGAGGGTACCAAAGATTTCCAGACGGGAGTTCTGGAGGTTCATGTGCATCCGCCTTGAAATCGTATAAACGTATGGAGCTGGTAGTGTAATAGTCCCATTGATACCGCACCTTTGAACGGCAGCAAGAATCTGAGACGAGTCGTCCTGCCCCCACCCCAAGGGTGTCACCATACATTTGGGTCCGCTTGGAGTTGGTGAGAGTGGGAACGCAGCCTGAGCAGGAGCTTGTCCCAGGTACGGATAGGAAGCATTCTTGTGGTAGGGAAGCGTTGTTTGTGGGGAATAAATGGAAGTAGTGGCGGCCTGAGGAAAGTGAATTGTTGATGAACCGCTGCCGAAGGCCAACGACCCAAATCCAATTATCCACAGGAGAATTGACGACTTTGGAAACATGATGTTAAGGGATCACAACCTCTCCAGGAGTAATTTTCACACGCGGCACTTTATGGCTTGCTCCCAAGTGATGTAGCTTACCTGAGTCTGTCCGAGCGCTGTCGGCATACTTATATCCACAATTTCCATGGGAGCGTGGGAACCTGGTTTAGACGACGAAGTTGTGCTTGTGGCTCCCCAGGTCCTTGATGAAAGAAAGAGTTTTGATCCTTCATGCCCAGACGAATCAAGGAGACATTGACAGCCCACGTGTTCCAGTAGCGAAAGGTAGATCTTGTATGTAAGTAGCGTCATGCATTGGGGAGAAGGAGAAGGAGACCACGACCAAATACACGCGCTGACTGCGTCTTTGACGTGTCTGCAGAGTAAGATCATAAACCCTTAGTGCCTATGCGAAGGTATATAGAAGCATAAAGGGGATGAAAGAGGAGCCGAGGTCATGAAGGAGAGGGAGGCAACAGAGATTGATGTCCTTCAGGGCGGCGTGATATATTTTCAAGTATCTCGTATGACACCCCGAGACCCACACGGAGGTGACTATCATATCACTCATAAATACAAAGCGGCGTCAATGATATTCCCAATCTAGCACAGCTTGGCAGCCTCCGAAATCGCTTGTCTGCGAGTCCTCCCAGCGCAGATCCCAAAATTTTTGTTCGCAGGAGCTTGTCCCTTGCACTATCGTGACTCATCTTGCAAGGCATACAACAAAGACAAATTCCCATTGACCTTGATGAGGTAGTGTTTGCTTGTCCACTCACTACGCCCTTCTCTCGCCGCCATCATGGCAGGCCGGCGCAATCTCCTATCTCTGGCCTGCAGGGCCGCGAACCACACTCACGGAGCGCAAAATGGGACCTCTTTCCTCGATTCCATCCTCCCTGCTTCGAGACGGGCCAAAAGTACAAATTCAACTTCAGCTCTGGCATATAAGGCTCTCCACAGGAGGTCACCTCTTCCACTCCCGGTTTCAGATACATCTCCACAGTACGGCGCTGCCGCAGCTGTATCCTCTATCCTCTACGAAACCCCGGTGGCTTCTCAAGCACCGCCCAAGAAACACATTTTGAACTGCCTCGTGCAAAATGAGCCCGGTGTTCTGTCTCGCGTGTCCGGGATTCTAGCGGCCCGAGGATTCAACATCGACTCACTGGTCGTGTGTAACACCGAAGTAGAGGACCTGAGTCGGATGACCATCGTGTTGAAAGGACAAGATGGTGTTGTTGAACAAGCTCGAAGGCAATTAGAGGATTTGGTACCTGTATGGGCTGTGCTGGACTATACGTCTGCCGCTTTGGTGCAGCGCGAGTTGCTACTTGCCAAAATCTCTATTCTGGGCCCCGAGGTCTATGAAGAATTGATGGAGCACCATCGCGAGATGACCAGTCCCGACTCAGACCAAGGACCGGCTGATGTGGAAAATGCCGAGGAAAATGCAGACAGGAGGTTGCAGGAATTGGAAGCAAATAGGCCTGAAGAATCATCTCTCGTGCAACGAGCCAAAGACATGCTTGGTCAAGGTGCCAGCTACCATCCCAGCCGTCTTGCTGCCAGTCAAGCGTTGCGACACAAGCATGAACATCTCGAAGCCATTACCCATCTGACTCACCAGTTCGGTGGAAAGGTCCTGGATATCAGCACGAACAACTGTATTGTGGAACTGTCAGTGTCTTCCGTCGATTCATGTGCGTATGTAACATGCTAACATGAGATCAGGTCTGCGAAACCTAGCCGAATCGATTCCTTCATGAAGCTGATCTCCCCCTTTGGTATTCTCGAGTCGACTAGGACGGGACTGATGGCACTTCCTCGATCACCCCTCTATGATCCAAATGATGAGCACGTGCGGGAGGCTGATGATGTGGTCGACGCTAGCACCCTTCCTCCTGGTTAGTTGTCTGTGTTACCGTCATGTTGGAATAGCGTCAGGCGCCCCTTGCATGAGGCTGTTTTCTCGATTTTGGAGTAGGTAGGCTCTGCTTGGTCACATACTGTGGATTGTATGGGTTCTGGCATTTTGAGGGACCGACGTCGCAGTGGGGGCGACGGGAGCGACGATACCATAAAATAATGGTGTTTTGAGGCATGCGACGTCGATCTCCAAAGCTGAACCTGATGGTCTGGACATATCAAAATCCCTTTCCTCGTATATTATAACCCGTGGTTGTGCCTGGTGGCGGGGTCTAGACCCTCTCGGCCTTGTCTTCGTTGGGTTTCAATTGGGAACTAGCCAAACAATGTCTCTTGACTTGTTACAAGTCATAATATCAAAAATGAACCAGTCCTCGCGTCGTTGCTCTTCCGACCTTGATCATCAGAAATCAGCCAGCAAAGCTTCAGCATGGAGAGACCCGACACGGATGTTGATCAGCTTGATAATTCACTGCTATACGTGAATCCCAAACAGTTTCATCGTATACTCAAAAGACGCGTAACCCGACAGAGGGCCAGAGAGGCTACAGTCCATGCGGCGTATACCCGAGACGCCCAAGACAATCGCACACAAGGGGCCTCAAGCTGCGCATCTTCTGAAGAGGGATCGAAGCATATCTCGGGACCGTCTAATGTTGAGACGCAATTTAGCCGTCGCTTGCCGTCAGTACTTGTGCCGTGTTGCCCATGCAGCCGTTGACTGTTGGAGTAGATTCAGCAAGGATAGGAATGGCGTTGGGAAGGGAGACGATGTTACCCTCTCCATCCAGAGCTACTCTATTGAAACCTCCAAGCCATCCATCGATGTCAAAGACCACGGTCAGCTTGGAATCAATACTGATGATGGCCACTTCTCAGACTGGCCATACAACTGCAGTTACTTCGTCTCCGAGCTCATGAATGCAGACGACCCAATCTCCCAACTCAGAAGCGATGCTGAGTTCTATCCTGCCGACAGCAACACACCAGAATGCTTCGCGGCTGTTGATTTGACAGAGTCCGGATCACACTCTTTTGTGCTCTCTCCATCGGACAGTCAATTCGATGAACGGCTTCGGATGTCTGATTTGGCCTACGGCGATACGCGCATCCTCTTTGTTTCGCAGAAACGGCTATGTCTCAAGAACTACACCACAAGCAGATACGGACTCAAATCTTCGACTTGGATCAGGATCTTGTCCTTGTGTGACATACCGCCGGATGCAGTCCAACTAATTCACGAGAACAACGGTTGCCGGGGAGCTCATACATCGTTCTGCTGTGATGTTAGGGGCAAGTCTTGTCGACTTAAGATCCCCGACGACTCGCTTGGGGAGACGCTGTGTGCCTATCATATCTGGGTGAAGCCGCGACCATGGTGGAACGAAGAGCACTTTGTCTACGCTCGCCACGACTTCCATTCGAGAAGGAAGCTCGTACTCGTCGTTGGCACTGCACTCGAAGCGCAACGGCAGCGTCTCTTGTCGCAATTCCGCTCGGCAACGCAACCCCATCTCTTCTCCGTCCTGCTTGCCCTTGCAAAGACGTGGACGAAAGACCTCGAAGAATTTGTGTGGGAGCAAGACTTCAACACACAGCGGCTTGAGTCGGACACCGGGTGGTCCACCGTCGGCCATACTCAACTGAAGCCTTTGCCGCGTGAGAAGCTCGCGCTCCGCAAAGATATCATATTTACCAAAGACGCGCTATCACACGTGGTCCGGGCATCAGAGTCCTTCGATGAACTCTTCAGCTTCTTCTCAAAAGAGGTTCGCGCCATCCCATCTGACGGGCACAATGTGAATATCCGTCCCGACCAGCTCAAAGACGCCTTCCTCCAACAAGGGTCCAAACAGTGGCACCAAAAGAGCCAAGCCCAAGGTCTCGTTGACCGCCTTGATGCTCAATGGAACATTGTCAGTGCACTCATAGCTCAGCATAATAACAGTCTGAACTATCAGATTGCAACCGATTCAAGGGATGACACAATTGTCATGCGGCGCATCTCCTTTGTGACGATAGCCTTTCTTCCTGCGACCTTTTTAGCCACTTTCTTCAGTATGTCGTTCTTCCACGTCACCTCGGACGACATAGCTGCGAGTCCTACAATCTGGATCTATGTTGTCTGCGTCGTGCCACTGACCCTGGCCATTGCCTGGCAGTCGAGTACTCGAGGCATTTCCGCGGTGAAGTGGGTTGCATCAAAGCTGCGGCGGAAGTCGCCCAAGAAGAGCGTTTTCTTCGAGGATCAGGGAAGAGAAGACCGGGCGACCCGCGAGGCTCAGCAGATGGCTTGAAAAGGGACAGACACTGTACAATTGGGCAAGAGGTCTTAGCCTGTCTGATTGTTCGCAGGTCTCGAATTAGTTTCTCGCATGCTCAGCTCTTCTCTGCTTGCAGGAAAATGTCGATGCATTGCCAATTGGAGCTCTCTGTTCTGGTGCTAGCATAGCAAAGTCAAGTGTCGTCGGCGATTGAAGTGAAGAAACACGTAGAACCGGCGTTATTGTCTTCGGTGGAGTAAATGGCCACACGACACGCACTTATACAGAACGTCGTCATCACTCAGGCGTGTCCTCGCAGCCTTGACACAAAGGTCAGCGAAAAATCTCGTATACAGCCTCGATTTTGTCTTTATTGCCTTCCTGCTTCCTGGGTGGACAAAGTATGGCGTCTTATCTGACAGATTTGCCCTCGGTTGGGGATTTCTTTCCTCCTACACCTCGAGCGGCCAAGTTGTCCCTCGACATCTTCAGATTATACATCCCTGTAAGCGTGCCCCTTTCGTACCCGTGGTTTGTTTTGTTTGCTGTTCGGCGGGTAGTGCCCTGAGCCGGGACTGAACAAGGCCCTGATGAGGATTCCTGTCTGACCGCGCCCTATGAATTTAGATCTCCCTGGTGCTATGGACACCTTTGAGAAAGCTACAGGCAATGGGCAAAACCTCGTCCAAATCTCGCCTAAGTCTTCCCGGTCGCTATGCCTGGGCGGCGGCGGAACTGGTCGGGCCAATTAATCTGCTCTACATCCTCTACAGCCTGCCAGCCAAATTCAGACCTCAGCCACATGCTGCGACGAGCTTCCTAGGCACAGGCTTGCCCGCTCAGAACGAGGTATTGGCGTGCCTGTACCTCCTTCACTACGTCAACCGCGCCCTTGTCAGCCCGCTTTACCTGAACCCGAGCATGTCGCCCATCCATCCGTTCGTTACCATGTTCATGAGTGTCTTTCAGTATACGAACTCGACCAACATTGCCTGCTGGCTGGTATACTCGACACAGACTGCCAACACAGAGAGCCGCTCCATCATCTCTTTCAGTTCAGTCGTCGGAGTGGTGGTCTTTTCGCTGGGACTGGCAGGCAATATCCGGACAGAGATGACACTGTATGATCTACGACGTGGAGCTGCCAAGAGGAAAGCGAAGTCGGAGGGGAAAGTGACGATTAGCTACGACAAGGTGTACGTGATTCCACCAGCTGAGGGAGCTTTCAAGTATATCTTGCACCCACATTACGTCCTGGAGTGGCTTGAATGGACGGGCTACTGGTTGCTTGGAGGTGTATGGGGATTGGGCTGGGGCGGTCAGAGTGCTGCCCTGTGGTTCGTGGTGTGCGAGGTCGTGACAATGCTGCCTCGAGCAGTGACTGGCCGACAATGGTATGAAGACAGATTTGGCAAGCGGGCTGTCGGAGGGCGAGCGGGAGCAATCCCTGGACCGATCAGGCTGTGACGGGGCAAAGTATCATACAACAATAAAGAATGGAGAGACATGCCAACGGGGGTTTTCTCGGGCTGGCGCCGGCGAGCCAAACAGCCTCATGCCCAAGTCGGTCCGGACTGCGCACCCCGATTACTCTGGAGCTCCTCGTAGATGGCGTGATTGATGGGCGTGTTCGGATGCGCAGGAACAACTACTCAGCAGCAAGGGGAAGAGGCTAGCACTCCGTCCATGAAAAAGTATATTCGGGTCTCACTCACAGCTCATCAGCCCAGTCTCGCCAGTAGCACGCGGCGACTTTTCGTAGTCATGCAGGGCGAGCGAATCTCGGAGGTCATGGCGGCCAACAGCGCAGCCCGCCCAGCTCAAGCATCCCACTAAAAATCTGGCCGCCTTGTGTCACTGGCGGCAACTACTGGCAAAGCACATTTTTGATTTTTCTGCTCATACCCTCTTTCTCGGGCCTTGTCACTACTTTCTCACCGCCCTCATCTTCTCTTGTGCTTCGATTCTTCTTGTTGTCCTGGTCTTCTCAACAACTCTTTCACTCACCTCCCAATCCACCCTTGAGGACGTATTGGAGGCTTGCTGTCCGGACCGTCTGCTTCACATCTTGTCCAACGCCCCTCCGGGTATCTTCAAAGATGGTTCAATCGTAAGTCGAGCAAACCAAACTGCCTACAATACACAGCTGCTGATTGTATGCCCAGCTCGATCCTCGGCTTCCCGCGCATGGGAGTCAACCGTGACCTCAAGAAAGCCACCGAAGCATACTGGGCTGGCAAGATCTCGCAGGATGAGCTCCTCGCCGAGGGAAAGAGACTGAGACTGGCACACTGGAAAATCCAGAAAGATGCTGGCATCGACATCATCCCGAGCAATGACTTTGCCTTCTACGACCAGGTCCTCGACCACATCGAGCTGTTCGGTGTGGTTCCGGAACGATACACAAAGTACAACCTGGCTCCCCTTGACGAATACTTTGCCATGGGTCGAGGCCTCCAGAAGCCTGCCACCGACAGCTCCCCGGCTGTCGATGTGCCTTCGCTGGTGAGAAAATCTCGCCAGTCGTCATCGGCGTTTGCTAATCTGGACAACAGGAAATGGTCAAATGGTTCGACTCGAACTATCACTATGTCAAACCCACTCTCCAGGACAACCAAGCCTTCAAACTGTCCTCCAACCCCAAACCGGTTGTCGAGTTCCTCGAAGCCAAAGAAGCTGGTATCATCACTCGCCCTGTCATCCTCGGGCCTGTTTCCTTCCTCTATCTCGGCAAAGCAGACCGCGGTCAAAGCATCGAACCGATTTCGGCCCTCGACAAGCTTCTTCCTCTCTACGAGGATCTGCTTAAACAGTTGAAAAATGCTGGTGCTGAAACCGTGCAGATTGATGAACCCATCTTGGTCTTCGATTTGCCTCCGCACGTCAAGGAGGCCTTCAAGCCGGCGTACGAGAAGCTTGGTGGCCTTGGAAGCAGTGCTCCCAAGATCGTTCTTGCGACCTATTTTGGAGACATCGTCCACAACATCGATGTTCTCAGCTACCTCAAGAATCTCTATGCTATCCACATCGATCTCGTCCGCAACCCAGAGCAGTTCGAAACTGTCGCCTCTGCCTTGGGCCCCCAGCAGGTCCTGTCGGCGGGCGTTGTCGACGGTCGAAATATCTGGAAAACCAATTTCAAGAGGGCAATTGAGCTCGTTGAGACCGCCATTCAGAAATTGGGCAAGGACAGAGTCCTTGTTGCTAGCTCCAGCTCTCTCTTGCATACCCCTCACACACTAGCCAGCGAGAAGAGCTTGGACCCAGAGATCGCCGACTGGTTCAGCTTTGCTTGCGAGAAAGCCAAAGAGCTCGCCATCATTGCAAAGGCTGTGACGGATGGCCCGGCCTCTGTCAGAGAAGCCCTTGAAGCCAACGCCAAGTCCATGCAAGCTCGTGCTTCTTCAAGTCGGACCAACGACCAGGCGGTTAAGGAGCGACAGAGCAAGATTACCCCCACCATGTACAACCGCAAGTCACCGTTCCCTGTCCGAATTAGCCAACAACAGGAGCGTCTGCACCTGCCTTTGTTCCCAACCACGACCATTGGATCCTTCCCTCAGACCAAGGAGATCCGTATCCAACGCAACAAGTTCACCAAAGGTCAGATCACCGTCGAGGAGTACGAGAAGTTTATCGAGAAGGAGATCCGGGACGTGGTCAAGATCCAGGACGAATTGGGTCTCGATGTCTATGTCCACGGCGAGCCCGAACGCAACGACATGGTCCAATACTTCGGTGAGCGACTAAAGGGTTACGCTTTCACGACCAATGGATGGGTTCAGTCGTATGGGTCTCGCTGCGTCCGACCTCCCATCGTGGTCGGCGACATTTCTCGACCTGCTCCAATGACTGTCAAAGAGTCCAAATTTGCGGCTTCGATCTCCAGCAAACCCATGAAGGGTATGCTCACAGGGCCCATCACCTGTTTGAGGTGGTCATTCCCTCGTGACGATGTCCACCAATCTGTTCAGGCGGAACAATTGGCTTTGTCTCTCCGAGACGAGGTCATTGACCTTGAAAAGGCAGGTGTCTATGTCATTCAGGTCGATGAGCCTGCTTTGCGTGAAGGTCTTCCACTCCGCACAGGCAAGGAACGTACCGACTACCTGAAGTGGGCCGTCGATTCATTCCGCCTCGCAACTGCGGGTGTTGAGGATGCTACTCAGATTCACAGTCACTTCTGCTACTCCGAGTTCCAGGATTTCTTTTATGCTATTGCAGCACTGGATGCTGATGTTCTCTCGATTGAGAACAGCAAGTCTGATGCCAAGCTTCTCAAAGTGTTTGTTGATGAGGCTTATCCGCGTCACATTGGACCTGGCGTCTACGACATTCATTCTCCTCGTGTCCCCTCCGAACAGGAAATTCACGACCGAATTGCAGAGATGTTGCAATACTTGAAGCCGGAGCAACTGTGGATTGATCCTGACTGTGGGCTCAAGACCCGACAGTGGAAAGAGACCAAGGCTGCTTTGACTAACATGGTCAACGCGGCCAAGAGCTTCCGTGCTCAATATGCCAAGAGCAAATAATGGGTATGTACCGGTTTGTGGGAGCGGTTGAACTTTGAGCTCGATCAATCAACCTGATCTGAGCAGATGGCGTCATGGGGTTTTGATTGAACCAATGGATGAACGACAAAAAGTGCTTTTCAACATGATACCACTGTAGCGACGGGGGCTGGCAAAAGTCCGATCTTAACATCGGCGTTTTTGGCTGGCTCTGAAACCAGACAGAGGAAGGGAACCAACGCGGGATGCGACGCGGCCATGATATGTGGCAGAGATGGATGTCACCTTTTCAACAGAACTTGTCAAGGGATTAGGCTTCCGTATGAGATTCAGTAGAGAGAACGGTGTTTCATTTGGACTGATTCTACATCCTCGACTTCCTCGTGCGTTGCGCTGGGCGAGGCTGGATGACACTCCATATAACCGTAGGCGTTGCTGTGAGCAAAGGGCACGTGAGAACGTGTCGTTGCGGCGTGTGTTTCTACTGGCCCGCAACGTGGTTCCCGTAGTTGACTCCATCACCCCGCCAACATTTTGTGACAATTCTGAATCCCGCTGATGAACTGACGGACGCCTGCGCCAGATGGAGTCGATGCGAGCGATATCCCTACCAGTACAGCATGCCGGCTCATCATCCCAAGCAGCCGCCCGCTCCTCAACCCACGCGCGTCTTCTTTGACCCGTTCAACTCGTCTTCCACCGGTCACCAACGCGCCGAAAATCGACTCTCGGGGTCCACCTCATGGCGCGAGTCTCGGACGTACAAACTCTCGCATCAGTTCAGGGACGCAACCGGTCGCGGCGGGAGTCAACATTTGGCCGATCTGGTCGGCGCGGGGAGCCAGACTTTTGGCCCGGATGGGCATAAAGCAAACGGCGACGGGCAAGAGCGGTCGCAAAGATTGAGGGGGAAAGGATGGCAGGACATCAGAGATATGATGAGTGGCCCAAAGAGACGGCCGAATCTGAACGATAATAATGTGGAAGAGACAGAAGAATCTGCAGAGAAGCGGCCGAAGGCAAGCCACGACGGCCCCCAACACCGCCACCAGGACGAGACGAGCCCTTTCCTATCTGGACGACGGCGGGGAGACGACCCAATCGATAATAGCAGCACCACCTCTCCCACCACCATTCTCAAGCCTTCACCGCCCCAAATCTTCCGCAACCTGACCATGTGCCTCAACGGGAGTTCCTTCCCTCTGATCTCCGACCACAGACTCAAACACCTCTTTGCCCAACACGGCGGCCACACCTCCATCGTCCTTGGCCGCCGCACCGTCACGCACGTCGTGCTGGGCAGCAACTCTGCGGGCGGCGGCGGCCTGGCGGGCGGCAAGATCCAGAAGGAGGTGCATCTCGTGCGTGGCAAGGGCGTCAAGTACGTCACGGCGCAGTGGGTGGTGGACAGTGTCGCGCAGGGCGTCAGGCAGCCGGAGAGCAAGTACATCCCGGACGGGGTGGGCGGGAGGATTGGAGGCAGCGGGCAGGTGAGTGTGAGGCAGATGTTTCAGCCTAAGCGATGAAGAAAACGGTTGCATGGTGATGTAGCAGGGTTTCTAGGATATGTTAACGACTTTGGCATTGGAGGGAGGAATGGGTTGTTGCATGATTGGTACGCGGCATTGGATGAAAAGGGGCGACACAGTACCCTTTGGGGGGGGGGGGGGGTTTGTGCATTCCTCAGGCATGGGAACGAGGGTACAACTAGGCATCAGCGACGGATATGGAACGAGAAGCATTATGATATGGTTGGAGTTTATATCCTTCGACACCAGGTACAGCCTTACAGGCGAAGTGTTGGCCTTCAGAAACGCAAGAGCTCGACCTTGGACGGGGCGGAAAACAGAGACGCCAGCCCAGAAGAACGACGATGACCATCCCTACAATGCAGAGAGGTTTCTTGGTTCAGGTGCTCAGATTGGGCCACACTGTCATAATATGATACCGTCAGCACGGGATATGTGGATTGACACACGACTTGAGAAGACGAAGCACATAGACACCACTCACCGAACCTTGTCCTCTCGCTGTTCCTCCGCACAATCGTCACTTCGTCGCCGACCTTGATCTCGGCCGCCGACTTGCCCTCGGGGACCCTGGCAAGGAACCCGTACCGCCCAAAGACGGGGCTCCATTTCGCGCCGGGGTCCACGCGCCGGTCGCTCTGCAGCTTCTTGAGGATCTTGCCCGACTCGCCCTCGCCGACCTTGCCGGTGGCGTAGTCGACGTTGAGCGAGTTGCAGCGCGCGCAGTTCTGGGTCAGGACAATCTTGGCGCGCCGGCTCTCATCGCCGTCGCCCGCGTCGCCGATGAGGATCTCGGCCCAGTAGTCCTCCTCAAAGTCCTCGTCGGCGCCCTCGACGATGATGTTCGGCCGGAACTTGGAGATATCCATTTCCTCGTCCGCCGGGAGGCGGCGCTGCGCGTTCTCCCACGACTTGGTCGAGATGACCAGGTAGGGCGCCACGTCGGCGAAGGAGATGCCCTCGTCGATCCCCTCGTACTGGTCCTCCTTGTCCGTGTCCGAGTCCCCCGCCCCGGTGATGGCGCGTGCAAGCGAGGTCGCCGTGGATGTGATACTGCCCAACCACGAATTCGCTCCCGCGTTCGCACTCGCAACAGCGCCAGTCCGCTCCTGTGCGGCGGCCTTGGGAGGCATGTTGCCCAACACTTTCCTTCGATTCCCGCCGATGTACAGCAATTTGACTTCGTAGCCGAACCGCTCACTGAACCAGCGGTTGTATTCCTCGCCCATGTCGTACCCGATGCAGGGGGAGTAGTGCATGGTGACCTCCACCTCCGCGAGCCCCGCCGTTTCGGGACTGAGGGGCACCGGGAGCAGCTCCGGGCCGACTTTCCGGTCTGGATGGTCGAAGACGTGGTCTTTGGTGTAGGTGACAATCACCTCGCCGTTGGGGGAGAAGGCGGTGGTGAACAGGCACATCTCGGTGAAATGCGCGACGGCCATGTTTTTCCTCTGCGCGACGTTGAAGAGCATGAAGCGCCGGTCGTGCGGGAACCCCATGTAAGTCGCCGGCATGGAGGAAAGCGAGATGCCGCGGAGGGATTTGATCGGGTAGGTGTAGATCTGCCAGGAGGGGAGAAGATGGTATGTCAGGACAGCGAGTCGGCAAGGTCGAGGGATGTTGGTATCCACCCATCCACAAGGCTTTATATCTTTTCTCTCCTTCTCGCGCTCTCTCTCTCTCTCTCTCTCTCTCTCTCTCTCTCTCTCTCTCTCTCTCTCTCTCTCTCTCTCTCTCTCACAAAAACACATATTCACCGGGACGGATCAATGGATGGGAAAGGGATGGTACAGTACCTGCTTGACGCGCAACTTGCGCGGTGCCATTGTAGTTCCTGAATCCGCCATCTCCAAGACTCGTCTTGCCTTCCGGCGGTTGAGAGATGTTCTTCCAAAAAGACACCAGAACGGGTGTCAATCAAGCCCCAACCCAGCCCAACCTGGGGTTTCCAAAACCAATGAATGGGGACTACCGCCGCCTATTACCTTTCCTCTGTACTGCCTGTTGACTTGTCCCTTCTCTTCCGCCCGCAGGATTGACCACTGGAAGATCTGGGAGACGTTGAGTTTTCCTATGATCAGTATCGACTCGTGATAACCCTTATCTCTTTCTCTAGCCTCTTGTGCGGCTCGCGCCCTGCCACCAGGGAGATGCGGAGAAGCGCGATCTTTGAATTTGTAAGAGCGAGAGGGGGAGAGGAGGGTAGACAACTTAGGGACAGAATATGTGTGGTTCTTTTGAGAAGAGGACGAGCGGTCTAGAGGCAAGAAAAGAAAGAGGAAGAGATGATAGAAGAAGGGATTAATAGTGGGTTAGGAACCTGCTGTTGTCTTTCTACGCCCTTTCACGACTTTGACGGACGGAGGATGGAGGATGGAGGATGGAAGATGGAGATGGTTCCCCGGCTCTGACCAACAAACAGCCACGCCGAGTCCTCGACAATCTCGACCCCGCATCATCAGATTTATTAGGCCGAGACCGAGGTGTCAGAGCAACGACCATATCAGATCGAGGGCACAGGTAAGCCCGTTCAGAGATTCAGTCATGGCATGAGTTAGGATTTGGACTTGGAAGATCGGGATGGAATATACTAGGTATATATACAGTGGCGGTTGGCCATGTGTATAGTACTTTAATTGAGCATCAACACAGGGCTCGTCACTCTAGAGATGTCTCTCGAATATGTGCAGAAAAATGCTCTTTTTCAGCAGACTACATACCTAGTGCAGATGACAGAGGGCCATCCTGTCATCGAGGGAGCTGGCTGTCTACAGTCAACCCCCCTTGGTGCTCGTCGTCCCTTCTCTATCACCCTCTACTTCGCAGCCGAGTGACTCACTCACCGACCAACTAACCGGTGGTGCCTTAATCTCCCCGTGTCTTGGGCGGGCCTGAAGACGAAGACGAAGACTAAGACTCCTGGATCTTGCGGAAGATGGGGTTCCGCGCTGTAAAGCTCCGGCATCGCTTGCCAAAGATCCACATGGGGATGGTGAGCAGGCAGATGAAGATGTGGAGGCCGCCGATGGTCGAGAAGACCTCGAGGGGTCCTTGCTTGGTGATCCAGTCTATGGGGAGACGCCGGTCAGTCATCAGTGTCAGATGCTGCCACAAGGGGACAACACGGACTCACCACTGATGAAATAATTCATGCCGAAGCTGTAGATGTTGCGCAGGTTGAGCGACGCAAACGCCTCGGGCGCCTTGTTCCGGTGGCACTCGGTGATGTAGCCGTAGATGCCGATGTTGAGGAACGACATGGAGAAGTAGATGATGCCGTACAGAACCACGGGCCCGGCCCACGGCGCTTCGTTCTGCAGCGTCGCCCCGAACCCGAAGAAGCCCACGACCCCCAGGATCAGCGTGAGGACGTTGAGGGCGAGGCGGAATTCCTGGCGCGAGCGTCGAGGTGACATGTTAGCCATGAACAATCTGCCCATACCGATACCAAAGGCTGGGTGGATGGCGTTTGTCTGAGAGCAACCCTTACCGGTTCGTAGATGCCTCCATTCCATCGAGCCAGCTTCTTCACCGTCCAGTCGTTCATCGGCCCGGCCACAAACCCCAGCAACGAGGCGACCAGCGCTGCGATGCTGATGAGCCCAACATCCGACACGCTGAAGTTGTACGGGGGCCCTGTGAAGAGCTGAGCCAGCACGGAGATCATGACCACCAGCCACGACGTCGACAGCCCGTACGTGATGAAGCCGTAGAGCACCTGCGGGAACAGGAGCATGCCGAACGGCCGGAAGATGATGTGCAGCAGGTTCTCGTCCGACTCGGCGCCGCGCCAGGGCCGCATCTCCTCCCAGAACGTCCAGGGCCGCTCGTCCGCGCCTGTGTACAGCACCTCGGCGTGGACCTTGCTGCCGGACTTGGTCGTCTCGAGGTGCTCCATGTGCTCGCCCTTGACCTCGCGCACCTCCAGCGTCTCGAAAGTGTGGTCCGTCGTCCCCAGGTCGAGGTTGTACGCCGGGTCTCGCTTGTACACCGTCTCGGGCACGAACAGGAGGATCAGGATGATGAAGACCCCATACAAGCATGCGCAGATGCCGTACGTCCAGTTCCAGCCGATATTCTGGTCGGGGTAAGTGAGCTTAGGGTCCAACCACCCCCGATATTTTGAGTCCTGCACACGTACCTGAATTATATAGCCGGAGATACAGCTGCCTCCACCGACTCCGATGCTCAAGCACAGACCCCAGAACGCCAGGCGCAGACCGCGCTCATGCACAAAGTAGATATCTCCAATGATGGCGGTTGTGAGTACCTCAAAAGGCGACATTCCAACGGCACCGAAGATTCGACTGTAGAACACTGTTAATGGTCCCAAAGAACCACGTACAACTGGCAACTCACCTTGCAAGCAAGCTGTGGTAACTGTGCGCAAAATACCCCCAGATCGAGGAGATGAACAGCAAAAGGTTCCCCAGGATGATGACGGGCCGACGACCGTACTTCACAGAGAGCCCATTGGTGATGAAGCACGAAATGCCGATGGCGAAGATGGCCCATCCCAGCCCGCCGTTGAGCGTGTTGTAGGACATGTGCCACTCCTCGGCCATCTCTGCGAATCCGGGAGAGATCATCGGCCCCCAGGCGCCAACCACGGCCGTGTCGATGCTGATGATGAGCAAGAGAAGATCCTTTTTCCATCTCGACCAGTTCAGCGGGTCTCTGGGAGACTCGCTGGGCTGAGGGACAAGCACGATGTCGGCATTGCGTCCAGTGGCATGTTTCAAGCCCGTGGTATCTCGTCCTAGAAGTCTTGTCAACCATTCACTCCGACATAAAAGCGCGCGGGGCAGGGCTCCTACCATGGAATTGATGGTGTTGCGCGTCTACCATGTCTGCGAGCAAAGCTGTGCCCGGGACATGGTCAAGATGCCGGTCTTCGAGAATTCCGAGACCCATGTTGTCCTGTGCTCAAGGGGATATTCGATTCTCGAACCAACCTTCTGCTAAACAGCCGATTTCCAAAGGTAAGGAAAGAACCTGATCAGAAGCAGGGGACGTCCTTGGAGAATAGAGGGTAAAGGAAGAAACTGGCGGTACTGGCTGTATATGAAATACTCTTGCATCTCGCTTCATTGCGGGGCTGTCGGCAATGGACAGGGCTGTAGATACCGTAGCTTGGGTCTGGAACGACTAAAGAACCGACGAGCACACTCGTCGTAAAGAATGTGATTGTGCTATTCCGCGGTGGTGGTGGAACTAGGAGTTTCCCCAGATCAACCCTCCCAGCCTCCTCCAGGTTGGAGTACCCCGAGGTGGATCGCCTCTGGCGTCCTCGGTCCTTCTGCAGTTATCTCAGCCGAGTCCTTTGCGGTGAGGGACCAAAGATCGGCAGATATGTTCAGGTATTAGGAGCCACGTTGACAGTTGGACCGGCAAAGGCGAACACATTACTGGCAAGGGAAGTCCCCGTTTGGCGAACCGTAACCCCCTGATGATATCGATCCACAGTCAGTGAGAGCGGCGGGGAAGAAGGATTGCATATCGCCGAACAGATCTTGATGCGTGATTGGACATACCTCAAAGGATTGCAAGGCGGAGGTCGAGTTAAGGCGCGGAGACAAATCGCTATACCATTTTGAGGAAATGGATTTGGACGTATCAACGAATGCCTCCTCCCAAGGTTCTGTGGCCCAAACTCCACAGTCTTGAGGCACATAGCGGCCTCATAACTATGTCCGACCTTTTTGATGGGTTCATTCCCGGTCCTCTGGCCGGAAACCAACTTCGGTTCGACCAGGCCGTTATCCCAACACAGCCTTGCCAGCATCAGTTGGGTTCCAAGGCCACGGGTCTGATTCCGCCAGGTATGCAATGGACTCATCAAGTCCTCTTCGGGAAAATCAGTCTGATACACTCCGTCTCTGGTTGGAATGATTGGACGGGCCATGGGCGCATTGATGCAGGTCAGATTCTCAGTCGAGGCACCATTTTTGTGACGCCCCAATCTCAATAGCTTCAAACAGATTGTGCATGCCATCACGGACAAGACAGAGACGTCCTTCTGACATGCACGTTCCGCCCCATAGCGCATTCTCCTTACCTCCCAGCTCGTATGATTGGATGTGTTCGATGAGAGCCACCTTTCCCCGCGCTCTATACTGATTGATAAGTGTCTCGTCGTCGAGCAGGTGGGCACTTTCGCTGTCAGGATCGATACCTGTGGCCGAATCTTCGGCTATGCAGACCCGCAGACACTGCTTCAGAAAGCGGTATGTTTTCATGACGAGGGGCAACTCGGCCTCCATTTCGGTCTTTCGCAGGACAAACACCGGGCACAGAGTTTGAGCGATATATGTGCCATCCGAGTCTTGTGCCACGATCGCCACCATCAGTGACAGTCGCACACCGAAGCCAGGAAGCTCAAAGTCGTGGTGGAAGGGCACCGGGTTCAGAATCGCCAACGAGATATCCGGCATGCCTGGTCCCGGATCAATCTGAAAAGGGAGGCCTTTCTCACCTCCAGACTGACGACAAGTGACCTGGTACCAGACATCATGTCCCGTAGTCACGAGAAAAGATTGCAAGCTAGCATTCAACCTGCCTAGAAATAGGCCGGGAGACGCAAAAGAGAGGCCTGAGGTAGTCAATACCGCTTTGTTGCTTTCGGCCGAAGGACCGTCGTCCCAGTCGCGAAGATAGAGATTGCTGTTGTTCAGGAACGAGGCCGGAGCCCACCGAAAGCCCATCTGCGACAGTCGAGCTCCGTGCCAAAAGATGACTTGCTTGCAGACCGTGGGCAGACTGGCATAAAAGGTTTCCATCCGACTTTCTCTCTGACTCTGGGCCACCCTCTTTATAAGCTCAGGCTGCAGGTTCGTCAAGGTGGCAAGGCACAGGGCCTCGTCCGAAGGAACGGATGTCTTTCGGAACTGCAACGGTCGAGACACCCTGTGCAGGACCTTCTCAGCGTAGTCCTCGTCACTGGCATCTAGCAGGATTCGAAGCTCTTTGTAAGCCCCCCGCACGCCGATGTAGAAAGTGGCGTTGATTGACTCTTGCCACCTTGAGTATACCTCGTCAATGTCCACAGCACGATCGGCGAACTGAAAGAACAGCCTCTTCGGCAACACGCCCTCTTGGTAGGTCCATAATCGTCTCGTCCACCCACACGAAGCAATGCGCAGGAGAATATTTAGGCCTGACAAATTTCTGGTTTCCACGTCAAGCAGCGAGTGGTCGAGCACCAAAACAATCTGCGCGTCTGCATAGGTTCTCCTCATAAAGGCAATCGCTTGATCATAGGCTTTTTTGGCTCGTTCCCGCATGTGTTCGTAGTCCCGCGGACAGGAAATTGTGTCGAGCCAGATGGGCATTCCCGACTGCGAGAATTGCGAGGCCAGGGATTGGAGCCAGCTGAGTTGACAGCTGTAGATGGCATTGCGCTGCGGATTTCCCAGTCCATCGGACCACACGTGCGAAATGGCTAGGTAATTCTGAACTTCGGCGGTGCTTTTCAGCTGCAGCTTGGAGCTCTCTTTCTGGACAGGATCAATCAGCGGTAGATTTTCGTCCTCGAGGATGTCGAAGATCTCGGTGGGTTCGGCGACAATGTCTTCACAGTCCTCGCAGTCGTGGTGGAGGCGCCGGTAGTGACCTGGAACAATGTCGTTCGCATTACATCGAATGTCGTCGCAGGTGCCATGGCTTCCAATATCCCTGGGGGGCAGTGTGCTCACAAGAGTGAGGGAATAGAGGTCGAGCATCTTCGTCAGTCTCTGCACATCGCTAGGACACCACCCAGCTGAGTGCATACGCTTTTCAAGTAAGATATCAGACAATGGCCATTGGCGGCTAGGAATGCTGGTTGTCCTAGGGTCGAGACATAGCTGCAGGCCGTCGCACAAGATCATGACGGAGAGGAGGATCAATTCCAACTGCTCTTCAAGCTCCTCTGAATTCAGATGGATTCGGCCCACTATCTCCGCCGCCAGCGCAATGCATTTCTCGAGAAGCTGCCCTGTAGCACTGCTTCGCTCTTGTGTAGCGGTGGCTCCTAAGAATTCCTTGTGGCACAAACGACGGAAGTGAAGCATCGTAACCAAAGGTCGAGTGCTCGAGCTGACGTCGACAAAGTCGAGGTGCTTTGCATTTGTCCCGAACGCTTGACGGATAAGGCCAAAGAAAAGCCAATTCTGAAGCATCTCTGCCAGGTCTATTTGCCCGTGGCTGTTCTGCGTTGGCTTCAGGATTTCGTCCATGGTCCAGCCTCGTACCCGGTCGACGTAGGAAGCAAATTCTCCGTTATCATAAGGCTCCTCATTTAGATCCAACGACCCCAAGTATGGAATTTCGATGGATCGATTAGGCCATTTCCTTTGGACGGGTAGTTCCATGGCATCAATTGCCAAATAGCTGCCTTACCAACTTGTTACTGTTGAGGGTTCTAAGCGGGGCGTTGATGAGAATTGTAGAGTGTCAATCCCAATATCAGATTTCGCAAAAGAGCCAGTGACATTACGACTAAATCACGAACGTACCGAACCTATATCGATGCGATTCATCGTGGGATCCCTTACCTCGAAAGACAAGGCTGGCTTAATGGTGTCCGCTTGGCTCCGCGCAGGGCTTGGCGGGGTAAAGCCTCATAAGCGACAGCTGGATGTGCCTCTGGACGTGACCGTATCTTGATGCGCCCATTACTCATTGGGACTCAAGCGAGACGGTGTTAAGACCTACCCGAATCGTGTCTACTTCTGTGCCTGTAATTCAGAGCACAAGAACCTCGTGGCAGTACTACGTCTTCTCGTCGTCCTTCCCTTGGGGACGCGCTCCTTGAGATAATTCAGCAGCGTTAAAGAGCCTAGCCTTGGAGTCCGTCTGAGACAGTGGCCTGTCGCTTTACATATGCAGTTTGTGGCCTAGCTCATCATTTTCTTGATGCTGCTGTTGCTTGGGCTGGAGCCCTGAACTACTCCCGAGGGAACAATCTCTCATATGCGACCAACGGCGTCTACCTCTCCCGCATCTTAATGTACTTGGTCAAACACGATACAGCAGATACAAGGCTGGAATTGAAAAGGGATCGGCCGAGGTTTAGCCACTGAAAGCCGCACGGATAGTATCGAGTTGTTGAAGTATATTAATACCTCCGAGGTTTGTGAGGTCGGAATAACTAGCCCCTGGGCCACCTTGTCGAGCTAGGGAGCTCGTGACGGGGGAGACTCCCCATGAGCTCAGACGGACGCGTGGACGCGCGGGTCTCTGCTGGCAGCTCATGGACCTCTTCAACGCCAAACTGCCGCACCTCCCTACCGCCGGACTCTGATGGCTCGTTTCTTCCTCGCTCGGACGACGGGGAGAGTAGTCCGCCACTGCTACTTGTCCCCCCGCGCTGCGAGGCAGAAGTGTAACCGCTATCTTCGACTGAAGCCGCCCGGTCATGTTTATAGTATCCTTCGAGCTCGCTGCGTGGGCTCCCTATCACTCTGCCGTCGAGCTCTGGTTTCTCCGCGACACCAACTGGGCTTACTACCTCAGAAGTGGTTTCGCATATTGAGCCACCGCCAGCATCAGATAGTGGCCGTTTGGTCTTGGGCTTCTTGAAGCATTTGAACCATAAGACTGCACCTACCGCGATGAGGACGAGGGCGGCGCCAATGACGATACCCGCCGTGGCCCCGGCCGACAGCTTGCGCGAGTTGGTCGCAGTGCTTGGTGGATTGATGCATGTCGTCTCATTTTGAGCGCATATGGTGATGATATCAGGCGAGACCGACGACTCTGGGTACACGGCTTCGTACAAAGTGATGTAACCCCATTCGTAATTTGCTATGATGTAAATTTCCTGCAGGATCACTCGGCCTAGGGTATATTGTGTCTCGTTTGCGGCTCGCTTGAGGGGGAAGTAAAAATACGTCCCATCCCCAGCTAAAGGAGGGCTGGCTTTTAGATCGAATGCGGCGTACGGGAGAGTGATGTTGAGGCGCTTCGTAGAATTTGAGACTCCGGTGCTCAGGGTAAATGTGACGCTTGCATTCTTAGTCACGAGAGCCGAGTGTTGGTTTTCGCTGAGAAGGTAGAGTTCGTAAGTTTCATTCCACACAAGACCAAAGGCTACCTCGAATGCTTGACACGCCGCCATTGGAAGCCAAACCTGAGTCGTAATAGAGTCTAGGGCAGTGATGATGGGTTCCGGAAGCATCTCAGTATCGCCACTAGTAATACTCTCAACCCCCAGAAGAAGTGGTCTGTACTGGTCAGAGCCACCCGCCAGCGTAAGGTTAGCATTAATATTGAGACGGCTCGCATCGTATCCACCAAATGTCAGGCTACCAAATGCCATGATAGGAAAAGAATAGTAAGACGCTCCGGCAAGGTAGCTCCAGGATATGCTAGGGATAAGACCCCCTTGTCGAAGGGCGCCAGTGACGCTTGGGATCGGATTGTTGAACGAAGAAATATTGGTAGGTTCTGGGCTGAGCCCGATGCTGCCCACGTAGAAATCCTCAGTTGCGTAGGCGAATATAAGCTGGTTATATAGGGATTCGCCACTCTGTTCGGGCCAGCCAAACTTTGGGCTATCTGTCAGTGCTAACATAGGATTGTTCTAGGTCCATTAACCATACCGTGACGTTTTCGGAGCCCAAGGCTGCGGCGCCAGAGTAGGGCAGGTAATGCTGAGGGCTTAGCGGGAGTGAGTAGTTGCCTTCAGCTTCCCATGTCGTTGAAGCACTCATGTTGAAGACACCGCCGCGAGCAGCAGGGCAGTCGAGCAGAGTTGACCCTTCGCATGCGTAGCTCCATACCGTCCATATCGTGTTACCCGTGATTGAAGGCAGCAGCCTGACTACTTGTGGTGGAGTTCCGATCTGGACTGCGAAGCTTGACCACTCTCCATCGTCTCCATCCCTAACAGCATGTCAGAAGCTGTCAGGTTGTAATTCAGCACTGCACTTGCCAAGAGTTGCTCGGTTGTAGTGAGATTGGGGAGGGATACGACTCATTGTTAAGAGGCGTACAGTTTGTCAGAAGAAGCTCCAAGAAAATATACAAGGTTGAGAGCAGGAAAGAAGAGAATTCCATGCTTCCAGGCAGAAAATTACAGGGGAAAATGTCAGGCTGTGGAATTAGATTAGGAACCCGGGCCTTCTCCAGAGGGATATCTGGTCATCTCCAACCACAGCCAACGATATGTTTCGGTCCCGTTTGACGGATGAATAAAATCAAGGTGTTTTTGTCATAAACCCAGTGTGTCGCTTCATGACCAGCTGTCAACGATGGGGAGGAACATATCAATGGATCAGAGCGCGCGGACATGCCAAAGTCGACCGGGGCAGCTCCTTCGATGCTTGCGATTGAGACAATTTGAGCGATTGGCCTGGACCAGGATCCTAGATACAAAGTTCCATACAAAGTTCCAGCCACTTCCGAGGATAACTCGAGTCCGTTTTCTGCATCGAAGATGAAATTGCTGGTGTTGACACTATTTATAGACTGGCTTTGCTCTGTCTTGCTGCTATGGCAATCTCATAATCTACTCCGCTCCAGGGCCATTTTTACGAAGAGGGCACAACTCTCATCGGGGCACCTAATATGACTCTACCTCGTAATGAAGGCAACAAAGCAGGGTGCCTTCGAACCGTGACGAAGCTGGGTTGTGACAAAACTGGCTGACCACAGATACGAAGTGGTTGATATCCAATAGCAGTTTCAGCAAAGTTTGTGCCCAGAGCTGAAATGCATGCCAAGCAGAATGGATGAGTTTATTCCATGTTACTGACGACCCCTTTACGAGGATTCGTGGCCCCTCCATTGCTTGTATGGAAGGAGGCTCTTGCAACCGAGTCCGGGTCCAGTCATATACCCTGTGTTGAATGTCGCCTTCTCCACATCGGGGAGTGTCGCAGTTACAAGGCAGACTTTTGGGCCTCATTTGCAATCACCTTGCAGACACGACCTTTAGCTGAAGGGAGTTGAGCAATGAATGGAGCCTATGAGCATGTGCGGTATGACGAGCAGAGCCCCTATGTCGTGTTGGGGAGGGGCTGTACATTTCTTGAACATTGGTGGAGGGGCTGTGGAGGAAAATGGTAGAATCCTCCGTCCAGAACCATCAGGCTGAAAATATAGCACCATGGTTGTCTTTCAATCACGTTGACAGCTCCTTGTCCGCGACTTCCAGCTCTTGTATACAGAGAGGATGGTGTTAATCGGCGCATTTGTGCTGCTATGCGGCCTGAGTGTCCAAGTCTCTGGTCATGTTCCACGTATGGAGATACAAGTTTCCATGGACCATAAGGTATATCAGTGCTGATCTGCATATAGGACAAGCTACTACCAGCAGTCAAGGCACAGTTGCAGCAAGTGATACTGCGACGGCGACAGCTCCAGAAGCCACAACGACATCTGCGCCTGCGGCGACTACAGCTCAACCAACTACAGTTGCACCAACCACAACATCAAATGAGCCTCCAACTACCACCACCATAGCTTCGCCAACTACAACTACAGCACCTCCTACAACTACTAGTGTAGAACCTACAACATCGATCGCACCAACTACGACCACGACAACACCTTTGCCTCCCCCAACGACAACCTCGCCACCATCTACAAGTACATCTACGACCACGACCAGCTCGACCACCACCACCACCACCTCAGAAGATTCTGGCTGTTCATCCACAGAGCTTGACAGCGTAACCGTTACTTCATACTCGACTTTGACCACTTTTACCACTACATCCATTCCCCAAACCACGATTATTAGCACCGTTCCAGGCGAGACTATTGTGACCAGTACCACTCTCCCCGTCGAGACTATTTGGACTACCACTACTCTCGCTGCTGAGACTATTTGGGTCACCATAACTCTCCCTCAAGAGACAAGCCTGGTTACTGTGACGCAAACCTTCACTTCCCCTACAAATGAAAGCACTGCACCACTCTCTATCGCCGGCGAAACAACTTCTATCGGCGGTACATCTACATCGGCCCCGGTGTCTGCCTCGTCAACAACAGTCGCCACAAGCAGCTCTACAGCCCTTTCAACTTCAGCCTCGGTTACAGCAACTAGTTCCACTTCAAGCTTTGCCACGAGTACAAGTCTGATAACAACCTCTCAAAGTACATCATCTCAAACCTCCACTACTTTACCCGTTCTTCGAGCTAGAGATAGTGGGGGGTGCGGGACAGCCTCAACAACTTCTATTGTTGTCTCCAGCACTACCGAGACTACGGTCACCAGCACTGTGTCAGTGCCGCCTGTGATCCTCACCGTCACCGGTGAGGCTACCACATCAGCATCAACTGTGACTCCCCCGCCCAAGTCTGCGACGTCGACGGTGTCCAAGGCGGCCGTCACCTCCACATCGACTGTCGCCGTTGCACCTGTGCTGTTAACAAAAACTTCTCAAATCACCGTTGCTGCGCCAGCTCAGCCGCAAAATCCGACAACCCCTGCCCCGGTTCAGTCGACTGCTCAGTCCCCTCCCGCTGCCACTGCACCTACACAAAATTCCAGCAGTGGACAAGGCTCATCTAGAACACAAACACCGAGCACCGTATCAGCCGTTTCTACAACACGAGCTTCCAGCCCGGCTCCTTCATCCAGCGTTACGCCGCCTGCCAGCACCGCGACGCCTCAGTCTTCTCCGGCAAATCCCGGTGTCTCGACTTCAAACCCATCTTCTCCTTCAGTATCGACATTCCGAACCACCACTACTGACGTAACTACAGCAGTCGTCGTAGATGGCACCACTGTTATCGCCGGTGGTCCGCCAGTCACCATAAACGGCACACCCGTCAGCCTTGGCACCAGGAGCTCCGAGATAGTCATTGGCACGAGCACGACAGTTCTGACACTCACCCCGAGCGGTGGTATTCAAACCGTCATTTGCAGCGCCATTGGAGGCTGCACAGGTACGAGCACCGCTGCACCAGGGCTGCAGACCTTTGCGGGCGGTGCTCAAAAGGCGCGGAATGCGGCCAATGCTCCCTTGGCCCTGGGCTTTGTGATCCCATGGGTGTTGTTCGCCTAGGAGGATGTGCTCCAGGTAATGATATAGGGCCAACGCGGAAGGAAAAAGTACGGGTTGGATTTTGGTGTTTCATACTAATGGGGGATTGGCTGTTATCACGGCCAAGGAAATAAAAACACTTGGAAAGGACTGGGAATGTCCTGTGCTGGCTTTTCTCCAGTTTCAGTAGGCTATAATTGGTCAGTATTCAAGATAATGCGTACTCTCTCTTTCGCTGGTCGCAGGAAGAGATGCTCACTCTTCAAAAGGGAGAAAGCTTCAAGAAAAAAAGATCCCGCCCCAAACCCCCGTAGAAGTATTTACAGAGTATAGTAGCCAACGTCAGATGTTGAGAACACCGTCCGAGCCACAAGGGCTCTCTCGTCCTCTAGAGGCCATCATGTCTCCGTATCAGCCGCATAACTCGGCCGGCGTGGAGCATTTATTGTCCTTGACGACGTTTCCAGCGCCCGCCGTCCGCACGTAGATGTCCAGGTCGTTGTCCAGCAGAGTATTCCCAACAACCTTATTGCCTGTGGCGGTCGAATTCGTCGTGGGGTCGTCCACGAGGGTGATTCCGGCCGTCGCATTCACCAGTCCGCCCGCCCTCATGCCTTCGACGACGTTGCCTTGCACCTCTGTGTCCGAGGCCGCGAAAATCGTGATCCCGCCCATTGCTTCTCCCGGGAGACTGGCACACATCAGACTTGCTCCACCGACGTGGTTGTCGAGGACCTTTGCTCCCTGAACCCCTGGGTCGACAAAGGCGCCGAAACACGACTCGAGGACGTGGTTATTCGCTACGTGTGCGCCGTCCGTCTGGACACACAGCGCAAAGTTGTAACCCTCGATGGAATTGTTGGTAATCTGACCAGGGGTCATATCGTCCATCTGGGTGTGTTAATACCGAGTTAGCATAGCTGACTAGTGTAAAGTCTAAGATATACATATCAGGATAATCTAAGACAGAGTCAACTCCCTGAACACTGGGGTACTTACGCAAATACCAATGTACCGTAAGCCGCCTGTGGAGGTAACATTGTTTGTATCGACGTGACTATTGTTTGAGCCGGTAGACAAGCAACCATACTGTCCGCCGTCGTAGAGGCCGTTGCCGACTATCGTGGTATTCTGTCCTCCAACAACTGCAACATCCAATCCGAAACCTTGGATTTGGAAACCGGTCACCAAGATGTCTTTCACTGGCTGACCGACTGAAAGGACTTGTCTATGATCTAACACGAAATCTGCGAGTGTAACATCTTGTCCCGTTACGCAGATGCCGGCTTCCGTGTCAGGCCCAGCGAGGCCGGTGCATGTGTTCCTAACTACGGCGCCCGGCGGAACCAGGGAGGCCCCTTTGCCCACCAGCTGTAACCCGTCCGTGTTTATGGTCAACTGTTCTGCGTATGTGCCGAGTTCAACCACGATCATTTGCCCCGAGTAAGCTGCATTGATAGCTGCCTGGATAGACTCGCCAGATTTGACGTGGAGCGCACCACCGTCGGAGCCACTTGCGGGTGCTGGAAAGGGAATGCAGGTGCATAGAAGGAGCAGGACGAAGCCTGTTCGGCTGGGTCCCTGCAGAGAGTAAGCTGCCATTTGGGGAAGCTTGTCGTTAGTACTTTGGAGTGTGGTGCCTGAGGACAACTCTGTTTCGTAGGAGAGCTCTACTGATACCCAACTGGGCTGATGGACAGAACGGGACGAGAACAAAAAGATGGGCAATAGGGCTGTGCTTGATATTATATTATCAGGAATGTCGGGCGAATTTGTTGAGAGGAGAACCGAGACCATCTCACATGTTCGTTCTCATCACGAACGATGGCTCCTTGACAAGATGCGTGTTTGACCCTCTCACGAGGTGATCGGTGATCCAGATTCTCGAGACTGCTCTCAAATGGTCTTTACGAAGCAGTGAACATCGTATTGGAATGAGAAGTTTGTAATGTCTGCAGCAGTGCTATCGGTATTACGTAAAGTTTGTAGCAGCTCTGTTGGTGCTAAACAACCTTTGGGAGATGCTTGTGTCCATGCAATCACCCGTGTTTGAGGTCTTTCCAGGCTCATTTTGGTTTAGGCATGAAGTTCATCTCGTGTCAGGTGAGTTGGCTATCTTGTCCAGCTGTGACGAAGCAATGATACAAGGCCGATCTAGTCTGTCTTACTTGTGGTTTGGCAGAGAGCCAAGCATCGAAAACTTGAGCATTTGAAGCTTGCAAGCCGGGTGTCCAATGGGAGAAGCGGACGGAAAGCTGAACACGAATTGAACGAGATCGAGCCTTGTGACTAGATTCTCGCCATCATGATTTGACATCTCAATTGAGGAGTGAATCGTGATTCACTGGGGTTGTTCGGGTTGTTGAGAGCGGGAACTCTTGAATCATTTTGTTCAAGAAGAGGTCCGGGAGACCTCATGCCAAGCCACCACCACGTGATCCAAACTTTCCCGCCAAGTGCCAAGACTGATCTCGCTACACCTTCTGCCACCTCGGTCGCGCTCCACCAGGCATCGCCGCTCGCCCGTTCCTCTTCCGACGCCAAGAATTCGACGATGCGACAATTTTCCGCATGGCAAGAATGAGGATCGAAGCACAGACAAACATTCCAGCATCAATCTTGGACCCTCTGTCTGTACTCCCGGCTCAGTAATATTAGCTGCGTGCCTCCGCGCAGGCGATGAAGACGCCGGCTGCGCCTTCTCGAAGTCTTCTGCGCTATCTTCGATCTCAGTCGGACACGATCTTCGCAAATTCCAGTCACTTCGCAACATGTGCTCGAACGCCGTGTAGAGCTATATCCACGACTGCCACCCGCAAGCGGCTCTCCCCGCCTGATGACATATGGCAATCTGTGCGGGAGCCATGCAAAGCTCTTCCTCCCCCGAAATGCAGTCCCCCAAATCCTCCACAGTCTCGCAGCGCCAGTACAGAGAGCCATAAGCAAAGTTTCTGGCGACGATGGCTACGCCACAGGGCCATTGCAGCACGTTCAAAACTGCCACGAGATGCTCCAACAACATCCTCACCCTACGGCTACGACGAGACTTCGGCCCAACTCTTCAACCTCTCCCGCGCCCTTTCTCGTAACACCAGCGGCGCAGAATTGAAACTCCGTTGCACCGAGTTTGACGCCAATGGCTCGGTTACAATGGTATCGGGCGAGTTCAAGAAATCGGAACTCATCGCAAAATATGGGTTGCTGCCTCGAGATCTCCGAAAGATCGACTCCTCCGTCCTTCCGCATATCCTGGTCCGTCCTTCAGCCATCCTAATTAATCTTCTCCACCTCCGAGTCCTTATCCAGTCGGACAGAGTTCTGGTGTTCGATGCGTTTGGGAGCACCGATTCTTACACCCAGTCCTTATTCATGTACGATTTGGAAGGGAAACTGCGACAGAAAGCAGACCCCAGGAACGGCTCCCTCAATCTCCCATACGAGCTGAGAGCTCTTGAAGCAGTTCTCATTTCGGTCACTTCAGGACTGGAAGCGGAATTTGCCCTGGTCCGGGAGCCGGTCACACATATCTTAAGAGAGCTGGAAGAAGATATCGACAGAGACAAACTACGGCACTTGCTCATACATTCCAAGAAACTCGGAACATTCGAGCAGAAGGCGCGACTGGTGCGAGATGCCATCGAGGACCTCCTTGAAGCGGACGATGATCTATCTGCCATGTATCTGACTGAGAGGAAGGCCACCGGCAAACCCCGCGCTGAGAACGACCATCAAGAAGTTGAAATGCTCCTCGAATCCTATCACAAGATATGTGATGAAATTGTCGAGATATCGGGTAATCTAATCAGCAACATCAGAAACACGGAAGAAGTGGTCCGGGCGATTCTGGATGCCAATCGCAACCAGCTCATGTTGCTCGAGATCAAGTTTAGCATTGGCACTCTCGGCCTGGCCGGGGGGACCCTCATCGCCGGGCTTTATGGCATGAACCTGAAGAACTTTGTCGAAGAGTCAGACTTGGCCTTTGGCGGAGTCAGTGTTGTGTGCTTTGGCCTGTCCTGGTTGATCTGCATCTACGGCATGCGCAAATTGCGCAAAGTGCAAAAGGTGCGCATGTGGGGTGAGGGACTCGATCACAGCATGGGCTACCGTGGCGGCAAGATAGGAAGTCGAGGAAATTGGCGCAATGAAGCAGTGGAGAGCCAGGCGCAGAAAAGCAACAGACTGAAAGCGGGGGGGAGTGCGCAGACTGGCCGTGTGCTTTGGCCTGGTATGGACGGGCTAGGAATGCACAAGCTCAACAATGCCGGAAACGACGACCACCAGCAGCCAGGCGGAGTGTTTGACAGCAACACCAACGCGAGCTCAGACGCTGGATCCAATGGACCGGGCATGACGATTCACGAGGACGTCGACAACGTGGAGGCCAAGATGAAGGCTGATGCGAAGAGGGAGAAAGGTCTGATGACCAAGGAGCAAATCAAGGCACAGAAGAGGAAGTGATTGATGCACGGTCGCCCTCTCCCGTGCCTCTGTAGTAATATATCTGTGACGATTACGCGATGGGTTTCGTCTTCTGTTTTTGGCATATAGATAGATGGCTGGTCTCATCTCCTTTGAGCGTTCGAGCGAGGACTGAGACGGACGGTTCTTGCGTATCTACATATATCGGGGCAACTGCATTTACATCGGAGGCACACCATAGACAGGGTTCGGTGTTGAACGGGATTATACGGTGGAAGGCAACTCCGATCTCAATCTACCGGTATAGTGGGCATTTGGCGCGAGTGATGCATCCTGAAAATGACCATGGGATCTACACAGCTGCAGCCGCTAGCCTTGCGTGGAATATAGACGATGAATCCATCTCCATTCCTGAGCGATCTGGTCGATTCCCAGGGAATAGAACTGTACCCGTGCTTTGTACCCAGGTACATACCCAGGTATACTCCCTAACTGGCGGGTGACATGGTCGCGGCACATGAGGTACGATATCCGTTCTAGCCTGATGCTTCAATAGTCGAGTCTTGATGGAAGGATACTGTGAGGTTAACTTGTTTCATGGTGATGCTTTCTTTGGTAAACATCGACTTTTTCCTATGTAAGCTGGCACCTCCCGTGCTTGCTTGTTCTATTTGTCCAACCGCCGCCCTCGCGTCTGTCCTCGCATATACTATAGCAGCGATATTCTCCTGGGTCAGCTGCTCTTCAATCACTAGAGAGCTCCCTTGTTTGAGCAGTTGTGTTTGTGGCCCATTGACAGTCTCTCTCCATACCTCCACGCCAAGAGTAGCCATGGTCCATATCCTACTCATGTCACCGCTACATTTTCCCCATCCCCAACACTGAGCCGTTGTGAGAAAGTATTCGAAGGCGATTATTCCATTCATCCTCTTTGGAACCAGAGTCTGGATCACCAATCGTCGTCGTCGTCCTTTTCGTCATCTATCACAGCAGAGTCAGCATCCCTTGGCCAAACACATTTCAAAGATTCAAACCGGACAAATAAGGGCGAACTTACCGCTGCCACTAACTTTCTTCTTTCTCTGGCTCAACGCTGCAGCCAGCGCCCCGGCCAGACCACCTTGATCCCCGGCTGGTGTCGAGGGAGATCCTGGTGCTCCCGGGGGTGGTGGAGCACTACTCTCTGATCCCGGCACTATGGCCGCACTACGGTCGCGTTTCTCGCTGTCCTTGACCTTGCGTAGCCCGCCACCAGCTTTCCCACCTGAGCCGCGAATGGCCGCTAGAAGCGAGTCACGACCATCACCTCCGGCTTGGGGAAGAGGCGAGGTAGCAGGTCCAGAGGAGGAAGGCATGGGAGGCGGTGGGGGTGGGCTGCCAAAAGAAGGCATGGGAGGTGGTGGTGGAGGACCGCCAAAGGAAGGCATGGGAGGCGGTAGTGGAGGACCAGCAGAAGACGGCATGGGCGGTGGCGGCGGAGGCGGAGGGGGAACAGCACCTGTAGGTGGAGGAGGGACTGCTCGAGTATTTGGAGGCGGCAAGGGGGGCGCATTGTTGCGTGCTGGAGGAGGCGGTGGAGGTTGAGGGATGAACAATGCAGAATGCGACGGCGTTTGTCCTGCTTTAGGTGGCAATGGTGGTGGTGGTCCAGCGTAAGGAGTTGGTGTCTCACGGCTCGGTGGCGGAGGAGGAATAGGGCCACGACTCGGTGGTGGGGGAGGCGCGGAAGACTTTCGTTCCCCAGTGAATGGCGGAGGCACTCTAAACAGACCACCCTGGGGTTGTTCCTCCTCAATCGGAGTTTTGGGAGGACGAGGCGGAGGTGGAGGACCTGGATTTGCAAGCGAGCCTGAAGAAGCTCGAGCTCGCCCAGATGGGTGGAGCGCTGGACCTTCTTTGACAGCAAACTTGCCGGCATCTGCGATAGGTGGAGGGGCGCGAAATCTAGGCTGTGGACTTGCTGTAGGAGGAGGAGACGGAGTCCTTGCTGGCGGAGGAGAGCTTGAACGAGGAGGTGAAGAAGCCCGCCCGCCCACAGGTCTTCTTGATGGCGGAGGGGCTGGAGGAGGGCCTCTCCGGCTCGAGCCCGTGCCAGTGTTTTCGGGGCTAATTCTCGACGGAGGTGCTGATGGAGGCGGCGGAGGCGGCGGAGCCCTTGATCTTGTCTCGGCAGCCGTCACTGTCGGTATGGCCGAACCAATTCCATTGGCCGTTCCTTCTGCCTGCTTCTCTTGCACATAACGCTTGATAAAGTCGACGTTCTGGGCGATCTGATCTTCGGTGATGCCCATTTGCAGCAGTTCATCCAGGATTGGCCTCAACGTAGGGTCGGTAAGATCGATTGTGTCTGCATTGCCGTGTGGGTAGCTTGCCGGGGCAAGGCCTGGGCTGTAGATTGGCTGAGGGGTGATTGGTTGCGGTTGCTGCGAGGCAGAGCTGTGCCGGTGACCACGGAACAAGTTGCTAACTCGACTGTGATGTTTGTGGGTGCTTCCAGGCACGTGTACCTGGCCTCCTCCAGCGGCAGATGCAAACGGCTGGGCTTTGGTATGTTTGCTGGCGTTTTTCTCGCGCTCGTCCATCTTTTTCTTGAATGTCCGGGCCTCCTTCTCGTCGACGAAGGATAAGCCGGCTAGACATTGTTCGAGTTCAAAGGAATGAAAGAATGTGCGGTCCTGGTTGTATTGAAAGGTGTCGTATATTTCTTGATCCCATATCACGCCTCGGTTTGCAGGAGATATATCAACGAGCTTGATCCAGAAGGTGTTTCCCACGAGGTCGTTGGAGAGGACAGCGGCGCCCTGAAGACCGGTATAGGTCCATCGTCTGTGGTCGGGATGGGCGACGTAGAGACGAGCGACAGCAACGGCTTGGATCTTGTTGGAAGCCTTGGGCACAGTCCGCTTCACCGTCTCCTTGTCAGCGTCGCTGAGGACGGACGGCATATCGGGGCGAGTGACGGTGTTCGCGGTCAGCAAAGGGGGAGGCAGAGACTTGAGGACAAGAGCGGCCTGCTTGTGTGCAGTAATCAAGTCAAACAGAACCAATTCAGGGCGAGTAGAGGATAACAGACTGACATGAAGTATAGAAGGGTGATTAATGAATGGAGCAGGCAATTCCAAAAGGGCTCTCTGTGGTAAGGCGGAGACAAGAAAGAAAGGCTGAGCCGCGTGGCATTTCGGCTGGGATCAATCTCACTAGGGGAGTCGTTGCGGGGAGGCCCTGCATTCACCACTCACACCCCAAGGCTTGGTTGGAAGGCCATCCCTGGTGCCCTTATGTCTCCCCTGTTTGCCCCCGGGGCCTCTTGCTTAGACCGTCACCCTGCAATTGGTTGAGCTCGGCGGCCTTCCGTCACTCATGCTTCTCCCCTTCCTGCAACACCCCACTTCACAGACGTCATAGCCATGGCGTGTAGACTCGCAAACTGCAAACACAGGAGCCTGAGAGTGTCATGGTCACGCAACAACTCAGTACCACAGCTATATAAGCCTCTTGAACCCTCTTCTCTCCTCATCCCCAGACCAGTTTCTGAAGAGCATCTCAATCGTACACAAACATCTCAAAATGCCTGTCATGCCAAGCGAAGAAAATACCGACTCTCACGTCTTTGACAAAGTCGCCAAAGAGTCCAGCGATTCCACCGCCTCTGACCACCCCATCCATCAGGGACAGCAAAAGGCACAGGCTCATCATCATCAGGGCAAAGGTCCTCAGATCTCCGATAGTGAGTACATCCCGCGTTCTGTCGCTGTGAAATGATTAAAGCTGACCGGGCCCTCATAGGTATTCCTGCTGAGACGAAGAGCAAGGAGGAGTTGAAGGCTCAGGCACAAGAGATGAACAAATAGACTCGACATGAGTGACGAATGAGAGACGGACATGATCCAACATGGTAACGGTGAAAGCAAAATAAAATGGGTGAAGGGAAAAGAGCACACTCAAGGTCATTCACAGGGATGGAATAAATCATTGAGAACCTGACGATGTCTCCACCATGCCCCTGTGATGCCGCCAAACTTTGTCTTCATGCCTCCATTCCTCCCTTCGAAGCTGCCTACCGTGCCAGGTCCGTCGCTTTGCATTTTGATGGTCTATCTGCAGATAGCTCGTGGTTCCCTTAGGGCTCATCATGATTTTCTGGCACGTTTGCCAGGCGGTTCGCCGTCGTCCTTTCGCTCCCAACTTCTGCCCATTCCTCCATTTCCCTCGGTCTCGTTAGCAGCCACGGTCCTGTCTGACCTCTCATCAGCGGTCATCGGCTTGGGACACGCTTTCTCGTCGGTCGATTGAGCCTGTGGAGTTGGATCGGGTAATGTGATTGAAAAGTGGATAAGGCGCCGGCAGGTCTTCTCAGAATCTCTCTTCACGGTTTCTTGGTTGTCGTTCGCAGACATAGTGTCCTGCGTTTTGACTGGATCAGTGCCCTCGGCTTTACTGGCTCCTGCGCTGTTGGTTATCGCCTTTTCATCAATGCTGTCCTCGCTGGTTGCCGCCAACAAGCCTTTGTCCTCTTTTGCTTCCTTGGGTTTCTTGTCGTCGTCCTCTGGGTGCTCACTGTAATGCCAAAGCTCCTTCAAGTCCCCTTTCACCAGAGCGGTGCCCCAGAACGATAGCAGGACCCCAGGCACAAGGTAGAGCAGTGCGGGCTGGGCATGTTGTGCAACCTGCATCACAACCACCGTCACCACCATTCCAGTGAGATATCCTAATATTGTGGCGCGAAGATACGGTTTGGGGAATCGCTTGGCCTTCATCCCCTTCGACCATAATTTCGAGGTGGTCCAAAAACGTTCTCCCCATGATCCTGTCGCGCTGGTGTATGTCGGCTTCGACGCATCCTCCCCTGCTTGCTGTCCTTCCTTAGCTTGCCGAAGATAATACAAGTACAAGTCAAATCTCAAGGCAAAGGCCAGCATCATCCCTGGCACGACGATATCCCCTAACCCTAACATGGCCATTGTTCTTTTCTTCGCCAGACACTGCAAGTACTCTTCCATTGCTGGCGAACCTTCAGGCGCGCCCACAGGAAACACGCAACCATCGGGTCGAGGGAAGAGCAGCTTTATCGGTACGTCTAATTTGGTCGCCACAGTGACCATCATGGGGGTGAAGAACACGAAGTAAATATCGTAGAAGAAGAGTGCGCTCAGCACGAGGGTGCCAGTCCAGGCTGTTGTAGGTGTCATGTACTGCAAAGAGCCGTAGCAGAAGGAGAAACCAAGGATGTTGGTCAGGAACCATGGTTTTGAGACGAATGTGTGAATATAGACGATGCCGCCGGAGAGTACGAGGCTGATGATGTCAAGAATTTCCACTAATGTCTTGATAGTAATCAATTCGTGAACGTGGAATTCGAGCCGGGCCTTCGTGTAAAGTATCGCTCGTAGATTCCAGATAAGCGATACAGCGGAAGAGGGTAGAGGAATTTGTCCTGCTAAACCCGGAAACGGTGAGCTGTTCCGCGAGCCGTTCTCTGTCTGGAAGCACCGTTGCTGCTGGTCCACCTTCCACAGCATTCCTGAACAAGAATACTCATTTGGAAGTAAAAAGGACCGCATCACAGAGAAGCCGTCCTTCAGGAACTTCATGGCGAAGAACAAGCCAATCTGTGAGAAGTAAATGCCCAGGGCCCAGTTGAGCCAAGCGGGATCTTGGAGCCACTTGAGAATAAAGTAGAGCGATGCCAGTGTGATACCAGCCAAGACGGGAAACAATATCGCGTCAGAAGGGGTCAGGCTTTCAATTCTTGTTTGGGAATCCTCGTCATCGCGTTCTTCGGCTTCCCCATCGGCGGGTTTCTTCGATTTCTTGGCTGCCGCGGACGGTGGTCTAGTTAACGAGGCGTGAGCGGCCGTGTAGATGGGGAAAATGGCCGACACCAGAAGATGGATATACGTTGGCAAAAGAGGTCGCATACTTTCGTAATGGTAGGCGGCCTGGCCTAGAAACTCCATGAGTGGGCCCGGCTCTGAAGCCATTTCTGCGGTTTGCGCGCGCCCGGGAGAGATGAACAAGCCGAGATCGGCATATGTTGACAGGTCCAAAGGCGCGAGAGAGCGTGAACAAGAATACAAAGATCTCCAGAGGGTAGAAATAAACGAGGGTCCTGCGTGAAGCAGAGTTGCGAACAGATTCAAGATCGAGGCTGAAGTTGGTCACTAGGCTGAGGCCAGGCTGGCCTTGGCGAGCTTGGAACGAGTCGCAAGGCTAGATCCACACGGCGCGAGGCTGAACTCCATGATATCGCCGGTCACACGTAGCTAGACGGCAAGAAGTGACTCAAATTATCATATAACTAGTTGCATGGCTATCTCCTCGGGGTATAGTAAATCAATAGTCGCAGAGATCGTTCCTGCACTTTCTTCACAGCCCTCTCTCCCCACGCGACCTCTCGCCTGTACTGAGGGAACGGCACCATCGTTTCTATCGCCATCCTCAACGGAGCAGCAACACATTTCGGTCCTTGATCGAGCATGTCACCCTGCAAGCTGTATTCAACGGACTGGAGTATGTTGCGACAGGGTGCGGCGAAGTCTGCTCGATGTTCTAACGGTGGAAAGTGGAAGATGTTGTCGACCGTATTTGTCAAAGACCTAGATCCACTATCCGCATCTCCTTGTGCAAAGGCCCCAGCCTCCGCAAAGTTCATCTGCAATTCAGTCATAACTCCATAGAGCAGCCACAAGCCCTGCCACAACATAGCCTGGACCCCCCAATAAATGATGATAGTGTTGGCGATGGAGAGATCGGGGAAATGGAATGCCACCGGAAATAACATGCCATCATTCGAGCAAAGGTCGAGACTTTTATCTCTTGCTAGTTCCGGCCAATATAGTGGTCCGTCATGGCTCTTCTCCAAGCAATCATAAACCGACTGTAACTCGGCATCCAGCTTCCAGCATTTTCGGATCATCTCAGTCGCAAGCTGCAACTTGCCCAGAGGGTCCATATGTTCGAGCATCTCGCCCTGTCTGCGGAGATCTGGAGCACAAGTGAGAAAGTCGTAAATCCGATCGTAAGGTGTTTTAGGTCTAACTCTCCAGGGCACCTCTTGCCACAGCGGCTCTCCAAGGAAGGAAGGCTCGCCGAGGTCCAGAGAATAGAGAATCTGACTTTGGTCAGCAGCTCGCTACTTGATCTAGGTCACAGATGACTCACGCCCTGGATCCTGAAATGTACAAAGACTGAATGTCCCAATCCATCCATGTGTGCCTCTGCACCGCGGAGTTGGATCAGCTTCTGGCAGCCAAGTGTATGACTAATGTATCCATGTTTCGACTGATTTGGACATTGGCTCATCTCATACATGCCTAAAGCCACACAGGCAGTAAGAGTTTGATCATGGAGCATCAAGTCTCGGTCCCACAGCGCTAATTGAACTTCGTGCAGAGCTTCACGGTAAAGCTTCAGGCTCTCGTGAATAAGCCCTTCATCAGAATAGACTTCACCGAGCTTGGCGACAGCTAACGCCATCATTGAGACCTCTAAGGCCGGGGTGAGATCAGGAAGTTTGGGGATTTGTATCAGCCACACTCTCTGCTGCATGGGCCCAAGCCTGTTCTTTGACAGATGGTTATCCAGGTACTGGCCCAAGAGACGCTGTCGAAGGGCCGGGTTGGCATTGACTTGTGCTCCCAATCGAATAATAGATTGGACCGGGTCGAGATGATTGCCATTTGATGATGAGGAGCTTGTCAGTCCGTTGAAATCTACAGGGGTTCGCTGACTGTCGTGGGTATGTATTGTCGAATCAAGTGTAGATTCCCCATGCCCCGGCCGGGTCGAATCTTCGCCCTTAGGTGGCTGGTGAGCAATGAATATGGGGTATTTTCGGTACCCAGTGCATGTTCTGTTCGATTTAATGCATTGAGCACAAGAAGGCCTTTCCAGCCCACACTGTAGTGATAATAATCAGCGACACCCTTCTCATCGGTGCTCGGAAAATGACATGGCTTACCGCTATCTTCCGCTTCCTGCAGGTACCACAGCCACGAGCTCTTGCGATCCCAACCATGGAGTATCACCAAGTCGAATTCGGCTTGGAAAAGAGGTGTTAGTGCCTAGATGTGGTGGTGACAGCGAGAATCAAGAAGACAGCTTCTGAAGTTGCCAGTGTTCAGTAGATGCGCTTGGGAGAAAAAGGAGCATTTTGCGAAAACGAGGAGGTGAGGGCCAGGCAGCGTGCGTCAGATGGAAATACTTGTTCGACCCTAACCTTGCTGCACAAATGAAACGTGCGCAGGCGAACCTCATTTACTTTGAGATGCGTCCCCGAAGAATAGAAGTTGGTGTTGACGGCGGGTCGTCTGATGAGGAAAACGCCTGGTTCGCCTTGTGGGTTTTGTGGCAGTCGGCTAGACCGAAAAGAGATGATTGTGCGAGCCAATCGGAATTTGAGCTGAAAGGCACAATAAGAGGCTGAGCAGGGCAGGAGTACATCACAGGTATCAGGATCATATACAAGGCAGTCTTTTCCTCCATCCAATGCCCATGGGTTTTCTCTCAGCCAGAATGTGACTTGGGAAATGCAACCCAGGTCGACAGACGATGCACACCATCAGAGCTGCTGCGTCAAGGCTCCCTCTTGCCGTCGCAGCGCGGAAACACTCTGTGCAGCGGGCCTTAATTCTGTTTCCCTTTTTGTCTACCTCCCTGAGACGAACATGGTGTCTCCGATTTTTCCCAGCAGATGGTGTTGCCATCGCCCGAACCGCGAGCTTGTTCCAAGGTAGGGTTGCTTTGGGAGAAGCGGCGACATCGCGAGTTTGACAGCTAGTTTGACGGCTAGTTTGACGGCCCCAGGAGTCTCGAAATCTGAAGTCCTGGTTTATTCATGCTGCACTCTCTGTTGCATAGCTTTGCCAGATTTGAAACATGAGCTTGAACAAGGAAGAATATTGGGAGAAAAGGAGACAAGAAGACAGATTCAAGGGTATTTGCATGAAGCTGCATTTGCTGTCAGTTACCAAGTCCAGTCTAGGCCAAGAAAAGTTGAGTGGGATAGAGGTCCACCAGGAATTTCTGGAGATGGGTCTGTTGTCATTGCAGAAGAAATTGCTGCTTGAGATACAGCGGTTGATATTAAAAGGTGTTCGTGTAGAATGAGAGAGGAAGAAATTGATACTCCGCCGTATGAGTTTTTAGCACGTGACAACCCGCCAGACTACTGTGGACTATTTATGCCGAAAGCGCTATCTGGACGCTGCACTTGAACGCGTCAATTTCACCTGAACTTCCCACAGCATCACCACCACCATGTATCTCTCAGGCCACCGGAATCTCCTCCTATCTGCGCCGATAACCCTCCGAGAGCGATATGCCTCGAAATCCGTTGAGACGAGCCGCGAGTATCACAGATCTGCGCTTTACCCTGAGACGCGTCTTTGGCAAAGCCTCATTCCGACCACTTCAGGAAGAGATCATCACCGCTGTTGTGGATGGACATGATGTGTTTCTCTGCGCAGCGACATCCTTCGGAAAGTCATTGTGCTACCAGCTTCCAGCCGTTGTGTCCCTCGGAGTTACTGTCGTTATTTCACCCTTGCTGGCGCTGATGGACAACCAGGTCCAAGCCGCCAAGTCCTTGGGTATCGCTGTCGAGCGTATCAATGGCAAAACCGAATGGTCTGAAAAAGTCCGAATCGAGACGGACCTTCTTTGCGGACATCCAGAAACCAAGCTTCTCTATGTCACCCCGGAGCTTTGCGCACAGGACCGGTTTCGAAAGCTCATCATGAAAATCCACCGCCAGGGTCAGCTGGTGCGAATTGCTGTGGATGAGGCGCATTGTATCAGCGAATGGGGCCACGATTTTCGTCCGTGCTACAAAGATTTAGTATGGCTGAAGACCAACCTCACTTGTCCCACTGTGCCCATGACAGCAGTAACTGCAACTGCTACCAAACAAGTGCGAGAGGACATCTTCAGATATCTCGGCCTTGATATTGACAAAACCAAATGCTTTTCCACTTCCACTGCACGACCAAACATTCATTATGAGATTCAATATTTCTCAGAGTCGAATCCCAAGAACGAAGAGGACGACATGTTTCCATACCTACTATCAAGGCTGAACTTCATGTATCAGAGGCGGCTAATGCAGCTCAGACATCGGAAAGAGCAACTTCCAACAGCCGCCTTACCCCCGATCACAGGCATTATATATGTCCCGCTTCGTGCTACAGCAGATTGTCTTGCGTCAAGGCTGACCGCTGCGGAGATCCGAGCAAGCGCTTACCATGCCGGTTTAGACACCGAAAAACGGGAGAAAGTGCAGAGGACTTTTATTAGATATGCCACTTCGGACCCTCATCTATTACAAGTCGACGACAACCATAGTATGATGAGCTCGTTCAACATCATCTGTGCCACGACAGCTTTTGGCATGGGCATTGATGTTCCCACTATCCGTTTCGTGATCCACTACGGTCTTCCAAGGGGCATGGAGTCGTTCACGCAAGAGTCAGGGCGTGCCGGAAGGGACAACAAAGCAGCATTGAGCATAATTCTGTACACCAGAGAGGATAAAGAGCGGTGCGAGTATCGGGCAAAATGCGAGGCAGCTAAGGACAAAAGCCGGGCGAAGACTGAATCGCGGTTCGAGTCGCTGCGCAGGATTGTCGAATTCTGCGAGAACACCGACTTCTGTCGCCATACACTGGTCTCACAGTATTTTGGGGACAAGAGTGGCTCTGCGGAGTGTCACTTTGCGTGCGACGTCTGCAAGGAGGGCCCAATCAAGCTGAAGAAACGCAAAGAACGAGGACTGGCCACTGAGGCAGAAGCCATGGAATTCACACAGAGGGAACCGATTCTGGATTATGAGTCCGAATAATGAGACAACAGCCGTAACGAAATTTGATACCCATGAGATATGATATCGGAGGTGCAGGAAGACCGTGGTACGACAAACAATATGGAAGTTCTGACCTTGTCAGTGGTTACGTGTTGGGCACAATAGCAGTTTCGGTTTTAATATTCAAGGCCCCCGGCACTGCACCAGAAAGTAAGGTTATATACACAATCCGAAACCACTGATGAGCCCATGCCTTTGTCCATCATCGACTAGCTCTCGCAAGGCGTTAGCTCTTGACATTGTAATAACCTCCCCCGAAGTCCACTAGCCAGGCCTTCTCTATCTTGGAAATGTCCTTGATGTACACCTTCTCTCCGGTCTCCAACAAGTCGTGAAAAACCACATACTCCGCTTTCCGGTTGAACAGGAGAGATGTCGGGTGCGCGTACATGGTGACGTTTCCCGACACGGATTTGAACGTGCCATCAGGCTGCATTTTTGCGGCCTGCGAGAAGTAGCCAGTCACGAGGCACTTTAGGATATTGGCGGCTTTGTCCTTCTGCTGGATGCTGACAGATGTGGCTACTGGAAAGTCGTCCACTTTGACGCCCAACCTCTCCAGATATCGCCTCAGCTGATTTCGGATGCTCACAGCTCTTTGCATCGACTTGAAGTTCAGATGGTGCTCGTGACACCATCTCGCCTCCTTTTTCCCCTTCGTCACAAACGCCTGATAGACATTCAGGAGCGTGAGTTGATCGCCTTCCTCGGCTGCGAATTTCCGTCTGGAAGAGTCCATCACCCTTTTCTCTCCACTGTGATGGAACCACACGTTGCCTTGTAGCGAGGTCATAGCCGCGAGGGTCAGCATCTCGTTCTGACAGTCGAATTGTGACGAAGAGGAAGCAAGGAGACATTTAGCCATCATGGGTGGGATGGCACTAAGCTCGGCCATGCGTGTTCCCAAAGGTGAGGTGAGTTTTGCATAGTCGTCCACCGCGCCTAGAGAGTAGAGCAGATCGAATGCGCGGATGAGGAGTTGCGAGGGCGGCGGTGAGAGAAAGTCAAAACGCACGATGTTGTCGATGCCAAGTGCTTTCAGCTGGAGGACCACGGGGGCGAGATTTGACCGTTGGATCTCTGGGGTGGTTGTTGCGGGTAGTGATGAGTAGGATTGCTGTGTGTAGAGCCGGAAACATTTGCCTGGTCGCGTTCGTCCTGCGCGGCCAGCTCGTTGGGTTGCGGAGGCCTTTGACGTGGGAAAAGGTGTCAAAGTCTCAATGTTTGTATTTGGGTTGAACGCGCGAAGTTTCACAAACCCACAATCAACGACGTACACGATCCCTGAGATGGTGACGGATGCTTCCGCGATGTTCGTAGCAAGGATGACTTTACGGGTATTCTCCGCGGCTTCGGAGAAGACGTACATTTGATCTTCTGTGCTGAGGCCGGCATAGAGCGGGAGAGGCTGGAGAGCTTGTGCTTGTGGGGGTAGTGTTGATGCCAGGTCCGAAAGCTTTTGCACGGCTCTTTCGATTTCTTCTCTGCCCGTCAAAAACACAAGAATATCACCAGGCGGCTCCTGTTTGTGGATAGTAAAGGCTGTCTGTACGGCTGTCTCCAGATAGTCGTCCGTCGGTTGATCAAGGTAAAGGATATCCACGGGATATGTCCGACCTTCGATACTGACGATTCGACATTGTTGCTCACTGTCGGGAGTATCATGATCCCTAAAGAAATCGGCAAACCGTTCCGCTTCCAGCGTTGCACTACTAACGATGATTCTCAATTCCGGCCGCCGTTTCTTCACCTTTTTCAGTAGACCAAGCAGGATGTCGGAGCTGAGTGACCGTTCATGAGCTTCGTCGATCACGATGACGGAATATCTCGTGAACAACGGATCAACCAAGGCTTCTCGCAGCAGCATGCCGTCGGTGAGAAATTTTATTCTGGTCTTCGCGGACGTGACATCTTCAAAGCGAATTGAGTAGCCAACCTGTTCACCCAGTTGACACCTCATCTCCTCGGCGACGCGTGTGGCCACGGTAGTGACGGCGACTCTTCTGGGCTACCCACAATGGTCAATATATTCTGCATCTTGCGAAGGGCTCAACTTTCCGACCTGCGTGACCGCGATACATTTCCCCTGGGCGCACCATCCTGCCTGTTCCAGATACTGAGGTAGCTGAGTCGTTTTCCCACTACCTGTTTGACCCACTAACACAGTGACCTGATGTGTTTCAACGGTATAGAGTAGACTGCTTCTGTGTCTGGTGATGGGTAGTAGAGTCGGGGGCGTGTACAATGCCGGGATGAAAGACAAATCGAAATCTGACATGGCGCTGACAGGATTGAGAGGTCATACCCAAAGGCTCCCAAACGAATCATCTCTGCCCTAACTCACCGGCGTTCAATCAAGGAGTGGACAGGGCGACGAAACACGGGCTGCCGTCGAGAATTGATATTCGCACCGCCACAGACGAGTCCGCATTACGCCACTAACAACGTCATCGCAGCCACTGCCAAGTGGCCAGCGCAAGGCAGGCATAATTCCGACCCCAGCCAGCTGCTCGTGGAAACATGTGTCGTCTCAAGTCTTGATTTACCGAGCTGCCTGAGATAATGCTTTCGTCTTTGCTCCGTGAGAAGCCCATCTAAAGTCACAACTGCAGAGAAACCATTTCAGCCCTCAGCATGGCCAGCAACGATCCCGTAAGAGATGTACCCGATCCTGCTTCGTATGTGATCTCTCCCTAACACGATGCAGCCGTCGCCAGTCTCACCACTGAAAGCGTCCGACGGGCCCCCAGAATCTCCAACTACTGCTCGGCCCCTGGATTTCGACAGCGACCAAGAAACTGGCGTCATCGAGACGAGTACCGCATCCAAGACAGAGTTGCCATCGCAGCCTAAACCCCCTCCCAAAGACGACGTTGCTCCACCAAAACCCCCGCGACCTATGTCTCCGCGAGAGCAGGCAGAGCTCACATTGAAGGAAGCTTTTCCTACGATCGAAACGGGCGTCATTCGCGCAGTCCTCACCGCGAGCCGAGGAGAGATAGAACCTGCGTTCAATGCCCTCCTCGGGATGACAGACCCTGAATCTCAGCGAGAACCAGAGCCCTTGCCCCCAGCCAAACCTCCACGTCCCGCTCGGCAGCAATCTCCCACGTCTACGAAGCTTAGCCAACTAGAAGCAGATGAGCTCTACGCCAGACAACTGGCTGAAGAATACAGTGGCGGTGCCGGCGTCGATAGACAGCAACCGAGGCGTCGGGATTCGGGCGGAAGATACAATGAAAACTTGCCAGGCTCACGGGTAGGTCGACCAGGGGCAAGCCCGAACCCTGACGACGTGCCGTGGCGGAGCTTTATTGATGGTTAGTCTATGTTTATTCGCGATTTCGACACATACTTACATTTTGTGCGACAGACGATCTTCCCGAGATCCGTGACAATATCCGAAAAGGTTTCATGGAAACGCAGAAGACCGTGAACAGCTGGATCAGCGCTTTCAAGAAGAAGATAGACGGTGATGACGATGACGCCGAGTTTACACAAGGTCAACCACCTCTCCCTGCCCGGCCGTCAGCACAATCGCCATTCACAGGCCGCCGGAGTGCCGAGATGCGTCGCAGTGCAGACCTCCAACGCTACGATGCCGATATGCAGCCTATCGGCGATGACTTTTCTAAACTAGAGCTTCGTGATGGTGAAGCCCCGCCCCGCACATCGAGCCGGCCCATGGCCAATCCGAACCTTTTCCGTTCCGCAGGTGTCCAAGGACCAGATCGTCGACCGTCGCCAGGCACGAATCGCAAGGTTTCCTTCCAAGATGGCCCACCAGAGGAGATTAGGGACATGTATAGCGCTTCGCCGAAGCCTGCGGCGGCGGCGACAACGAAATCGAGCAAATGGCAGCCCCTACAAAGTATCGACCCAAGCCCTGTAGCGGAGAACGACCCTTTTAGCTTGGGTGACAGCGACGAGGAAAAGGATGCCAAGGTGATTACGTTAAAGGACGATGAGACAGATGTCAAGAAGGATGAGAAGAAAGCCAATGATGAAGAGGGGCAGGCTAAGAAGGCCACGGAGGCTGCGACGAAGGAGACTATTGAGGCAGAGTCAAAGTGAATGGATGTGGGCTTGCACGGCCGGCGGTTTGGAGAGACATGGAAGTGAGAAGGATATTTCACAGATCCCGTATCAGATCGAAAGGCTAAATACCCTGTGCCATGATGAAATGATAGAATTGACTCGATCCGACCCCAATCCGATCTTATTCAAATGTATTTGGCTGATCAGCCAACGGACCTTGTGAATGCGGAGACGCATTATCATCCAGACCATTCATTATACGAGAGACATGCCACCATCCTGTACCAAGTTATATGGATCGGGCTCTCTCCGCCTGGCCACTTCCACGTGCCTCTTGAGGAGAGTCGGGCTCGTTTTTCCGTGTCTTCAGATTTTGACATCACCTGCCTTACCGGTGCTGCCTACGGCGTCCATCATCCATTCGATCCTCTCCTGGATCAGCTTGGTGCCATCCTCCATGAACTCGGTCAGCGGGGTGCGGCCGGCCTTCTGGCGGGCGTACTCCTCGTACTTCCACAGGACGATCTGGTTGACGTTCAGGCGGGTCATACCGGCGGCGACGCACTGCTTGAAGATGTCGGCGGTAAACTCGTTGGTGCCGTGCATGACCAGGGTGACCTTGCCGCGTGAGGCCTCGCGGATGGCGGCCAGGCGGGGGAAGTCCAGCTTGATGTTCTCGACGCCGTTGTAGGGCCCGTGCACGTTGCCGATGGCCGGGGCCAGGAAGTCGATGCCCGTACGGATGAACTGTAGGGCCTCGTCCGGCGTGGTCAGGATGCCCTCGAGGTCGCCCGTGTCCTGCACACCGGCCTCGCCGCCGTTGATCCGGCCGGGCTCAGCCTCGGTAGCGATGCCCAGATCGTGGCAGTACCGCACCAGCTCGGTGGTGCGGGCCAGGTTCTCCGCCTTCTCGTAGTGCGACATGTCGACCATGATGCTGTCGAACTTGCCCGTCTGTGCCGCCCGCTTGATTGCCTCCTCGCTCTGCGCGTGGTCCAGGTGCAGCGACATGGGCACCTTGGCGCTCCGGCACACGTCCGCCGCCAGGTTCACCATGTTGTCGTACGCGTACTCTTGCGCCCACGGGAACAGCAGGATCTGGCAAGGCGAGTTCTTGGCCTCGGCCGCCTTGCGGCACGCGATGATCGCCTCGAAATTGTAGCACACCACTCCGGGGACCCCGTACCCCCCGGCCTCGGCCGCCTTGAGGATGCGCACCGAGATGTTTTGTGACAGGTCCGGCATTCTTGTATGAGGGTGTGCGAAGGGAGATTAGGGGAGGAGGAGAGGAAGGTGGACAATTAGACGGAGGGGTGGAAACGCTTTGGGTTCGTGTCTGGTGTTTCTCAGCGCAGGGGAGTCAATGTAGGTAACGTTGTTCTACCGATGCTTCTTAGATGGGTGGTGCGTTCTTCACTGTTCTTTCTAGACAGGATCACTGGCAACAAATGATTCTTGTGTAGTAGCGGCAACAGGAAGTAGTATGAAGCGAAAGGAATAGGAGACGGAGTAAGTCTTGTCTTCACGAGATGTGAACCTAGCCAGGTCTCCTTCCAATTGCCGAAAAGCCCTGTTCTCACCCACGCCCTAGATTGTTCCGGAGGCTCAATCAACACGCGGTTTGTTTGTCCCACCGAATTCACTGTAGTGAGTCGGCAACATGCCGTATGGTATGGGCAGAGAGGAAAACCCAAACAGCCAGCCCAATCCAGCCCTCATCCGCCCGCCCATTTTCTCAATAATGGGTCTGGTACAATGATGGAAGAATGATGTCGTTTCGGCGTTTTCTCCGCATGCGGGGCAGAAACAAACGTGGCGGCGGCACCAGGAACAAATTTAGCGGGAGGCATTTTAATCGTCTCTCCTTTCTCTAGTACCAGGTACAAGTACTGTGGACGGGTTCCAATTCATCTATATTCTGTCACAATCATATCTTCTGGCACTGAGAGACACCAGACCCTGAGTCCAGAAGAACGCTCCTCCCACCTACCTTGCAAAGATACCTAGTGACTTTCCCCTATCATCGACCTAGCTCGCTGGGACGCGCTCGACCGGCCAAGATCGGTGTCGACACCGATGGACGAGAAAGGCGCATACATGGTTGCGCCACAATGGGATCCATATGGTGGCGATCGGGGCTGGTAGACTGTACACCTCTCGACCTTTTTCCGCAGTAGCGTGATGCGACATGGACACATTTCCGATCATAGCCATGGGGAAGAGCCTCGCCACAGGGAGCATCCTGGACCCGGGTTTTGGAATTTCAGTCGAGCGATCAAGGTCAAGGGCAAAATTTCAGAGCTGGAGAGAAACGAAGAATGGATGTAGGTTGTTGATAGAGAGGATTTGGGGAGGACGAGGACTTTTTTTAACACACAACATGTGGCATGTGGCCAAACTACTACTACTCCTTCGCAAGCCTGGACTCTCCATCCTCCCACGATCCTGCTTGACCATCTCTGCCTCATCCCACTCTTCGCTCCTCGCTCACTGCTCCTTATCCTAGGACAAGCGTTCTTGCTCCTCCATATACTCAATGTACTCGCGCACCGACTGTTCGAAACTATCCGGCTTCTTCATCCCTAGCTTATACGCTAACGAGTTGTCGTACTTGACCGCCCACGTGTACAGAATCTTCGCGATGGGCTCGTCGTGTTCCTCCTTGACGTACTTTAGTTTATCCTCGCCTCCGACCTTGGCCAGGGCGTCCATCATGTCTTGGATCGTGACGACGTGACCCGGCGCGTTGACGACGCGCTTGTGGCTGGGCAAAGCGTCCGAGGGGAGTGTGAGCGTGTAGACAAGATTGTGAATCAGCGTCTTTGGCGAGCACACGTGGCTTGGGAATGCTCGGTCCTTCACGGGCAAGACACACTCCTTGCCCGCCAAAGGCTCGCGGATGATGCCTGAAATAAACGCCGAAGCCGCCGGGGCTGGCTTGCCCGGCCGTACAGTGATGGTGGGAAATCGGATTATGAATGCATCAATGTAGCCCCTCCGGGTCATGTCGTTGATGAGAATCTCGCACATGAACTTGGCGGCGCCGTAGGAGCCTTCAGGCGTAGGGAGAACGTCTTCGGTTATCACTTCTGGCAAGGGACGGCCGTAGACAGCGCCGCTGGACGAGTAGATGACTCTCAGACCAGGGCGAACCTGTCGGATTGTCTCGAGAAGCAATCTCGTCGATTCCAGGTTGACGCTCATGCCCAGATCGAAGTTTGCTTCCGATCCGGCGGACATGATGCCATGGAAGATGTATGCCGCGTCCAGATCCGGCGTGACCACGCTGCGGTCTTTCAGCAGGTCCGCTTTGACGCATGTTGTGTTTTGTGGATTCTTGGCCCCTTTGGGCACAGGGACGTCAATGATGTCTGTGAGGATGACCTTGTGGTCTGGGTTGGAGAGTAGTTCGCGGGCGAGGAATTGGCCCAAGAAGCCACCTGCTCCTGTGATGAGAATCTTCATCTTGAACCAAGAAACAATATGTTGTAAGATGCCCGAATCGTATTCAATTCTGTGTCCTCCTCTTTGGTTCTGTTGTGTTCCTGTTGACCTGGACTTCGGTATTGGTATGGTAGAGTGAATAGATGCTTCCTTCTTGACTTGTTCTCAATGGATCCTGTAGAAATTAGCTTGGTCTCGGCAGCTCACAGATATATTGCTTTTCAAGCACTGTAATTATCAAGAAATAACAACCTTCCTCGAGGACGGGGTTCCTGCCGCCAGAGACAGTTGTATTATGACTAGTAGTGATCCAGATTCCTCCATGTTTTGGAGAAAAGTGGTCGGGACGCCGGTCTGTTTCGCCGGTGGCTGAAAACATGGTGAGGGGCCACGCCTAGCGACCATCGACCAGCGGGGCACCAACGAGGGCCAAAATTGGCGCAGTGAAGCTTCGGGTCATCTTGGGACGAGCAAAAGGACGAGAAACTTGTTCATCATCATAATTCTCTCCCCTCAAAGAACAGAAGTCGAGAAGTGTTCCCAATGCTGAACGTGGACCTCATCTCGTCTCATCTCACATCAAAGAAAATACATTGCTTGTCCTTTTCACATAAACTATTTGCATACTAAGCCACAATTTGACTGTGCTCTGGCGCGACATGGAAATCCGACCCTTTTCATTCTGCGTTTGACTTGTGTACACTTTCTGCTTCTCATGATTGCTCCGCACCCAAGCTGGGTCGGAGTCGAGGCTCACTTCACCCCTTGATTTCCGTGTGCCAGGCTAAGTTTCCAATCCAACTCCCGTTTTTCCGCTGTCCAGTCATCAAACGGCTTACAACTTGGCCACAGGCTGTGATGATCCCACAGTGGTGATCTCGTTGTACAGGAGACTGCGAAGGAAAGGATTAGTTATGCTCATACAATTCGGAAAGAGAAGGGAAGAAAAAAGGCATACCTCGTCAAGAAGTCGGCATAATCTTCGCCAGTCACTTGGCTCTCGAAATATCGGGCTGCAAGCTGGTACTTGTTGCCCTTAGGTGCCTTGGACGACAGTTCGTCGGCCTGCTCCTTCAGCAATCTCAGAGCGTAAGCCTTGTTGACAGTGTGGCCATCGGCGGTCTTGACACCGTGTTTGACCCATTGCCACAACTGCGAACGGGACACCTCGGCCGTTGCAGCGTCTTCCATAAGGTAGTTGATGGGTACGCAGCCAACGCCGCGGAGCCAGCCTTCCATGTATCCAAGACCAATGTTGAGGTTCTTTCTGATGCCATCCTCCGTCACGGTTCCGGGCATGTTCATATTAAGAAGGTCGTTCTTGGTGACATAAACTTCTTCGCGACGCTTGAAGAGCTGGTTCGGGGTGGGCATGTGCTTGTTGAATACCTCAGACGCAATGGCCGCTAGAGCAGGGTGAGCAACCCACGTCCCGTCGTGGCCAGCGCGGACTTCGCGCAGCTTGTCCTGTCGGACATTCTCCATGGCTTTGTCGTTGGCCTCTGGGTTGTCCTTGATGGGGATTTGCGCGGCCATACCACCCATGGCATGCACACCACGGCGATGGCAGGTCTTGATGAGCAGACGCACATAAGCGTCCATGAAAGGCACGGTCATGGTGACGGCGGATCGGTCTGGGAGAACAAAGTTGGGGTTCTGGCGGAATTTCTTGATGACCGAGAAGATGTAATCCCACCGGCCGCAGTTGAGACCAGCCGAATGGTCGCGGAGCTCGTAGATAATTTCATCCATTTCAAAGGCGGCAGTGATTGTCTCGATGAGGACGGTTCCTCGGATCGTGCCTCGTGGCATACCGATGTAGTCCTGGGATAGATTGAAGACATCGTTCCACAATCTCGCCTCAAGATGAGACTCCATCTTGGGGAGGTAATAGTACGGCCCAGTGCCACGCTTGACCAGCTCAAAGGCATTGTGGAAGAAGTACAGGCCGAAGTCGAACAGAGAGCCAGAGATTGGCTCACCGTCGACAGTAAAATGCTTCTCTTCCAAGTGCCAGCCTCGAGGGCGACACAAAAGGGTAGGCAAAACGCGATCTATGCGTAGCTTGTACTCTTTTTCTCCTTGCTTGAAATCGACCTGCCTGCGGATGGCATCGTAGAGGTTCACCTGTCCGGAGACCTGGTTATCCCAGGTGGGTGCTTGGGCGTCTGTTGCAGGCAAAACCAATCAGCAGCTGCTGATTTTAGTAGGGATTCGTCGAATATCTCACCTTCAAAGTCAGCCATGTAAGTCCAGACGTTGCTGTTCAAAGCATTGACGACCATTTTCCGATCCGTTGGTCCGGTGATCTCAACCCGGCGGTCGATGAGTCCGGGAGCCGGGGGAGCACCTTTCCAGGCGTCATTGTCGCGAATGTGCTTGGTTTCGGGGAGGAAATCTGGCAAATTGCCCTTGTCAAGCTCCTGTTGACGGATCACTCGTCTCTGGAGCAGAGCTTTGCGGGTGCCGTTGAAGGTCCGGTGGAGGAGGGCGAGGAAGGCAGTGGCCTCGGGAGTAAGGATCTTGCGGTACGAGTCCTTGACGGCGCCATTGATGGCAACTCCTTCGTTGATGCTTTCGATGCTGGCCATTTTGGCTGATGGATAGGGTGTATTCGAGGAGGATGAACGCAAGAAGAGGAACTGAGTTGGTCAGAGGCGGGCACCGAGGCATGGGAGCTGGGGAGGTTGATATAATACTATACGTCAGAGCAGCACAATGCCCGAAACCGTTAGAGGCACATTGTCGACGACTTGTCCGCGAGGAGATGTGCCCGTTGACAGGTCCCTCGCCATGCAGCCCAATCACTGGCGTTCCAGTGGGTTCCGCCCATCCACCCAAGCCCAGGAATGAGGCCAGAGGAGCCCACGGAGCCGGGGCATGTGGGTAAGATCAGCTACAAGAATCAGTCGACGACAAAATCATTTGCCTTGTGTGGGGTAAAGGCGTCACCTCTGCATCTGCCCTTTTTCCCTTTACTCCGGCCGTCTATCTGTCGCTCTGTTGCCCTTAGGGGCTGAAGATCCTTTGTAATTTTCGAAGTCTTTGCCGTCATGTTATTGACGGCGACAGCATGCCCATTACACAGTCAAATCTGTTTCCACATTGCCAGGCTCGGAGCAAGCAAAGGTGCACATGTGATCCGGCGAACCACGGACTCCATGATCCCGCCAGGGCTTTCGAAGTGCCGAGGTTCGTCTGGTCTTCTTGGGCCACTGCGGTTCCCAGCGGTGGCGCGAAATCATCCGTTGCCCTGAGTGCAGGCCCCGATCTATTCCGAATCGTGAGGACCTGAGCAGATTCGCGAGTTTCACTAGTCTGTATGTAGCCACCTCTTTTCCCTGTGAACAACGGCAAAGTTGAGGCTTCTCTCAGACATCTTTCCTAGGTGTATTGCCACGCCCCGATGTCAGGGGTATCAAGAGCTAAAGGATCGAAACCAAGGCACTGGGATGTATTGCCACGAGGTGCCGTGATGTTCTTCTGTAACAATTGATCAGCCTGTTCCGATACTGAAAGGCAGGAGTGACGACTCAGTGCAAGAATGGACTGAACCAGAAAGGAGGACAGCTTACCAAGTTTGCGAAGACTTGCCAGGCTCCTCCATATGTAGGACACGCAATCAAGCCTGATGCCCCAAATGCCCTCAGGTCCAACCGTCCAATCGTCGCTCCCGGGGCCTTTGAGTATGTGAAAGGACATTGGAGCGATCCTTCAGGCATTAAACTCGAGTGCGCTTGGGTGTAGCCAACCTCGCCGCTCGGCGTCACATACAAATATTGACCACCAGGAACAACAGCGCCCTGCATTTTATTAGTGAAGCTCTCAATATCGACAGAATCATCTCACCATCGCGCAAAGAGAAAGCACTGTTTGATTTCCCGGTGGACATCCTCCAACCTCTTCTACCTCAGCTGGACAGTATGACACGGTGTCGCCTCCAAGGTAGAAACGATAGCCGGCAGCGTTCATGGGCAGCAGGTGGATTGGAGAAGCAATTCGAGAAGCAGTGACGGTGAGCCATGAGGTTGGAGTTGTCAGTGGACCCGTGGTGGTAGCGCTTGAGCTCGAAGTAACTGAACTGGTGACGATGACGGTTGCGGTTGCGGTCACCGTGCTGGCCAAAGTGACGACGGTGTCACTTGCGCCAATATTACTGTCTGTCTCGACGCAGGGTGTTGTGCTTGCTTGCGGATGAGGCGAGGCAAAGATGGCCGCGGAAAAGTGAGAGATGGCTATGAGAGAGCGAAGCCGCCACATGATTGAAAGATTTGATTATCTGGACAGAGAAGGACTGAACGAGATGCCACTGAACCTTTGGCAAGAGAAGAGGACGACATTGGTGAGAATGAGGAGGAGCAACTGGAATTTATGACAAAATGATGGACCGATTAGGGAGTCTCTACTCTCGTGACGGTTGCACCTTCACATTCCTCTCCACTATGCCGACGGGACCTCACAGCTTCCTCCATCAGATCTGGTGCGACTTTCCATTTCTTGAAACAACGTCCCACGTTGTCATCCGCCCGATCTTTGGTCCTGAACCGACCATCTGGATCCTTCTCGCGTGTTACAGTAGCACCTTTGGTCTGAACCGTCAGCTTCGTCTATTCCAGTCCATGGGCTTCCACAGTGACCTGCTCTGTCCGTTCCCCCATCCGAGTCGCACAGACACGCCGAGTTGCATACTTCCACACGTCTTTGCCGATTCCTTGACTGTTCGAGCGTATCGTCCAGCATCTTCGCTTTCCTTGATCGCTGCCTGGTCGTCCGCCACCTTTCGATTGCTCCGCGACTTCTCCTGAATCAGAACATATGCTTTGGAAGACTTGAGGTGCATTCATGATGCTCAGTTTGATCCAATTCAGCTTCCTTATCGATGGCTGTGTAGTTACCAAACGCGGTGGAGATGCATGTCAATTGCCATCTCGGATAATGGCATTGACACTTGGGAGTTTTGGATGAGAGAATACAAGATGATTTTGACCTGTTCGGAGATCAGCCTCCAGCAATGGTGCGCAGTGTCACTTCTGAGGACGCAGCTGCTGTGGTTGCTTTGGAAGCAGATCGGGGTCAAGATTTGGGCCTATGAGACGATCAAAGAGCAGATACCGGAGCTATGGGCCAGGAACCAGGCAAACAAGGTTGTCAATTGCCATCTCAGGCAGACAGACACTCATAACAAGGCTCCAGACGCCATATCAACTGCATCTCGCCCCAGAACTTGGATGCGTCTTCGGTTGTTTTGCCAGTGAATCCATGCCAATCCCTGCAAGAGCGAGTCGGCCAGATCATCTTGCTTTGACATTTTTGTTGCATCAGCTCGCCCGCGTTGGGAAGCCTTATTAACGCGGGATACATAATCGGACGCTGTCTTCTGGACGCCCTTTCCGACACAGACATCTAGGCTGCCGTCACGGAGTAGATGGCCAACAAGATCAATTTTTGCTTTCTTTATCTGGCGACCAACCAGCTTGTTCTCTTTCGAGCCCAGCAAGCCCTGGGATACCTCAAGCCAATAACGGTTGACTCGGGGAGGCTGCATTGGCTCTATGCTTAGCTGCAGTTTGTGCTCCTCGACCAGAGTCCGCAGAACGGAATAAAGCATGCCTTCAAAGACGCCGACCCTGAGGGTCCATTCTTGAACCGCCGATTGGCCACCTGAGCGAAATCTTTGTCTCTCAATCAAGACATGATTGGGTTGGTAAGCCTCTAACATGTATTTGACAAGATGGTATGCGTGCCTGGCGTAGTCAATAGGCTCGAATGATTCTTTGCTTGCTTCAGCTGGGTTGACTGCCGTGGTTGTGGATTTCTCTAATGCTGAGCACGGGCGGCCGCTTGTGGTATCCAACGACTCTGCCACTGCTATTCGACGCCATGCTTGCAGTGTTGGCATGCTGTACTGTATATGCTTCAGCGGCCGCGTGGCCTCTTCAATCGGGGCCGTGAGATGGGCAAAGGCCAGATTCCTGATACCCATGTCTATACTCAGAAGACTCAAGTTGGGCACCCTTCTTCTGCTGTCTCCATCTCTTACAGTGTTGGAGGTTGCGTGACGGATGGCTTCTATACGTGCAAGCTTTGTTCCGGAGCATGGTGTGCCCAGAGCTGTTGCGAGTCGATGTAGCTTGTTCAGTGTAAGCTCTTCCAGCCATGGTTTTGGAGCGATCATGGCATGATGGATGCTGATGCAGCAGTTTCCGGGAATTTATCTGAGTCTCTCATCAGACACCTTAAGGACTTTCTTCGGTCAGGATGTGGGAAGACAAAAGACAAATCACATACAGGTTCAACAGCCGAACTTGGTGCGTTGGATGTCCAGTCAATTGAACGCTCTCGACGCGTCGCGTTTTGACTGCGCGTCATTCAGTCATTTTATCATTTGTCATTTCACACTCGGTTGGGCTCTTCAGTTTCCACATTCACCTCCCATGATATTCCATCAACGCCTCCTGGACTTCTAAACTTCTAGTCTGAGATGCTGGTCCTTCCTTACACTTCAAGGACTCCGCGATATCTTACGCTCCCCTCGTCCAGCTTCGTCATGGCATCCGTGACGCCTTTCTGTGTCATAGGAAACTTTTCGATGACCGGTTTGACTGAATGTTCCGCCGCGAATCTCAACATCGCCTGCACGGATTGTGGGTGAGCTCCCCCAGAACCGATTATTGAATAGCCGTATATGATAAACGGCAAAACCGGGACTGGAATGTTATCCATGCTGATGGTGAGCGGGAAGATTTTCGCAAATGGCGCCAACACAGGAAGATATCTATGCTTTGTGAGCATCCTTCTCAGTCTCCTGGCCCGGCTGAGGTCGAAACTTACAGTGAGAGATCAGGTAGCACCGAAGTCGTGATCAACAAGCAGTCGACCGGCTCGATTCCTTCGAACTTTGTGACTCCCTTGGTGGCGTAGAATTCTCTGGCGCCAAATCGGAATGCTTCTTCCTTCTTGGACTCGGTTCCAGAGAAGACAACGGCCTCCATGCCCATTTTCGATGCAAACTGAATAGCCAGATGTCCGAGTCCACCGATTCCGATGATCCCGATGCGATCACCTGCTTTGAACCCGTGCTCATATAGCGGGCCCCAGACAGCTGTTCAACACCTTAGCAACGAGTTTGCCAAAGGCGGACGGGGCGAAGTGGTGAGCTTGGACTTACTGGCACCACCACACATCAGTGGCCCTGCGGACTCGGAAGCGATCTCGTCTGGGATCTTGAAGAGCGCGCTGACATCCCAAGCGACACCTGTGCCAAAGCAACCTTGGTCCAAGTTGGCGGTCCCAAATTGTTCGCTGTTCTGACACTTGAACTGCCTACCTACAGTGAGGGTTAGCTCCATGCATCTACTTGATCGAAGACGACCACTTCCGCAGGCCTTGTCAAGGTGCTTGCAAGCGAAGAGCCACTCCCGGGCTAAGAAATCACTCACCAGTCAAGCAAAATTTACAATACCCGCACGTTCTTTGGAGCCACCCCATTCCAACGCGATCACCGACTCTCAAGTCTGAGAGCTTCTCAACCAGACTTCCCACCTCCTTGATAACGCCGACGCCTTCATGGCCCAGTCCTTGGTCGGCATGCCGGTAATGAGAATCAGTTCCGCAAACTCCACAGTGTGATAACGCAACTAGAGCTTGTGTCGGGCCTACTTCACGGTGACCCTTGGCCTCCACGATCTCCCCGGATTGGGAACCCTTGAAAACTTTGAAATCGATACCCATAGTGAGCTGTCTCGAACAAAGCAGCGCCTTTCGAGTAGTGACTTGGTTGAAGAAACAGAGTTGTTGAACTGCAGGAAAATAACAAGACACTTTGCCCCCTTTTATACCATTGTTGATCACCAAGTTGTTCATGTTTGTGAACTTCTGGTTTCCATCACGCCGGTTCCAAGACAGGACAGTTGAATAATCATGCTCTTGCTAATCAAGCTGCATTTTCTCTCCTGTCATGGATATCCACACGGACTGTCGAAGGGTACAGAAAAACGGGTCTATATCTCAGCCTCCATTGGACCGCCCAAACCCTGACTACAGTCCGCAGAGAGTCTGAGTGGAAGATACAACCATTGCTCATCGTGCGGCGGCATCTCTCTAGGCAACAGAACTCTTGCGAACAACTCATTTCGATTAGAGTTGTGACTTGGACCGCGACCTTTGCAAATTACCCGATTCGGAAAGAGGCAATTGATACACATCCATTGGTCCAACTCAACCCAAGAATATGTGGCTTGCGGCCAGATGATATTCCTGACTAACGTCTCAGAGGCGCATCACCTATGTCGCTCAAATTGAAATGCAGACCAAGCACCAATTATAGCAAGTCCAAGCAGCATAGACAGACCAGTGCGATATCTCATCCACCCCGATCACCGCTTTAAGCGCATTACCAATGGTACCATGCTGTTCTGCATCCTGGGCACCTTGCATCAAGTGGCTTGAAGGTATGGACCCTGATCAAGTCGGAACCATGGTCGTCGAGAAGTTTCGAGGAAGATCCCCTGAAATTCATTCCTGTGAGGCACGCAAGACAGCCCGCTGAAACATAGGTTATGTTCTCCTAGTTGCTATGTAAGTCGATTCGAGTCAATTTATTCGGCTGCTGACAGCCGGCTTGCATAACACCATATCGGCTGGTGTCGAACGAGCGAGAAGTCCGCAGAGATTTTCAACGAAGCCGGGCAACGCGGCAGCCAAAGGTCAATCTCTGCGCTGAAGCCGTCGCAGTTCATCCAAAGGAGGAATTTCTTCCAGTATTCCTGGGTGTAGCTTGTCCCAAAAGATCCCACACGATGGTTTCTTCAGCAGCACACCCTCTTTGGCAATGTCAATAATCGTGGTTGGTGTAACAATACAGTCGCACACCGTGTCGAAGACTTCGGGTCTCAGCTCCTCCTCCAACACCTGGCAGTCATGCACGACAGCAATGCACGGAACAGAAAAGCTGACAACTTTGACGGTGGTCAAGATGCCCCATTCAAGGTCAAAAAACCCATGTCCTTTCCCGAATCGAATGCCTTGATGATTGATGGCTCCCGTCCCAGTAACCATCAGATCTACCCGAAGCCCAAGCTGCTGGATTTCCGCGAGGCTCAGGGCCTTACCTTAGACCAGGTCGTTCCATGGCATCCAAGAGGCAGGCAAGTTTCCTCGCTTCAGGCGTCACGATCACCGCGGGATCAAGCAGCTAGAAACCGCGTCTGATGGCGTAGGTTGTTACCAAACATCTTTTTGCCATCTTCCAAAGCTCGCAGGCGAAACTGTTCCAAACAGTTGTCCGGGGTGATGAAGATAACCCGCGCATCAGCATAGCAGCGCAATGAAACCGGTCTTTCAGTTGCGGCATCAGAACCTTCGAAATCTGTTATGAAGCTGGAGAAGCCATAGTGAAAGCGCGAGTCGGGATTGGCAACTTTTCGCGAACGTGGCCAAACCAGTTGTCGAATTTGGTCCTTGTCTTCGGATGCCATACTTGCCACTCAACAGTGCCATCGGGTACCTCCCCGTTGGAAGCCTTTCAGTGAGCCAGGTATGGCTCGAGCCTTAGTCAAGTTCTTCTGACTCGAGGAGGTCAACGACCGTGGAAAAGCTCCTCCGCACGCACTTGTCCACATGTCCACTTGTGCGGGGTCCATCATGGCGCAATTACTTTGACGGCAATGAATACTGCGATTCTCAACTTCTGCGATATCGTTTAGGCGCCAAACCTTGGTCAAAGCCATAGATGTCCCGATTTGCGGCGTCGCGGCGTACCCCTGAACGCAATGGTGACTGGTTGGTAGGACACCCTCGTGAGGCAAAAGGGCTTGTTTAGAAGCGCCCGGCCCGCTACGCTCTTTAGCCTCGTCCATCATCTGCGCAAAATCCATGAGGCTCCGCATCTCAAAACGCTCACTGTTATCAAGGAGCTATTGAATCTTTCGCAGTTGGTGGCTCCACTGGCAGAAGTCCTGACACCATCCCCACTGACAAGCAGAAGCAGGGATTCTTCTCCAACCTGGAGCAGTGTTCCGTCCCCAATCACATCTACTTCCTGGATACCCAGATGTCGTGTAGGCTATTGAAGGTGTATGGCCTCGGTTTCTTCAACATCCCGGCGGAATTCCAGAGATTCTGCGGAGATGGGCCTTTGTCCTTGTGGACCTTGTTGACTCTGCTGGGTTGACATGACTCGTACTTGGGGTATATTAATATTCGCAAGAATCCCGGTCCCGGACGACCTTGATTCGAATGCAATCGAAGACGCCCGTCAATCTTCGGCCAGAAAAGCCTTACGCCCTCTCAAGAAATCGGCTTCTCGTCGCATGCTTCCTCACCTGCAAAGATGAGAGCGCTTATCAATCTCCGAGGCCGGAGCCTCTACTGGCTGATGAAGTTCATCTGCGGAACATCCTTCATGATGTATGGATATGATGCTGGTGTGCTCGGTGGTGTGGTTCTACACAAGGCCTTCCTGGACGCAATTGGCAATCCCACGGGTGAATGGGTCATACCGTGGATTTCCAGCTCCTACTCGTTGTCGGCATGTATCACCTGCTTGATCGTTGCCACCTTTGCCTTCAAAATTGGCCGGAGAGGGACGATTCTTCTGGGCAATGCCGCCGCCGTCATCGGCTCCATCATCCAAGCGACCGCCAACTCGGTGGCACAACTCACCGTCGGGCGCATCATTACTGGCTTTGCTATCGGCTGCATCTCCAGTGCCGTGCCCACCTACTTGGCCGAGACAGGAGTCGAAATAGGAGATCGTGGCCCGGCCAATGCATTCAATGCCATAAGTGAGTCGAGCCCGTTTGGGGGCCTATGCTTCTTTCCCGAATCTTTCGTGCCCGTCCACAACCATCGACCACTCCAGCCACCAATGCTAACGGTGTCCTGCAGTGCTTATTAGCGGCGTTCCAATAGCCTACTGGATAGACTACGGCTGTATCAAGTCGAACGGACAGTGGAGCTGGCGTGTGCCGATTGCTTTTCAGTGCATATTTGCGCTCACGGCGGGACTGTGCATGCTCTTCTTGCCGGACACACCGCGATACTACTACGCGAAGAACCGGCACGCGGAGGGAGACGACGCGTTGGAACGGCTGAACGACGCCCCCATCGACTCGGAACAGGTCCAGAGGATCAAGCGCGAGATTCTCATCGCCATCGAAGCAGAAGAGGAGGCCAAGTCAAGTCTACACTGGAAGGCGTTTACGACGAGCGGCATCATCGACCACACGCCCATGAAGATCATCCGACGGCTGTGTATCTGCTTCTGGCTCCCGATGATCAGGGAGTGGATGGGCTCTTCACTGCTTGCCTATTGGAGTACTGTTGCACTTCTCCCCAAATAGCGCGTGTGTTCTCAGGCTAACCCTGGTGGAAAAACAGGCTCCGTAATCCTCAGCCGAGTCGGCGCGGCGCCCTCGCTCGTCAGCCTGCTCGCGGGGATCCTCAACATCTGCTTCGCACTGGGCTGCGTCCCGCTGTACTTCACGATCGAGAAAGTTGGACGGCGGTCGGTGCTTATGTATGGCGCCTGCGTCATGTCGGTGCTGATGCTCATCTTCACCGTCCTCCAGGCCGTGCCTGCGACGCAGTCCATCCAGTGGGCAGGGATCGGCATCATCTTCGCCTTCCTCTTCGTGTTCGGGTACGCCTGGCAGGGCTGCGTGTGGCTGTACTGCTCCGAGATCGCGCCGCTCGAGTACCGGCACATTGGCGGCGCGTTCACGGGGTTCGGCGAGTGGCTGATGACCTTCATCACCGTCTTCGCGGGCCCCATCGGCCTGACCAACGTGGGCTGGAAGTTCTGGCTGTGGGTCCTCAGCGGCAACCTCGTCGCCGTCGCCTTTGTCTTCTTCCTGTGCCCCGAGACCGGCGGCAAGACCCTCGAGCAGGTCGACTTCCTGTTCTCCACCAGCGGCTTCGTCGCCGGCTTGAACAAGGCCGAGCGCGATCTGGAGGAGGACGAGGAGGGCGCCGCCGCCAACGAGCGCTGGATCGAGCTCCAGGGAAAGACTGCAGAGCAGCATGTCGAGGTCAAGGGATAGGAGATGCGCAAGGCTGAACTAGCGCCGAGCGCCAGTGTCCCTCTCTTCCTCCCAGAGCTTAACGAAGTGGCAATCTTTCAAGTCTAGCGGATGATCATTGAGTGCGGGAATGTTTTGTCGGATTCAAGCGCGAGCCGGGACGCGTCACTTATCGCAGAGCGTAGAGTACAGACTTTGAAAGATTTCTATACTGGGAATTGGGACGTCTCAATATTCAATAGTTCGGTGCACAGGGCATACCGTGTCAATGGCATTAAGGCCTATTCCTAATGGGATGTACGTCGACTGAGAAGCCGGAAGTATGCTTTCGACTCTATATCACTACTTGTTGACCTGTATAGACTGTCGATGTCCTGCATTTTCATATGACTCGAACGAGGAGACAAGAGTGTGAATCAGACTGAGCAACTAATTTTCAAATCCTTGACGTACGTACGCGGGATTCCCATGGCTTCAGGCGATCGTTCGCCCAGAGACTTGTTCCTGAAAGGCCAAGTTCGACGGGTCAAAGGCCTCTGGCCTTTCATCATCTCCCTTGATCTTTCCACCACCCTATATCCCATTTCTCATGTGAGGCGTAGATGTCGCGGCACGCTCGAACCCCTTCTTTCAGTTCTGCAAACAACTCCAAGCTTGTCCTGATTACAAAGAAGGGGAATATGGCTCGAAACTGCCGTAGATGGGGCCACCTACATAGCAACATTTCGATCTTCAGTATCTGGAAGATCGTCTTTTGAAACGGCCAGGGTCGACTCTTTGTAAAAGCATCTGTCTCTGGTCCCCACGCCTCTTTCTGTTATAGTAATAGCATCATCATCGCCGAATTCTGAGAAGATTCTGTGTCGTTGCTGAGATCTTGACCCGAAATGCAACACACTATTGAAGTGACTTAGATTCGGTGTCTGCTTGATTGACCCCCAAAGCGATGATGTCGAACCAGAGGCGCCTAAGACGTAAGGCTCGATGCGTGGGATTGTTTAAGCATTCCTACCGCCGTAGATTCACCGACCGATGAAATCCAAGAAGGAAGCAATTACTAGTCGTGCGGAGGGCGAGGCGTACCTCAAAACTTGTTTCGTCGAGGCGCCTGCGTTTAAAGTTGTGTTGAGCGTATGCCGACTGCGCGTCTCAGTCTTTAGTGGCCTCAATAGATTGGTTCAGGGAGTCTTTTTTCACGCCATGTGTGTTGGCAAAGTCGTCATATGGCAGCCTTCTGATCCTCCTTTCAGGACAGAGGTGTTGATAGTTGTAGCAGAAGATTCCAATCACGATTTTATACTCGTAGATGCTTCCTCCTTTTTCTCGAAGCTGAATATTGGCAGGCTCAGAAAGCTCGTTTGGTACGGAAACAAATTCAAGAGGAGCGTAGAAAGAGTCGCTGAGAGTCTTGTGTGAAGTCTCTGTGACATGCTCCAATAGAATGAGCCGGTTACGGAGTCTGAGATGGTGTTAGTAAAGAGCTTGAAGAATATGGGATCGGTGCCTTTTGTTTTTTTGTTGTTGTTTTTTTGTGAGGGGAATAGAGCTCGCATTGATAATGATGGTAGGGAGTTCAAGGAGAAGATGTTCGACAAGGATCAGGCGGGAAATGGTGAAAGTCGTGATTTCAGCATCGAGGAGGATTGGACAAGACATCATCTAAAAGACACCAAAATGTATAGCCTTGTTCATTGCCCCAGAGCCAGAAAGGACAGCTCTTTCATTTCAAAGCGGCATCATGAGTCACAAACATCCCAATGGGTTGGGCGACGGAAACCACTTCCAAATGTTTCCTGGAGCAAATGACAAGGTGAGATTGACCGAATGCTTCGAGGACGGAGAAGTAGACTGGATGGTGCCCTGACAGCGTCACCTTCCATCACCACTGTGCCTCTATCATCTCTTCTTTGCAGGTACGTATTCTCAATGACTTGAAGAAGGGTATTCGCATGTGAACGGGGCCGAGAAGGTGATTTCGTTCAGTCGAAAATGCAACAATGCAACAACTAGGTTCGATTAGTTCGAAATATTCACGACTCATTTTCGTCGAACCTCTTGTCTCTTAAACATCTCAAATCAATCTGCTTATCCTCCACGAGCATTGAATGTTGTATGAGCGCACAGCAAGTGTTCTGAATGTCACCAGAAGCCATGGATGTCTTGTGCGAAGGTTTCAGGGCAAGGTTTTCTCGTCGGATCATCATAATCTCAGGGCATAAGTCGGACGATTTTTTTTTTCAATTCTCGAGAGCAGCCCGAGAGCCAATGTTGGGGGGGGGGGGGGGG